AGTTCACGGCCTTGCTGTGATACATGCCTCCACGCAGCGAGGGAAATCGCCTCCTGAACCGCCCGCCCATGCGATACAGCTCCTCCTCTCCCTCCCTCAGCAGCTCGCCTCCCCCTCAACACACAAGAACCCACCCTCCCTGCAACAAACACACACACACACACACACACACACACACAATCACACACACACACACACACACCTGGGTAGAGAACAGCTTGACCGCTTTGCTGTGATACACGCCCCCAAGAAGAGAGGGAAAGCGCCTCTTGAACCGACCGCCCATGCGATACAGCTCCTCCTCTCCCTCCCTCAGCAGCTCGCCTCCCCCCTGCATCCCCTCCCATGGCGACCGGTACCCTCGCATCCACTGGGGGAGTAGACGTGACTGGGCTGCTGCTGATGTGCTTGCAGAGGCAGCGGCAGGAGATGCAGCAGAGACAGAGGCAGGGGCAGCTGAAGGGACAGGTGCAGAGGCAGCAGAGGCAGAGGCAGCCGGAGGAACAGGTGCAGAGGCAGTAGTAGATCTAGAGGCAGCAATGCTGGCAGCAGCAAAGGTGCGTCTGAGCTTGGGGGCGAGCTCGTTCAGCTGGTGAATGCGACGCTTCGTGGGCTCCCTGGCTCCGTGCCTCGCCTGGAGGGACGGGAAGGGGACACGAGGAGCAGAGGGCAGCACCAGGGGCAGCAAAGGCACGTCTGAGCTTGGGGGCGAGCTCGTTGAGTTGGCGAATGTGCCGCTTGGTGGGCTCCCTGGCTCCGTGCCTCGCCTGGAGGGACGGGGAAGGGAGGGACCAGGGGTTGGAAGAACGAGAAAGGAGAAGAGTGGCAGGAAATGGAGACAGAACAGAGAGAGAGAGAGACATGGGGAGCAGGTGGCTGGCAGGCACGCTGATGTGCGCTTTTGAGTCGACTCAAAGGCAGGCACGCTGATGTGCGTGGAATAAAATGCGGATACACTCAAGAAAGGTGAAAAGAGAGCACGGAAAGGCAGGGCAGGGCAGGGCAGGGAGCGCGCACGAGGAGGAAGAGGTAGATGGTCGTGCAGGACGGCGGCAGGTTGATGTGTGTTGACTAAACGTGACTAACAGACTCCAAGTAAGGCGAGAGAGAGCGCAGAAAGGCAGGGCAGGGCAGGGGGCGCGCACGAGGAGGAAGGTAGTGTTAAAACTGAGAGTGTGGTAGCCATGGCTAGGAAGAGAGAAGGTAGCGAGAGAAAAATTGTATTAGGAAAGAAGTGTCGAGATACAAGTCTAGAAAGGAATTGGAAACCCTAATTGAACTTAGGGTGTGTTCAGTTTGTACTATAGCTACGAAATGAACCTAAATTGAACCTGGAAGCATAACTCGCTTTAAGCATGGTGGAATGATAAGAGAACACCAAAATAAAGGCCAGAGCGAGCTCTAGCCTACTCCAACACACCCCCAGGCTAGGTGAAGCTCTGGAACAAAACACCTAGCGAACGGGAACACCCCCAGAAGTGGCAAGACGCGTGAGCCCAAGCTCGCGCACGTAGAAACGGTGTGGCGCACGCAGAAGGGCCTTGGTGAAAATGTCAGCAAGGTTGGCAGTAGCGGCCACCTTGCGAAGGCGTAAGAAGCCAGACTGCACCAGCTCGCGCACGAAGAAGTAGCGGACCTCTATGTGTTTGCTGCGGGCGTGATAGACAGGATTTTCAGTGAGATGAATCATGCTCGCACTGTCACAGGAGAGCGTCACAGAGGGCTGAGAGTGACCGAGCTCATCAAGGAGAAAGGAGAGCCAGCGAGCCTCCTGAGCTACCAATGTGCCTGCGTACAACTCAGCTTCGCAGGTAGAAAGGCAGACAGAGGATGAGCGAGTGGAGCGCCAGCTGATGAGACCACTGCCAAGAGTAAAACCATAACCCTGAGAGGAGCGGCGATCAGGGCGAGAATCAGCATAGGAGGAATCACTGGAACCGCAAAGAACAGGGGGAGAAGAGCCACCAAGAGTGAGAGCAAGATCAGAGGTAGCGCGGAGATAGCGGAGAACGCGCTTGGCAGCCGCCCAGTGCACGTCTGTGTGGCGACCAAGGCCAACAAAGCGAGAGAGGACACTGAGGGGGTAAGCAAGATCAGGGCGCGTGCACATCATAGCATACATGAGTGACCCAACGAGCTCAGGATAGGGTCGCAGTTCTGAGGAGGGAGCGGGAACGGCAGGGGCAGTAAGCTGATGGTTAGCGGGAAGAGGAGTGGAAACTGGCTTAGCCTGTGACATTTCAAAGCGTTCAAGGATGGAGTGGATGTAGAAAGATTGAGAGAGAGAGATGGTGCGCGCAGTACGATCGCGACGAATCTCCATGCCAAGGTAGTGGCGAAGCTCGCCAAGATCCTTGCACAGGAGACGTGCCTGGAGGGCTAGCTTGACAGCGGCAAGGTCGGCAGAATCTTCAGCGAGGAGCACCAAGTCATTGACGTAGGCAAGAATGTAAACCCTGTGGGGGGAAGTGCGAATGAAGAGACTGGGGTCGGAAGAGGAGGTGGAGAAGCCAAGAGAGTGAAGAGTGGAGGCAAGCTTAGCATGCCACTCGCGTGGGGCCTGCTTAAGACCATACACTGGGCGCTTCAGCTCCCAGACAGTGCCTGGAGGGAAGGGGCGAGGAAAGTCAGCGGGGCGCTCAAGGAAAATGCGTTCATGAAGCTCGCCTTGGAGAAAGGCATTGGAGACATCCATAGAGTGAATCTCCCAATTCCAGCGGGCGCCTAGATCAAGAAGGAGGCGAAGAGTGGGGAGACGGGCAGTGGGGGAGTAAGTGGCAAAGTAGTCAATGCCTTCACGTTGGGTGAAGCCTTTGGCGCAGTAACGGGCTTTGAAGACAGGGAGCTCCCCAGGCAGCTGTTTGACACGAAAGACCCATTTGCCCTTCACAATGGTGGCGCCAGGGGGGGGGACAGAGTCAACGTAAGAGTGAGTCCTAGTGAATGCCTCACACTCGGCAATAATGGCAGCCATCCACTCAGTTGCATGAAAGCCAGACACTGCCTCGGAATAGGTCTGAGGGGTGGGAATAGCGGCAGTGTCAACGGAGAGAAGAGTCGGAGAATTGGAGAAGTCGCCAATGGTGACACAGAGGAGGGGTGAAACAGGATGAACAGAGAAAAGCTCCTCAAAGCGATCTTCGAGAAGATCAACGTTCTGAGAGGGAGAGAGACGAGTAAAGAGAGCAGAGTGTTGAAAATTGGACATTGCACGGGTCATGGAGCGGGTGAGACGGGGAGAGGGTGGGGGGGCAGGTGCAGAAGGGAGGGTAGCAGAAGGAGGTGATGAGGGAGGGGCCATGGGAGCAGAAGATGAAGAGGCAGGAGGAGAGATGCCAGAGATGACAGCGGAGGGGGGGGTGGAGGAGGCAGGCAGGGGAGGTGGAGCAGGGGCAAGAGGAAGGGGAGGAGGAGAGGGAGCAGCAGAGGGCAGCGGATCAAAGTCAGACCAATGGAGAGAGGGAGCAGGTGGGGTGGGAGGGGGAGTGAGGAATGGAGATTGAGTCTCATCAAAGATGACATCCTGGCTGCGAATGAGCTGCTGAGAGGAGGGAGCATAGAAAAGGTAGCCAGGACAGTCAGAGTTGATACCAATAAACGCACAAAGCTGCGTCTTGGGAGCGAGCTTCCCACCCTGACGCGCCCGATCAGCGGGATTGATGAGGACATGAGCGACACAGCCCCACACCCGAAGAGGGCGGGCAGAAGGCTGGCGGCCAGTCCAGAGCTGAAAGGGTGTAATGGAAGAGCGAAGGGGATGAGGGCGAAGGTTAGAAAGAAGAGTGGCGTGAACAAGAGCGTAGCTCCAAAGAGAGTGGGGAGCAGAAGCATGCGTAAGGAGACAGCGGGTGATCTCCGTGAGAGTGCGAATACGACGCTCGGCAACACCATTTTGTTCAGGAGAATGCGGAAGGGTGGAGGTTTGGCGAATGCCATGAGAGGAGCAGTAAGAAGAAAGAGAGTGGTTAAAGAACTCGCCACCACCATCAGAGTGGAGGCGCGCGACAGGGCGGCCAAAGCGAAGACGCGCCTGCTCAGCCCAGCGAATGATGAGGGAGGGGGCGTCAGATTTGGCACAGAGGGGATAGACAGTGGCAAAGCGAGAATGGTCATCGACGAGAAGAAGAAAATAGCGATGACCCTGACGGGAGGCAATGGGAGAGGGACCCCAGAGGTCCATATGCACAAGATCAAGGGGTTTGGGGGAGGCAGAAGGGGAAGAAGGATGGGGAGATTGGGAGAGCTTAGCTTGAACACAAGGGGTGCATGGAGGAGCGGGAGAGGGGGGAAGGGGCGGGAGAGAGGAAGGGAGATCATGAAGCAGCTTCGAGTTGACCATGCTGGAAGGAGAGGGAAGTTGGGGTGGCCAAGGCGATGATGGAGAAGAAGGGTAGGTTGGGTGAGAGAGCGACAGTCGCAAGAGGAGACGGGAGGGACAGAAGAAGAGGAAGTGTGGTGGACAGATGAGGGGAGGGGAACACGAAGGGTGTAGAGACGAGTAGTAGGAGAAAGGGTGAAACGAGCGAGGTGCCGGTCGTGGTAATGAAGATCACAATAGAGTGCACCTGCGGGGAAGAGCACTCGTACACCGAGGCGTTGAAGGGCAGGAAGGGATAGGAGGTTATGACGGCAAGAGGGAACATAAAGGCCAGTAACAGCGCCAGAGGGAGAGGCAGGACAGGGAAGAGAGGAAGTGCCTGTGCAGATCATGGTCATGGTCTCCCCAGCCCCATCAATAGAGAGGGGACGAGGAAAATTGCGAAGAACACCAGCATCACGAAAGACAGAGTCAGTAGCAGCACTGTCAAGGACAAAATCCAAGGTGCGAGGAAGTGAGAGAGCGGCAGCCGTAGGGCTGGGAGAGTGAGAAGCAGTGCTTTGAACGGGTGGAGAAAATGGAACGAGAAAGCGAGGGTCCATAAGAGGAGAAGCACCAAGGATGCTATCCTGAGATGGCATGGTCACACTGAAAACAGAGGCCAGAGAGCCAAAACCAGAGGTTACAGCGGCAGAAGAGCGGCGACGCTGATGGGATAGCGGAATCCAAGAAGAGGGGTGGAGAAGAGGGGAGGTACAACGGCAAGTAGGAAGGGCGGAAGGGGAGGAAGGGGCAGCGAAGGGGGCGGAGAGTAGGGAAGGCAATGGTAGGAGAGGAGGTACGGCGGGAGAAGGGTGAGGATGGAAGCGCAGAGGAAGAGAGGTAAGAGCGAGAAGAGGCCCCATATGGGGGAGGGGATAGCAGTAAAGCAGTGTTGGAGAGAGAAAAGAGGAGGAGGAATAGGGGCGATGTAGTCAGCTGCTGAGCCGTTGAGGGGAGAAATAAGAGGAGGAGGGATAACGACGAAGTAGTCTGCTGCTGCGCCGCTGAGGGGAGACATAAGAGGAGGAGGGAAAACGGCGGGGTAGGCTGCTGCTGCACCGCTGAGGGGAGAAATACGAGGAGGAGGGATAGGGGTGGAAGGCGACGAAACATGGACAGCTACCAGCTGCAGCAGATAGGGAGAGAAGAGAGGCGGAGGAAGAGGTGAGAGGGTGGGGGAAATAGAGGGAGAGAGAAGAGGAGGAGGAGGGTGAAGGAGCGGAGTGTGGGGAGGAAGTAGGGTCACGATCACCAAGTGGCAATCAGTAACACGCAGCCAGGTGGCAGATGCGGAGGGGAAGGAGGTGGAGGAAGGGAGGAAAGGCACGGAAGGGAGGAAGGAATGAGGAGAGGAGGAGGAGGGTGAAGAGGCGGATGGGGTGAGGGGAGAAGGAGGAGGTGGTGCAGAAACGGCAGAAGAAGGCGCACCACGGGGGGGAGGGGAAGGCGCCTGCAGGGAGGTGTGGCAGGCCGCCCACGAGAGGGTAAGGAAGGGTGGCTGGGAGGAGGGAAGGGTGGCCAAGGAGATGGAGGGCGGTGGGCAAGACGCGCGCGCGCATCGACGGCGGGGAGGCCGCGCACGTCGCCGTCGACGCGCGCGTCGACGGCGGGACGGCCGCGCACGTCGACGACGGGCAGGGCGCGCGACGCGGCGGTGAGTAGGGCGCGCGACGAGGTGGAGGGGGGGGGAGGGCGGCGCGACGACGAGACAGGGCGCGCGACTAGGGGACCGGGCGCGTGACTAGGCAGGGAGACCTCGGGTGATGGATGGAAGGTTCCGTGATTGAAAAAAAAAAAAAAAAAAAAAAACTTTAAGGGTCGAAATACTAGGGAAGATAATTTTCGACTAGGTAAAAAGTGGCGCGCCGGATGCCTAAGGCCTAAACCGTACTAAGAGATATAGATTGGGACAAAACGCCAAGGATTTGGCTCTAGATACCATGTTAAAACTGAGAGTGTGGTAGCCATGGCTAGGAAGAGAGAAGGTAGCGAGAGAAAAATTGTATTAGGAAAGAAGTGTCGAGATACAAGTCTAGAAAGGAATTGGAAACCCTAATTGAACTTAGGGTGTGTTCAGTTTGTACTATAGCTACGAAATGAACCTAAATTGAACCTGGAAGCATAACTCGCTCTAAGCATGGTGGAATGATAAGAGAACACCAAAATAAAGGCCAGAGCGAGCTCTAGCCTACTCCAACAGGTAGATGGTCGTGCAGGACGGCGGCAGGTTGATGTGTGTTGACTCACACGAGACAGACAGACTCAAAGTTAGGCGAAAGAGAGCGCGGAAAGGCAGGGCAGGCAGGGCAGGGAAGGGGAGGGCAGGGTAGGGTAGGGCAGGAGGGCGCACGAGGAGGAAGAGGTAGATGGGCGTGCAGGAGGGCGGCAGGTTGAGGTGCTCCTGGTACTGTGGGCCGCCCGCTGCTGCTAGCGAGTCCTCGTACCTGGGGATACAGGGATTAGGGTTCAAGGTTTAGGGGCGGACGCAGGTAAGGTAAGAACGGGTGCCTTCACAATACTGCGGGCCGCCCGCTGCTGCTAGCGAGTCCTCGTACCTGGAGATACAGGGATTAGGGTTCAAGGTTTAGGGGCGGACACAGGTAAGGTAAGAACGGGTGCCTTCACAATACTGCGGGCCGCCCGCTGCTGCTAGCGAGTCCTCGTACCTGGGGATACAGGGATTAGGGTTCAAGGTTTAGGGGCGGACGCAGGTAAGGTAAGAACTGGTGCCTTCACAATACTGCGGGCCGCCCGCTGCTGCTAGCGAGTCCTCGTACATGGAGATACAGGGATTAGGGTTCAAGGTTTAGGGGCGGACGCAGGTAAGGTAAGAACGGGTGCCTTCACAATACTGCGGGCCGCCCGCTGCTGCTAGCGAGTCCTCGTACCTGGAGATAAGGGACGGATGGGGGGGGGGGGTAGGGGGGCCAGGGAACGCGAGGGCAGGGAGGGCGCACGAGGAGAAGGAGGTAGATGGGCAGGTTGAGGTGCTCCAGGTACTGTGGGCCGCCTGCTGCTGCTAGCGAGTCCTCATACGGTCATACCTGGGGATAGGAGATGGGTGGGGGGTGGGGGAGGGGGATCAAGAAGGGAATCATAGGAGGCGGACCAAGAGAGGAGAGGGAGCGGGTGGAAGGTCGTGGTGGGTGAATATGAGGGGTTGTGGCTGAGGTGGGGGCAGTGCAGGCTATACGGGACAGTGAGAAACAGGTGTGACTTTGATGATAAGGGGGATGGCAGAAGATATTGATGACGAGTGGCATCGGTGTGTTGTGATAGAGGGAATGGGCTTTAAGGATTTTTGGGTTTCGGGTTTAAAGCCTGATGATGGGTGGTGATGGGCATACACGGACCCAAACACCACCATGCAGCAGGGATGGGTTCACATGAATAATCGCACCTGTAGCCCTTTAAAGCCAGGATCTCAAGTAGTTCAATTGTTTTGCAGTTGGTGAGGGGAGCTGGGCTGCGATTGGTTAGCGAGGTGAACAATCTGACGAGGTGTGAAGCGAGGGGTGCGAAGTAAAGACAAATCGCAAGTTCAGTCCGAACCAAGCAAGGCTCGGAAACTGGTTCGGTGACGAAGCTCCAATGCCTGCAATTTCTCGTCACACACAACAATCTCATGTACCAGCAAAATGTTTTGCATTTGCTCTAGGGGCAAAATCGTGGGTGTGCCGCACGCTCACTTTCCTAACCAGCCAGTCAATTCGCCTACAAAAATAGGGTAACAAGCGCTGCAAGTGTTTTGCAATTGAAGGCCAATTCTCTTACTTGAGATCCTGGCTTTAAGGGGACCTGCAGGGAAATGTTTTATTTATTTCCATTAATACCCCCCCACCTTTATTTATTCTCAAGAAAATCCCCCCACCCACCTCTGGCCCATCAAGAGATCTTCTCGAACTACTCCTTCCAGTGTCCCCCTAATTTAAGTTACTCTTGTAATTTCTCGAACGCAACTCAAATTTAACGGGCTCTTGATTCATGTTTCCCCTACTAGCACACGCCACCCCTCCAATCATCATCATATGTGCACCATACTTGCACCATACATGCACCATACATGCACCACCCATCATTCACCAGAACATTCACCTGAATATTCACCTGGTGGCCGTCCCCAGGTGAGCCGCAATGCTCGCGTTCACATCCTTCGAGTCTGCCGCCCATGCTGCGAGCCACTCCTCGTCCCCATTCGATCCCTTGCACGTCTCTTTCCCCCACAATCTCGCGCCGCTCCCTGATTCTTGGCCGCTTGTCCCCTCTCGGCCGTCAGTCCCTAGGCCGTCAGTTCGGCCGTCAGTCCCTTGGCCGTCAGCTTCTAACTCTTTCCCTCGAGATTCTCGAGTCCTTCCTATGATCTCTTCACCATAACTCTCAGGTCCTCTTGGTGCGCTTTCTGCCTGCACGATACGCTGCGAACGCTTTCCCGTTTCGCTTTGCTGCGGCTTCGTAGCGAGGGCATCGCCCTCCGATCTGCCTAGAAAACGTATGCGGTCAACGAAATTGTTACTTGTTTCGAGAATATAAGGGAAATACCTCGCGAATTCGACTCGGAAATCGGATGAAGTGCCGCCTGGAGCTGTGCAGCTGTGCGATAACGTGACACGTGGCGAGCAATGACTGACAAAGACAAAAAACGCGAAACTAACCGAGCAGACGGTGATGCATGTGATAATAGCACATGCGATCGAACGGCGCGAACGGGTACCCCGCTGTGCTGATTCCATGGCTGCCCGGACACAGTTGCCGCTTTGAAAGCAAACGCGCCTGTTATCTCTGCGGTCCCTGAATGAATTCCAGATTGACAACTACACAAGCGCATTATTGATGAACGAACATTCGCGCGGGACGGGATGAACCCGAACATCCTACAGTTAGTGGGAGTCAACGGCGATGGCGAAAGCAGCTTGGGCTGATGAGCAGAAGCGAAGGGTTTCCATTATCTGCGAAAACAGCAGGCGACGTTCAGCGGTCAAGGCTGTTCAGTCGTTCAGCCCATGACTACTGCTTGTTCAGTTACTTCTGTAACGTCGGAAGTTGGGGAAACCCCGAAACCGACACATACCAGTCTGGTTTCCCCACCCGTGCGCCGTAAAACTGGTTTCTTGGTCAAAAAACATGTGACACGCCCTACTTCGAAGTCTTCTGGAAAATTGTTATGAATGGAACAAACTTCAATCTCAGATTGAAACAGAGAACGCATATTGGTTTTTACTATGAACCTACAGGTTCTGCTATAGTGGTTTTTACTATGAACCTACAGTTCAGGCTCTGCCATATTGTATTAACTCTATATAGCGCTGAATTTACAAAATAGCAGATCCTGTAAGTATAGTACAAGGGCCAAACAACCCTAAAAAAAAACTCACACAAACTCACACACACACACACACACACATACACACACACACACACACACACACACACACATACATACACACACACACAAACACACACATACAAACACACACACACACATACACACAAACACACATCAAAAGAGCATGTAAGGGGAAACTAGCTAGTAGTACAGGAAGACGCTCTTGCTCTTCAGCCATTAGTGATCCATCCTCTTAGGAGCCAAGGATATATTTTTTGACATCAAGTTGGATGCCCTAATATGTCGTCCACTTATCTGACCTCGCTGCATCTTTCAAGGTTAAAATACCACCGCCTTGTTCCACCACCGCCAGCAACAGCTCAGTCGAATTTGAAGCACATGCCGGAGGTGCATATCCCCGGGCAACTCGCACCGCAGGAGCCGCAGTGTTCGTAGTTGTGGAGGAGATCCACACAGCTGCCACCGCAGCAATTCTGCGACACTTCGCAGAAGTTGCCACACGCCCCACAGTTGTTGACGTCAGTCAATAGGTCCACGCACCGGCTGGTGGGGGGAAACAAAGCAAGGAGAACGCGTGCAAGGAGAATGGGATGTGAAACAATGCAGCTTTTGGGTTTGATACCATCTGTCGTTTGGTCCACACACAGGCTGGTGGGGGGCTAGTTGCAAGGACAAAGGTGAAAATGCAGCCTTTTCAGTCATTTCTGCCTGACTAGCCCACACTGAGGGTGGTGGGGGAAGAGAGTGGGTGCAAGGAAAATGGAAATGTGAATAGTAGCCTCTTCAGGAACAGGCTATTCTTGGGAAGCAGTAGCGCGCTCCTCAGTTCTTTCTGTCACTGACAACTGGCTTGTCTGGTCCACGAACAGTCTGGTGGGGGGATAGAGTGATGGGCACATGTGCAGTCACAAGCGGGTAAGGACCTGCACTGCATCTACTGTAATCGTTTCGAAGCTTGTGTGTGAATGTGCGTGTGGGCGTGAGGTACTCACGAGCGGCAGGCGGTTTGGTTCTTGGAGCAACTTGGTTTGAACACCAGCAGGCGACGCAACTTCATTTGCGAGCTACCACCGCCGGCGCCACTTCCCGACGTTTGCATGGCGTATGGCTGCGGGGAAGGGTTTCGGAAGGACTGCCAAGCGAAGAGCTCATTTCGCGTTCATGACGTCATGCAGCGTGCTGGGGGGTACAGATTTGCAAAGGGCTTCTGAGTAGTTCGCTGCTACCCAGATCGACGTCATTCGCAGCAAGTCGCGGTCGATATATTTACGTTTGAATCACAACTGGGTGCGGGATTAGCAAGGGGAGAAATCCCGCCGTGAAAGAAAGTGCGAGAAAAAGCGCGAGAGAAAGCGCGAGAGAAGCGCGAGCGGCGCGAGACAAAGCTCGAAAGAAGCTTCTCTCGTGAGAAGCTTGACAAAAAGATCCCGACGACACGATCCATTTACAGCGATATAAGATACTGCAAAAGTTGTTCTTACTTCGAGCTCTTTCGTGCTGGCTGTTGTGGACGGTATCGCGGCCGCTAGTAACGCGGCGGCGATGCAGAGAAGGAGTCTGAGGCGTATCGACCTTGACTCCATCGAAATGAAGTCTTGCTATTGTCTCTGTAACGAGTCTGCGTCTACAAGAGCTGTAGATGCGTCCGAAGAAGAACCTGGGCTGATCGTCTCTTGTAAGGTGTTCTTCGTAAGTAACCTTTCCCAGAGGACGGAATAAGCTGCTGTTAGAAAGGCGAGGAATAAGTAGACTGGTGTAGCGCGAGAAGAGGGGTCCCGTGAATTAGTGTGCAATACTGGAGGGAAATTTCACGTCAACAGAACCAACCTGAAGTCACCTCAGTAATTGTCGAAATCACCCTGACTGCTGCCTGCTGTGCATTTGTCACGCGTCGCATGTAATTTGGCACGAGAGTGGCGGTAGCAGAGCTTCCAACCGGATTCTGCTCCTTCTAAGCGCATGAATATCCTGAAAAGTGGAAGGGGCGCAGAATCAGGTCGCGGCAGACATGCGAGAAGGTCAAGAAACCAGGTATGGCGGCGGCACTTCCGCCGAAAACGAGATGGGATGCGACATCCAAACAGAAATCCTTGCTGATGTTTCCCGAGTCGCATGCCATCCTCATCGAGTTTAGTTTGTTTTTGTCAGCGGGCAGATGCCAGACCGTCGCTAAAAGCAGCCGGTCCGACTAATCATCCCCTGAGTCCTGCCGCTGAATCTTGCCGAACGGGAAGCTGCCCGCAGGAAGGCAGAAAGCAACCGTGGGTCTGGAGACAGTCAAGTTGAGGCACCTCATCTACACTACACTCAAACGCAATATCCTTACGAATAGTTCAAATGTTTATACATACATACATGTCAGGCTTACATTCTTGATTCCGCCTCAGTGCTGGCGAACGGGGCCAAAGTGGTAGCCTTCAAAAATCATATGGATTTGTCAGAACTCCCTTTCCATTCATATTCTAGACAACCATTTGCCAACCAACCCACATTGAAATAATAAAATGGCCCACAAATCAATAGATTTTACCAAGCATGAAACTGAAAGTAGCTAGTAGTACAAGGTGAAACTTCTGCTCTTCGGCCATTATTGCTCCTTCCGCATGGAGCAAAACACTTATTTGTGGGACATCAAGTTGGATGTCCTAGTGTGTTCTCATTTTTACCGTACTTGGCGCTCCAGTCTCCCCATTCCTCAACCAACTTCGTCCAAAGCAGCATGCATCCGCACTTGCGTCAGCTCAATCCATCGCCACCTGAACCAGCGCCGTGGTTGCAGATGCAGAGGATGCACTGCTGCAGAAATGCGCTATCTCCATGCACTATCTCTGTCTGGCGCCGTTCCATCATTCGTAGTAAGAAAGCAATACGCTATCTCCTTGCTGTCCCACCACCACCACCACCGCTACCGCCACCGCCACCAGCGCCGCCAGTGGCAGCACCGTAGTTGCAGATGCCGAGAGTGCATTGCCCCGGGCAGCGCGCACCGCAGGCGCCGCAGTGGTCGTTGCTGTTGTCGAGGTTCACGCAGCTGCCGCCGCAGCAATCCAGTGACACGTCGCAGAAGTTGCCGCACGTCCCGCAGTTGTTGATGTCCGTCGTTTGGTCCACACACAGGCTGGTGGAGGGAGGGAGTGGATGTAGTATGACTTTTGAGACGTCTCAAACGAGACACGTCGCAGAAGTTACCGCACGTCCCGCAGTTGTTGATATCCGTCGTTTGGTCAACGCACAGGCTGGGGGTAGAGAGGGGGAGAGGGGGGCAAGGGGGTGGGAGTGGGTGCAAGGAGAATGTAACGTGAAAAGCAGCCTTTTGCAGTTGATGTCGATCGTGCGGTCCACACACAGGCTGGTGGGGAAGAGGGAGTGGGTGCAGTGGTCTTGCGGCTATCGAGATCACACAGCTGCCCCCGCAGCAATCCAGTGACACGTCACAGAAGTTGCCGCACGTCCCGCAGTTGTCGATCATTTGGTCAACGCACAGGCTGGTGGGGGAGGCAGCGCGTGGAAAGGAGAACGGGTACGTGAAACAATGCAGGCGTTGCAGTTGTTGGTTTCTGTCGTCTGGTCCACACTTGGGCTGGTTCGGGAAGAGAGTGATTGCAAGGCGAATGGATATGTGAGACGATGCGTCCTTATGAAATACTAGCGCGCCTCGAAAATGTTGTTGTCAGTTGCCTGGTCCTCCTCACAGAGGCTGGTGGGGGATGAGAGTTGGGGCAACAGGACAAGGGAGAACGATGAGCATTGTCTCAGTGGGTAAAGAGTTGCACTACAGGAAATCAAAAGGTGATCGTTTTGAAACTTGTTTGCGTGTGTGCGCCGCGCGTGTGGTACTCACGAGCCGCAAACGGTCTGGTTGCTGGGGCATGCGAAGACCTGCAGGCGACGCCACTTCACTCGCGAGTTACCACCGCTGGCACCACTTCGCGAAGTTCGCATGGCGTATCGCTGCAGGGAAGGGGTTCACAAGGGCAGCCAAACGAAGAGTTTCACCTCGCATGCGTTGTATGCAATATGATTCGCTCGTGTCGTGACGTCCGCGTGGCGTAACGATGCATGAAGAAATCGCATCGGTACCACGAACTTCGGCCGATTCGCGACGTCTGCGTGACACTCGCTGCGCACCGAGTTACCACGCAGGGAGAGTACAATTACAGGGGAATCCTCGCTGCGCAGCGAGCTGTCACGCAGACGTCAGTCGCAACGAACTGCGGTAGAATTCCAAGGCGGCTCGCTGTGTGAGGATCAAGGGGAGTACGCGGCCGAGAAAGTGCGCAAGAAGCTTGAGGGAGGAGATCCCAGTGAGTCGAAAAGATCTGGTGACGGCGATAAATAAAAACCGAAAGCTGCTCGAATTCTTACTTCGAATTCTCTCGCGCTGGCTGTTGTGGACGGTATCGCGGCTGCTACGAGTAACGCGGCAGCAATGCAGAGAAGAAATCTCAGGTGTATCGACCTCGACTCCATCGAAATTGGCTACAGTTTGTCCGTAACGAGTGAATCCGTGGCTACTAGGGTTGTAGAGATCCGTCCGAAGGCGAGCCCGGACTGATCGTCTCTGGTACTCTTTTGTAACTAGCCTTTGAATTAAGCTCTTGTTAGGAAGGTGAGGGAGAAGCAGAAGTTGGGACGAAACAAATATATGGATCTGCAAGTGTTCGTTCTGAGTCGGGAGGTTACTGGGGCAGAAATGGCGGTGGCTGAACAGCAAAGTAACGTGAAAGCGGCAAGCAGTCTGGCGATGTTAGGCGAGAACGTGAAAGCGGATACTACGTGTTATGAAAACTCGAACTCGGGAAACTGCCTTGACATATCCTTCCTGAGAAATGGGAATCGGGAGACAACTGGCCAGCAGCCAAGTGAGGTTGCTGGAGGGAATACGCGAGACCGATGTTGGGGGATTCAGCCAAAAATGTCTGCACCACGATCAGCTTCAATGGTTGCTGTGTTTGTTTACTTGCTTTGCTTTCAGTTTCCCAGTGCCCTACTTGCATGAGGGTGGGCCCAAGTTGTTCATTTAGTGTACAACTATCGCGGTGCAAGGCGTTGGAGCAGGGTTGGGAACGATGATTGGAAACACCTTTTCAAACCATTGCGCACCAGACTGAACCCTCCAAAGTTGATTGCAGACAAATGGGGATGGTGCCTCTCCCATTGCCTCGCTCGCCACGCCACCCCTCCCCTCTCTCCAAGATCGCGCAAATTCCAGATTTCCCCCCCTCGACTCACATCACATTGTTCAATAAAAAACGGAGCCGCGCGCGGCTCGTCACATGGGAAACACACTTTGCCCCACGATTGCCAGTCACGCGGCGCAACTGTATGCCCGAGGGAATCCATGAGCTGCCACTGCTTTGCGCGCGTTGACTTGGCACTTCAATTATGTTGTTGAGGTGTATACATTGTAACGTGTAGCTGTTAGAGCTAATCAAGAGATAGTGAAAACACCGTTTCTACTCCACCTCCTGTGAATGATTTCTACCTTTCAATTCCAGATTCCCCCCCCTCCCACCCTAGTTTCAACAAGGTAAGCCTAGGTCCAACAGAAAAACAGGTACTCAACCAGGTCAGCTCACGGTGGCAAAGCAGCTGAACTTGACAATGATGGAATTTTGTAAAAAAAAAAAAAAAAAAAAAAAAAAACCCTTGCAATAACATCTAGGTGTGATTCTTTTCTTTCAAAGTTAGTGTCTGTGGAGGAAGGCAGGTGCCATGTCAGCACATGATTTTCCATATTTCCATGTCCCCACTAAACACAAATGGTACACTTTCAGATGACTCCACTCGCACGTGGCCCTACGGTGTGTATGCTCAGTACCTCAACACATGCGGTATTACCCCTGCTAATTCCGAGTTTTCGCATCCATTCACTACAATATAAAAAGCCACTCATAACAAATAAATTGCAAGCAATCACCGCCTCTAAACAGCAGATTTACCAATGCGGTCAAAGGCACTGATGCCAGCCACGCGGCCATACACCACACACTCCAGCAGGGAGTTGCCACCCAGACGGTTTGCTCCATGCAGCCCACCTGTGAGAAGCACAGGGAACAACACAGGCCATGAATTCAACAGGCACACTATGCCGTGTACAGACGCCAACACTTGCATCGATTGGAAAACATGTGTTGCCACACATGTTTTGCAAGAATGATAATCTGTTCTGCTCACCTGTCACCTCGCCGGCACCAAAGAGGCCAGGAATCGGTGAGCCATCTTCCTTGAGGATACGGCCGTTAGTGTCAAACTCACCCAACCATCCACTACGACAAATGGGTGATGGCCACCTTTCACATTAGCCTGATAATCTTCTTTGCGCACCTGTCACTTCGCCGGCGCCGAAGAGGCATGGAATGGCCGAGCCATCCTCCTTGAGAATGCGGCCGCTGGTGTCAAACTTGAGCCCTCCCATGCAGTAGTGCAGCGACGGCGTGATGATGGCCACATAGAGCGGGGGCTCGGAGGTGCTGTGAGGTAGACAGAGAGGGGTATGGGAGAGGAGTGATGGTGAGGAGTTTTGAGACGTCTGGAAAGCCGCTGGTGTCAAACTTGCGCCCTCCCATGCAGTAGTGCAGCGACGGCGTGATGATGGCCACGTACAGTGGGGACTCCGAGGAGCTGCAAGGGAGAAAGCGAGGGAGATCTAAATGAGGGGACAGGGGCAATGGATGGAGATACATCCAGACAGCTTCGTCAACAAGAACCGAGGGATCAACTCTTAGGACACAAAGGCAGGTCCAGTGGAGACATTGTTGTAGAATTGGAACGCAGGAGGACGGACATCACTCACTTAAAGGGCACAGGGAAGATGGAAGGCGGCACTCACTTGAAGAGCACAGGGAAGACGGTCTTGCCGAAGGGATCGCCCTTCTCTGCATCGTGGTGGCCGTACGAATCCAGAGCAGCCTTCACGTTGGCTGCTGGCAGCTTGGTGCCCTCGCTCAATGCCTCGACGCTCTCAAACTGCGATGGGAATGCGGGGAGTGGGAGACACCAGGGCGAAGAGGTGGGGAAAGGGAGGGAAGGTGTTGAAGGTGGGAAGAAACGTTGAGTTCAGAGCAGCCTTCACGTTGGCTGCTGGCAGCTTGGTGCCCTCACTGTCAAACTGCGATGGGAGTGCAGGGAGCGTAGGGTATTAGGGGGAAACAATGCAGGGAGAGGAAGGCTGGGTCCAGAGCAGCCTTCACGTTGGCTGCTGGCAGCTTGGTGCCCTCACTGTCAAACTGCGATGGGAGTGCGGGGAGCGTAGGGTATTAGGGGGAAACAATGCAGGGAGAGGAAGGCTGGGTCCAGAGCAGCCTTCACGTTGGCTGCTGGCAGCTTGGTGCCCTCACTGTCAAACTGCGATGGGAGTGCGGGGAGCGTAGGGTATTAGGGGGAAACAATGCAGGGAGAGGAAGGCTGGGTCCAGAGCAGCCTTCACGTTGGCTGCTGGCAGCTTGGTGCCCTCACTGTCAAACTGCGATGGGAGTGCGGGGAGCGTAGGGTATTAGGGGGAAACAATGCAGGGAGAGGAAGGCTGGGTCCAGAGCAGCCTTCACGTTGGCTGCTGGCAGCTTGGTGCCCTCGCTCAGAGCCTCCACGCTCTCAAACTGCGATGGGAATGCGGGGAGTGGGAGGCACCAGGGCGAAGAGGTGGGGGAAAGGGAGGGAAGGTGTTGAAGGTGGGAAGAAACGTTGAGTTCAGAGCAGCCTTCGCGTTATCAACTGGCAGCTTGGCACCCTCGCTCAGAGCCTCCACGCACTCAAACTGCAGGGGAAAGAGCACACCACGGCGACGAAGTGGAGGGACAGGGGAGGAGGGGGAGGGAAGTTGGGTCACGAGAACCGAGGAGAGTGGGGACTGAAGGAACAAGGTGAGGTGGGCTGGGTGGAAACATAGAAGTTGATACCTCCTTGAAACCACAACTGGCTGCTCATCCTCCTCAGATGTTTTCCATTGCTCTAGGCACTGCCTGAATGAATACCCGTCCACCCGCCTTCCTCACCCACCCCCCTCACCCTCCCTTCTGACCCTCGTGTCTCACCTTACGGATGAGCCCCTTGCCGATGTAGAACTGGCACGAGAGCGGGTCGAACTTGTTGATGGCCTCCTGGTTCAGAACCAGGTACGACACCGCCGGCAAGTCCCTTCCCTTCTTCTCCCTCAACACGTTACCTCTCCTCTGCCTCCCACTCCCATCCACCCTCCCTCATCCCCCTCCTTCCCCACCCTCGTGTCTCACCTTGCGGATGAGCCCCTTGCCGATGTAGAACTGGCACGAGAGCGGGTCGAACTTGTTGATGGCCTCCTGGTTCAGAATCAGGTACGACACGGCCGGCATGTCCGCGCCCCCTGCTGGCGCGTCTGGCACCTCGGGCAGCGGGCCGCAGTACTTCAGAATCGCCTCGACCACCTGGTGGGGGGAGAGAGAGGGGAGGGGAGGGGGGGGGGGGGTTGAGGTGCCTAATAAGCAACCACCTCGGGGAGCGAACCGTCGTTCTTAGGAACAAGAGGCGGGGCAGTGATAGACAAGAAAAAGAGTGGGATGGGGAGCGCCGGGAAGGGTGGTGACAGAAGCAAGTGGGTTGGGTTGGGGAGTAAGGCTGCAACACAAGCCAGTACCATTCAGCAATGTCAACCACTGTTCCTCCCTGTCCCTCCCTTCCTGCCCTGCCCGCCCTGCCCACACTTCCCACTTCCCACCGTGCCCGCCTTGCCGTGCCGCCATTCCAACCTTTCCCCAGCTCTCACCGCCTCCCTCCCCTTTGCGCATCTGATCACATCCCTCTCTCCTCCCTGCCATCATTCCCCTCTCTACCCGCCAGCCCAGATCGACCCTCTCTCCCTCTGCTTCACCCACCACCCATCCCTCGCAGTCTGTCACCCCATGCACTCACCGCGTCCCTGGTGGTGAGCTCGTTGACGAAGCGGTCGCCCTTCTCGTTGAGCAGGATCCCGCCGCATCCGCGCAGGGCCTCGGGCGCGAGGAACTTGACGGGGTTGCGCGGGTCCTTGGGGTCCACGTACCCCGTCGGGTGCAGCTGCACCTGGTCCATGTGAATCAGCCCCGCGCCCGCACCCAATCCCAGTCGCACGCCATCGCCCGTCGCGAAGGGACCGTTGGTGGTCGCCAGGTTGCGCAGCTTGGGCGTGTGCTGGTCCAGCAGGCCCCCCTCGGCCTTGTCTGCGGAGTAGCCGCCTGTTGCGAGGATGACTGCGGACGCCTTCACCTCCGTCTCCTCCTTGCTGCCCTGAGGAGGGGAAAGGGGGTTAAGGGGCAGGGGAGGAGGGGACGGGAAGGGGAAGCAAGGAGGGTGACGGTGAGGGCGATCGGCTTATCTTGTTTGCTCTCCTATCACAGGCGGTTCTTCAACAGCTGCCCGTGGAAGTAATTCTCGTCAAACCCCCAAACCGGTTAGCTGTGCGTGAGACGTGCGTGAGACGTGCGTGAGACGTGCGTGCCAGGACCCGTCCACTTACAGATCCGTCAGACGGGAGGTTCTCGTACGAGACGTACGCATCTTCTTGAAGTCGACACAAACTTTCAGTCGACTTAATTAATCGCCTACGCCTCACGAGTCAAGGACTCACAGTGCCGTCGGCCGCGGGAGTCTCGTACTTGACGCCTCTTCTTAAAGTCGACATGAACTTTCCGTCGACTCATTGAATCGCTTACGCCTCACGAGTCATGGACTTACCGAGCCGTCGGCCGCGGGGTTCTCGTACTTGACGCCGGTGACGGCGCCTCTGTCGTCTGTGAGAAGCGCAGTCACCCGCGCCTGCTTCACCACCTTGGCCTGCAGAATAAAAGAAGTGTTCATTTATCACGTGACTTACCGAGCCGTCAGCCGCGGGGGTCTCGTACTTGACGCCGGTGACGGCGCCGGTGTCGTCTGTGAGAAGCTCGGTCACCCGCGCCTGCTTCACCACCTTGGCCTGCAGCAAGCACACAGAGAGACGACGAGACGACAGACAGACACGCACGGAACAAGAATGAGCCGCGAATGGGACTAATGAAGCATGACGAGAGACAAATAGCATCGATGGGAGGGCAGCAGGGACGTGGGGAACGAATCACACCGCGAACGAGCCCATTGCTGTGGTTTTGGAAGTACCTTATCGGCAGGGAGAGCCTCGACGTATTTGATGAGCACGGACATGATGCGGAAACCAATGTTCATGGGCTTGCCGTCGGGCTTGGACCTGTGCGTGCGCGGATGCTGCCTCGTTTTATCGAACAGCAGCAGCGTGCAAGGGGGGGAGCAGCAGGGAGCAGACGGGGGACAAGAGGAGAAGAGGAGAAATCTAAATTGACCCTGCTAAATGCATGAGTTTCTCAAGCCTTTGGTCCAAGGAGATCTCGGAACCAGGAAGACATGGATGTGCAGAGCAAACCAGACTGAAGCTGAACGGGGTAACGAATTTACGATTGGCTTCCGAGCTGCACTACGGTAAACGAGCTGCCGACTCACCGAGTGGCCGCCCAGCTGCGCGATGCTGGAGAGGTCGATCTGGAAGCCTTCGAGGAACGCGACGGCGTCCGCGCTCTGCTTCACGATCACGTCCACCAGCGCCATGTCCGACAGGCCCTTGCCGGACCTGCAACGAACAAGTGGGACGAGACGAGGAGTCGAGGAGATGACGAGGTGGTGAGATGAATTGGGTCAGGGCATGGACTACGAGGTGCCTCAAGGGAGGAGAATCGACGGCGTCCGCGCTCTGCTTCACGATCACGTCCACCAGCGCCATGTCCGACAGGCCCTTGCCGGACCTGCAACGGGAGGGTAGCACGAGACGAGAAGAGGACGAGGAGACGACGCGGGGATGAGATGAAGTGGGAATTGCTATCAGACTATGAGGCGTCTCAAGAAAGGAGAAGCGACGGCGTCCGCGCTCTGCTTCACAACCACGTCCACCAGCGCCATGTCCGACAGACCCTTGCCGGACCTGCAACGAGCAGGCAGGAAGGAACGCGCGAAACTTGCGATGAGATAATGAGGATAACAGCACGAGAAGATAAGGATGGACCGTTGTCAGAAGGAAACATTCGAAGCTCCATGTGATGGCAGAACAGAGCGAGGGGAAACAAGGAACAGAACGGCTGCGGATGAAAGGGGACTCACTTCTCGGTGTCCTTGGCGAAATCCTCCAGCTTGTCCTCGATGCCACTGGCGAGCTGGGGTCCGCTGCGAGCAGCGTTCATTCCTGAAGGGGAAATGAAAGAAAAAGAAGGAATCACGGGAACGAACACGGGATCACGGTCTGAGGGGAACGAACCTCCAGCAATCCAGTGATGGTACCTAACCAGGTTAGGACGAACGCTTCAGGGAGCTAATCCTGATCCCACCGGGATTCGTACAACATTGCAGTTCCAAACGCTTGATGCGAGGGAATATAACCACAGATGTCATAATTCATAACCCCATTTAGAGCAAATATTTGTTTTCCGAACATTGTGATGCATAAGTCAGGGTGAAAACAGCAACGAAAGACGGATGGATGGAAGCTCACCAGAGCTCGCCTTGCCAGAGTTACCGCCGAGCCTGCAAGGCAATCACACACACAAGGATCGGATCACAATCAAGAGGTCACTACGACAGAAAACTATCGGGAACTTAGGAGACACGAATGTACGACGGAATACATGACCCACCGGAGAGATAAAAAGAAGAGAGAGAAAAGAAACGCTTGCAACAACTTAAACTTCACTCAGCAAATGACCGTTCGTTCAGCAACTGACCGCTCGCTCTTTTCGAGGACGAGGACGGATCCACCTCGCTTGACGACTTCCACGGCCGCAGACAGGCCCGCGAGGCCGCCTCCCACCACCACCACGTCAGGGAAAGTAGCCATTTTTGTCACTGCAAGAAACCGCGATCACAGTGAAGGACGTTCGAGAAGAAAGCTTGGAAGTGCAGAGGCAGCACGGCAGCCATCATGCATCACATGCAGGATAGAGAAAGCTGGAGAGGACATGGTCTGATATGCAAGCCGTTCAAGAATTTAGTACCCCATGAAGGCAGGGAACGAAGGGGTGATGCAGATCTACATGTCTTGCTGTGTAATGACTCGAAAGCAAAGAAGCGAAACCGGGAGACGGTGGAGGCTAAAATACGGTAGCTCACGAAAGAGGATCTCATGAGGCATTATACTAGGCACTCTGCGATGAAATAAGAGCGGGAAAAGCTGGATTTCCGGTTCCAGAAAGTTGAAGTGTCACCTTCAGTTGCGGAACCGGCTTTTTCCGATTGCAAGTCAGCTGTGGTTTTGAAGCGTTCGCTCAGTGGTTCAACAAAAGCGTTGGGATTCAGATCGACGGTGAAGGAGTTGCCAGGGACTTGAATGGCGAGGGAGCAGCAGACGAGGACTAGCAGCAGAAGCACCACGCCCTGCACGTGGTGGGAGTTGAGGAAAGACATGGGGGAATTCATCTGCCACGTGGCATCAGCAGTCAGAGGAGACGCGCTGTCGTTCGGTGATCTCAAGGGAACTGTGCTGTTTTTAGGCTGCGAGAGAGTGGGGATTCGTCTGCTGGCCATGACATGACGAGACGAGCAATCGACTACTTCATGCCGCATGAGCAAAGAGCTAAGCAAGGGCAGATGCTGGGTTTCAGAGGCCGTACAATAATAGTCCAGGCAATCGTCCCTTGAGATTGTCAGGTGATGCAGTTGCAAAGCGGAAAGCTCCTCTGCAGAGATTTACTGATGGAGGTGCAAGCAAGAATGGAATGTGAGGTGTCATGGTGTGTTGAGGTGTTATTTTCAGAATCACCATGAAACATGCTGCGAGGCAAGGAGAAAGGGGAGATCACGCATGGTCTGGTGGTGAGCGGTTGGTCGGTTCAAGGAATCCCCTGACCGACCTGAGAATCCGTAATGTCTGCATTGCATGCATTCTCTGTGTTGTGTGTTACTTTTGTGGAAAACTTCCTGCCCGAATCAAGCCAAACCTGCACGGTTCTAAAATCTTTGTGACTATACGTGTTCACATGCTGGAAGTTTCTGCGGAATGAAATGCTCGCGGTCGTGGAAAAGGGTCCCACCTGCCGTGCTCATCGCAGCTGAGGGGAGGTTATACGGACCTATTTTCAATTTAGAGGAGCTGACCGTCCTTGCACATTTTTACGTGGAGATTCTACTGACGGGGCCTCGCCAGCCAATCACCAATCTATGTCTACACAAATTCAGCAACAGCCTCGAGGCTCTCTCAAATCTCTGTGCTTCGTATCTCCAAGATTCCAGCGAAGTTAGCTGACTTGGGAGCCTTGCGTGGCAATGCGCTGTTAGATACTCCATGTCACTACACCTGCTGGCGTGTGCCAGATTATGAAAATAATTCTGTTACAAGCGTTCCCTAAGTAATTTATCAACACATATGCTAGTGTGCAGTAATGAAAATTCTGCAGCTCAAACCTGATTATGCAGGTTCCTTCAATAAAACCTGATTAGAAAGCCATTGTGTTTGTATTTTCATTTGTTGAGGAAATTTGAAACAAACAATCTTTGTTGGCATGTAAAAACATAGCAATCTCTACATTGCAATTGCCAAAATATTGCAGTATTCGCATGTTGCAATACTAACCCTGAACTAGATAAATACATCGCTGAATCATAGTAAAGCGACATTTTCTTGCCTATCGTGGTCCACCGCAGCATGCATTATGTTGGGAATTGCCCTTGCTACTGGTCTCTCAGACAATTTAGGTGCAGCAATTGTAACAATCCATTGAGCATTGCTGCTACCTCTTACAAAGAAGTCGAACAGTAACCTTCGGCCTAGAACCCACCGTGAGTTGCCACGTGCTCCACCTCTTCCGCTGTGCTCTCCCTCCCCAGCACCTCGTTGCGGTGAGGGAACCGGCCAAACTTGACAATGATGTCACGGTGCTTGTGAGCGAAGCCCACCCACCCGGACAGGGAGTCCTTGAGCGGGCCTTCTGGTGCCTCTTCTACCGACTCCGACAGCAGCTGCACACACATGTCTTGGTCTGCTAGGTCTGGTGGTGCGGGGGGGGGGGGGGGGGGGTGTGTGAACGGGAAGATGCAAGATACTGAATGACCAAAGAATGAACACTTGAAGAGATGATCTGGTGCTTCAGCTGCTGACTCCGGCAGTAGCTGCCAGCTGCAAGGTCTGATGGGGGGAGAGACTTGCAGCGGGAATTATGGAATGGGGGCAAGAGACTGGGACGAATAATTAACAATTTGAATTCCAATGTCAAAAGTAGCAATGTAATAATCGGAACAAACAGTAAACAACATGAGTCTAGTAATCATTTACAGAAAGCATCTAAAACTGACCCACCTTCTGAATGCATAAAGGGCATGTAAAAGAAGGACCGGATACGAAGGTGAAATTGCTTGTTGAATCCCTTGGCTATGGCCCTGCATTGCACATAACGATCCATCTTTGTGGTGAGGACGAGCGGTTGTACTAAAAGAATGAGACTTCCAGACAAACTTCAGAGAAATTAACATTTAAGAGGAGCAATCGATGGTGTAGAAATGCATCAGCAATAAGTCTGTTAGACATGAGAACTGCACAAGCGCAGCACAGATCACGACTTAGAGAACTTATGTGCTTAGATAACATGGGATGTGATTCAATCCTGACGTTACGAGCCGTTAGGAGAAGAAGGAGCAGAGAGCCAGTTGTAACTGCACAGCGGTGCGCTCTAAAGGTACGATATACAAAAGTGCCATGGACTTGACTCACCTTTTTGCGACTTCACAGGCCAAAGCGTCCTGGAGCAGGGATGGCGAGAAGTTAAGGAGAACGGGAAGGTAAAAAAATAAGACTCAACTCAAGAATAGCCCCGGAAAGGGATTTTTAGGGGAGGGAGGAGGGAGGCCATGGGGAAGGAAGAGGAGAAGCAGATGAGAGCGACAACTATTATGCGAGTCAGGAAAGAGTTAGGAACGACAATCAGTTGTGGTGCTATGCAAGGTTTATGATGATGGTGTTCGTTAAAATGTAGGTAGCATTGCTTGTGGTGCTATGCAAGGCGATGGAATCGAGACAATGAGGGACTATATGTACGGCCATAGTGGGCATTTAAGGTTCATGCTGCAGAGGGAGGAGAGGGCCTTGAGGAATTGGGGGTGGTAGTCAGCTGCAGAGTGATGCAGTGAGTCAGTGATGGCAGTCACACAAGGAGTCTGCAGTGACGTGGACGGTGATTCGGAAAGGTGACGTCAGCACTCACCTGAGCGAAGGAGTCAGGCGATCCCCTGAGGCTGTTCCTCGTGAACTGGTCCAGCAGCACGACCAATGCCAGCGCGCCATGTGGCGTGTCTTCCCAGCCTGCCAGCTGGCCTGACGCAGCTAGTGGGATGAGGGGAGCGAATCTAGCGCGGATAAAAGCGTCCACGTCAGCATCTTTGCGGAACCAAAGGGATTGCTTGGATGCCACGGCATCGTCTTCTGGTGCTGGGCCCTGCCAAGGAGCAATAAGAGGGTTGGAAACACAAGAAAATGCTAATCCTTGGAAGGGGGGTTGGGGATTCGGAAAAGCCTAAAGCCTACGTAAGGTGTAGAAAATCATTGGCTATTATACTGCCATTTCTTACAGCATACTCAGGCGCCATGAAGACACCGAACCAGTACACGAGAATCTCGTCAACTGCCTTATCCACGTCAGCAGGCATCACGCCGCTGCTGCTAGTCGCGACAGGACCGTCGGAGGCCATTGCTGCCACAGCTGTTGCTGTAAAGTGTCGCTGTTCGTTACTACCAGTAATAAGACTAGAACCCGGAAGATCTCGGCGAGCGACAGGCGCGGCCGTCGAACCTGCGCAGATGTGCTTTTTATTGATGGCGACGCTGTTGTTGAAGGAGCAGTTACAGGTACTACTGCTTTTGCCGCTGGTAACCCTGTAACTGTTAGCGCTGGATCTTGACGCTCCACTCGAAATCCCTGAATGCGACTGCGGGGTGACAGAAAAATTTATTTGTAAACAGACAGGCACCCGTTGATGCCTCCCAATGTCAGGTAATATTGAGGTATCTGGGCAAGCAAAGAGGAATCGCGAAAACGAGAGAATTCTTTCGATCGCCGAGGCTTGTCGAGCTCTCGAGTAAACCGAGGCTTCGAGTCTGATGGCGAGCATCGGGATAGAACGGCTTATTCCGATTTAACGGCTCTTTCCAAACCAGCGGCTCGTTTCGGCTTTTTGACAGAAGCGTTCAATGGAGCCGGGTGAAGAAGATCAGGCCCTTGAAAGGACGCTGTTGCGAGGTGTTGCTTCAGCAGAAGTGAGGTGTCTGTTGTTGGCAAGAATGGTTGAACCACATGGTAAACAGCAGTACTACAAATTCACCGTTTCGAACCGCTCTAAACGAATTTCTGAGGGCTGGAGAATGTCTGCGAAGGAACCACCACCACCACCACAGTAAAGGATTTGCCTCACGCAACTGCGCCGTGAAAGCACTCTGCTGTATGCACTTCACTCTGAATACCAGAGAAACACGAATTCAATGGTGCAGCTCGGTTGGTGCAACGACTTTGCATGACTTAGGCCGCTCAATGTATAAATAAAACGCCAACAAGAACTCATTCTACATACTGGATAGAACGTTTTAAGCTGGTGCTTGCTCCAAGGCGTACATTATGCATGAAACTATCATATTTTCTACATCCATGTGTACTACTCCCGACCAAAGGCCATTGCCGACGCGTAGCAACCTTCTCTTCCCACCCAGTGCTATTGGGGCTCAGCAGCAGTTTCGGCTCCTTCCTCATCCACTGCGTTTGAAACACACACCCACCACAGCCATGCCAGAACATCAGACGTAGAGCATGATAGCTTCCACTGCTTGTTATATAAATGGAATATGGTACACTACATACATCAGGTAATGGCTGACATCTGGGAGGGAACATGGAAATCAAAGTGCATTCACATTGATTTATAGGCCATGATCGAGAAGATGGAAGGTGCAATGGCATGATGCAGAGAGTGTGTGTGTGTGTGTGTGTGTGTGTGTGTGAGAGAGAGAGAGAGAGAGAGAGAGAGAGAGAGAGAGAGAGAGATAAGAGGGGAAGGGGGAGGAGGGGTAGGGGTGAGAGGAGGGGACGGAAAAACGGAAGGAAGGCAGTCAACTACCGTGATCCTTGTGGGCTTCAACATCCTTGGGCGAAGTCAATGGTTTCTGCTCCTCTCGTTTGGACGACCCTCCTCCCCCACCACCACGGTAGTTTTGCTTCACAGTGGATTGCTGGTACATCACTCCACCGACGATTGTAATGAACAGACAGAGCACTCCAAACGGGGATGCGTGCTTATCCCATATCATCACGTTGATGACAACAGTCAGCAGCTTGTTCGTCACACCAAGTACAGTGAAAGCCGTGGCTGAAATCGCCTTTCTGCAGGCGAAACCGAAGAAGCTTATAGCGAGGCCGAACGCGCAGGATAGCAGCACGGGAAAGACGATCCCGAATTCCCATGAGGCCGTGCTCGCGGCTTTAATAGTCTCGCGAAATTCTCCCGTGATCATCCAGAAGACGGGAGCCATGAGGAGGGAGAGGAAGTTGTTGTAGAGAACGAAACCCCAGGTGTTCAGTCCCAGGCTGGTGACTATATGCTTGATGTACACCATCTCGAATGTGATTGTAAAGAGGTAAGCGAAGGCCCAGGTGTAAGCTCGGACCGTGTACTGGCTGTCAGTAAACACGTAGCCTACAGCTCCCACTAGGATCACGACCAGCGCGCCGAGAGTGTAAGGCCCTGGCCATGGCTGCTTCCTGAATAAGTAATCCGCGAACGCGACGAGGAGAGGCGTGGAGGATCGGAATATAATGAAGGTGTCGACATTCGCGTAGCGAAGCAGCGAGGTGTTGGTGAAAATCGCCATGTAGAAAACGAAAGCGGCCGGAATGAACTTCTTGATCATGTCCCATCGGATCGGGTCGTGGACTAGGAGTTTAAATTGCCCGGACGTGACGACGGCGACGACGCAGGTGAGGTATTGGAGAGAGGTTAGGAGGCTCGGGTAAGGGAAAACGCCGATGGCGAATTTGTTTATGATTGCGAGGAGGCTGGAACAAAGAGCGTAACCGACGGCTAGCGGGAGAGAGGTTAGGTCGCCTAGGTTAATGTTGACGCCGAATAGCTTGACACTCGTGTTCTCCTTGTACCACGGCGCCATTGCTGACGTGTCAACAGTTGAGCAATTGGTGCGTTACTGGCTGATCGACGGGACGAGACTAGCAGGCACTGTCGCTACCATGAGCGGGAGCTACTGCAATGGCAGCACAAATCAGTGAAGTACGGACCTCCATAAATTACGCGCACGAAGCAAGCTTCAAGTCGTAGACAAAGAACATGGGAATGGCGCGATGCCTAGGAGATCGATCATAGGTTAGGTGGAGCAGAGCATCTGATAGGGGCTGGTGAGGTGAAGTGAGCACGCAGTGAGAAGAGGCGGACTGGAGAAGTCAGGGGTGTGCTGTGGGTAGTGGTTTTCCAGACGGTAAACATCGGTTCGTGGCGAATTTGTGCTGGACATTTCTGTGAGGTGGTTTGATCAGATAGCGGTTTGGTATGGTTTAGTTTGGTTTGGTCTGGTGGAAATAGAATCAGGCCGGAATTGCAGATTTGCATTATTTGCTACAATACACCACCACAACCCATATATGAAACATGTGCTGAATCATGTAGTAGAGCAACCCGAAACGAATTTGGAGGGAAGGGAATGATCCGCGCTTGATGCCTGTCAGTCAGTCCCTCGGGATTTGGTTCCTGAAATTAGTTCCTCAAGCAGCCATTCAGGAGAGTGAAAGTTTCCATTATTGTTGTAGGCTCGTGTGTTGGCCTAGCATCAGTTTTACATACCGTATTTTTTCTCGCAAGATAACATGGCGGTCGACTCGCAAGAAGCCATTCGCCTGGCGTTTCTTCTCGAGCCAGGCCACAGCGTCAGCAGTACGGATGGTTTCGATTATCTTGGGACCCGACGGTTTCTCCTGAAGACTAAAGCTCAAGACGCGACCCTCCAGCGACACGTAGGTGATTCTAATGAGGCTTTATGATATCGTACCCGCGATCCACGGACAATGTTCTGACGGCAGATACGCGCTTCGTCACGCGTTGAGTCGAGAAATACGATACGACATTTGAGGGTTGTTTCATGAGTTTCCCCTGCGTTTTCAGAGTACTTCGTCGACGTGGATGGCTGAAATCTCCACATCATCGTTGAACGCCGTAACCGCAACAGCTTCTGTACCCCATTATTGTCACTGAATAGTGACCACACACAATCCGCACCTCTGTGTTGTCATTGCGCGCTTCGAACCGTGGTTTTTGTGCTACCATCCTCCCGTTTCCCTCGTTTTCTCGCTCTCCCTTCACCCTCCCCTCGTAGTCCCCTCTCACTCCCTTCGCCTTTCCCTCGCAATCCCCTCACACTCCTCTCTCACTCCTCCCCTCACACTTCCATCCCGCACCCCAGCACTGGCAGCACGTGTCAGGAGTGGGCTACGCCAATTTCCGCGCCTTCCTGCGCGCTCAGCGGGACACGTGGCGGCAGGAGCGCGAGGCAAGCAGGGAGGAGGAGAGGCGCGCAGCACCCGCAGCGCCCCATGCTGACGTGGCTCCTTTAGAAGCTGTTGCAGGGCAGAAGGCTCAAGGGAAGGTCGATATGGGGGAGGTCAGCATGGGGGAGGAGTTTGATACGGGGAAGGCTGGTATGGGGGTGGTTGTGGGGGAGTTGGGAACGGTTCAGGTGGACGGAATGACAGTGGCTGATCTCCATGGAGAAGAAGAAGAAGGGTTGGAAGAACGTTTTACGAAGCCTTCAGCTGAGGCTGTTGCGGCAGGACAGAGTACCGCTGCTGCTGTGAGTGCTGGTGCTGGTGCTGGTGCTGATTCCAATCATACCTCCAAACGCACTGACGCACCTCCTCCTTTCACGAGCGGCAGTGTTGACTCCATAGCTGCCGCTGTAGCAGCAGCCTTGGGAACGTCAGAACCGCCTGTTACTGCGTCTTCTGAAGCTGCTCCCACTGCCGAAGGGCCCGAGGTGGATGCTACTGCTACTGCTACACGTGCTGCTGCTGATGCGGCTGCTTCTAAGCGTGCTGGTTTTGAATCTGCTGGTTCTGGGCGTATTGGTTCTGCAGGCAGGGAGAAGCTTGAGGATGGTGCAGAGGGTGCAGAGGGTGCAGGGCACAGGGAGAGTGGAATAGTGGAGGAGGTGGCGATAAGGGTTAGTGCATCCAGTGGCGCAGGTGCTGGTGTGTCTTCTAACGCGGATAGGGACGGGGAGAGAGGGGATGAGGGAGGCGGGAATGAAGTAGCAGCATCAGCAGAAGCAGCGGCAGAAGATCAAGGCGACAAGTCAAGGCCGACATCTGCAGCATTGACATCAGACAGCAAGCAGCAGCAAGACAGAATTGGCAAGCAGAAGGACGGCAAGCAGCCGCCGTCCCCTCCGTCCCTCCCTGCTGGCTTCACCTCCTCCATCTGCAGCGTTCTCCCTGAAGCTTCTCGGAACGTTCTTCCTCCTCCTCCGTCTCGCCCTGGTCCTGGCAAGGCAGCAGCGGCAGCAGGGGAAGCGGAGGGGAGGAAGGGGGCGAGGAGAGGGAGCGAAGGAGCAGGGAGCGAGGGGGGTGCGGGGAAGGCGCTGGAGAGGAGGAGATCGGCAGGGGAGGTGGTCGCAGGGCGGGGGAGTGGGGAGGTGGGGCCACCTGTGCGCATGTGTGCTGTCTTCGATGACTGCCTCGCCTCAGGTGCGACAAGGTTTTTGAGGCGTCTCAGGGTTTAGGGAGGAGGGAAGTGGGGGTATGGAGATGGGTGCGCCTGTGCGCATGTGTGCTGTCTTCGATGACTGCCTCACCTCAGGTGCGACACTGACACTGACACTGACACTGACACTGACACTGACACTGACACTGACACTGACACTGACACTGACACTGACAATGACACTCACACACTGACTACCTTGTAGCTCGTGGCAGACAGAGGGCTCCGAAATAAGCCTCTTGCCTTCTGTACCGTCAACCAACTGACTCTGAGCTCGATATATTTCTCGTATGTGCGCCTTCGACGCCCTTTTTCTGCAGTGCTTGTGGCTGGCTTCCACTTATCCTTCCGAATCTCTCATAGAGCCTAAAAAACCGCTATGTCCTACCATGTCCATCCCACCAGTCCCTCACCACCTCCACACCGCCCTTCCGCCCCTCCCTCCCTCCCTCCCTGCAGTGAACAAGGTGCATTTCGCCCGCCACCACCCCGACCTGCTGGCGTACAGTGCTGCTTGTGCCAAACGCAACTCTTTCCACTCAACCCCCCCCTTTCTCTTCCCCCCCACGCTCCCCCTTCCCCCCTCCCCCATCCTCCAGTGAACAAGGTGCAGTTCGCCCGGCACCACCCTGACCTGCTGGCCTACAGTGCTGCTTATACCAAATGCACCTGTTTCCACCCACACCCCCCCCTTGTCTTCCCGCCCTCCCCCCTCCCTGCAGTGAACAAGGTGCAGTTCGCCCGGCACCACCCTGACCTGCTGGCCTACAGTGCTGCTTATACCAAATGCACCTGTTTCCACCCACACCCCCCCCTTGTCTTCCCCCCCTCCCCCCTCCCTGCAGTGAACAAGGTGCAGTTCGCCCGGCACCACCCTGACCTGCTGGCCTACAGTGCTGCTTATACCAAATGCACCTGTTTCCACCCACACCCCCCCCTTGTCTTCCCCCCCTCCCCCCTCCCTGCAGTGAACAAGGTGCAGTTCGCCCGGCACCACCCTGACCTGCTCGCCTATGGGGCAGCGGACGGCACACTGCGGCTGTGCTATGTGCCGTGCAGCCGGGGGGGCAATAGGATAGGCGGCACAGGAGGGAAGAGGGGAGCTGTGAATGTGGCGCGGGTGAAACATGAGCTCAAGGGACACACCAAGGAGGTTACTGGTGAGTCCAATAAAACGTGCAGAGTCACTAGTTGACTCAACAGGCATGGGGGAGGAAGGGCGCTGTGAGTGTGGCGCGGGTGAAGTATAAGCTCAAGGGGCACATCAAGGAGGTCACTGGTGAGTGAAGTCAAATGGGCAGAGTCCTGAATCGACTTGAACACACAGGAAAGAGAAGTGGGGTGGGTGGTGAGTGCGTGGCGCGGGGGAGTGAAGCATGAGCTAAGGGACAGAGCAAAATGGTCACCGTGAGTGAAACCCATCCTGCCGTGGAACCACCCCTCGTTTTCGAGCTTCAAGATTCACATTGGGTGCACTGGCAGTGCTGCGCATTGACTGCTGTGCAGCATGTGCAGCCTGTGCTGTTTGTGCAGTCTGTGCAGTCTGTGCAGCCTGTGTGCTCCACTCTCTCCACCTATGGCCAATCTCATTCTCTTGCTACACCCGCCTGCCATCCGTCCCACCCACGTGGCAGACTTTGATTGGTCCACGGATGACGACTACCTGTGCTCGTCGTCTGCTGACAAGAGTGTGCGCGTGTGGGACGTGGGGTCGGGGCAGTGCCTGCGCATCATCTACACCGTCATTCCGCAGACCTGCATCATCTTCCATCCGGTACGGTCCATCTCTAGTCAATGCCTCATCTGCCACACAGTAATAAGCCACACACGTGGGGTGGGTGGGATCGGGGCAGTGCCTGCGCATCATATACACCGTCATTCCGCAGACCTGCATCATCTTCCATCCGGTACGGTCCATCTCTAGTCAATGCCTCATCTGCCACACAGTAATAAGCCACACGTGGGGTGGGTGGGATCGGGGCAGTGCCTGCGCATCATATACACCGTCATTCCACAGACCTGCATCATCTTCCATCCGGTACGGTCCATCTCTAGTCAATGCCTCATCTGCCACACAGTAATAAGCCACACACGTGGGGTGGGTGGGATCGGGGCAGTGCCTGCGCATCATATACACCGTCATTCCACAGACCTGCATCATCTTCCACCCGGTAAGGAGGGACCCATTCCATTCCCCAGGCATGGCTTACACGACATGTGCGGAGACATGCAGCAGTCTCACACATGTGGGTTCGGGGCAGTGCCTGCGCATCATATACACGCTCATTCCCCAGACATGCATCATCTTCCACCCTGTACAGTCCATCTCTAGTCAATGCCTCATCTGCCACTCAGTAATAACCCACACACGTGGGGTGGGTGGGGTCGGGCCAGTGCCTGCACTGCACATCATCTACACGCTCATTCCGCAGACCTGCATCATCTTCCATCCTGTCATAACCCGGCCATGCATTGATGTCATACATGTTGGGTCACATAATCCTTTGCAGGGTGTTTTTGAGAATTGGAACTTTTAAGGATTCTCAAAAACACCCTGCAACTTTTGAGAATTTCCAAAAAAATCCATCGTCTTCCACCCTGTAATAACCTGCGCATCATCTACACGCTCACTCCGCAGACCTCCATCATCTTCCACCCGGTAATATGATTCACTCACATGGCATCACGCACACGACACGTGGTGGGTGGGTGGGTGGGGCATGCAGCACTCTCATGCGTGTTGAATCACATGATCCATCGGTAATATGATTCACGTGCGCATCATCTCCGCACTCATTCCCCAACCCTGCATCATCACTGTCCTGTCCCTACCAGTAACACTCATGGTGGCGAAAATTACCGCGCGAGTAGTGAGTCATTTCTGAGAATTTCAAGAAAAAATCTTACAAGGGAAACTATATGGCGAGTAGTGAGCCCCGTCCCTGTCCCCTGATTCAATCTCCCGTTCCCCACTTCCCCCTCCCTCCCCTTCTTCCTCCGCCAGCAAAACAACAACTTCCTGGTGGTGGTGAACAGCAAGAGGGAGCTAACAGTGATGAACTTCAGCACGGGGCGAGTGGTGAGCCGCGTGGCCATGGACAGCAACGTCACCGCCCCTTCCCCTCCCTGCCCTTCCCCACTTCTACCTCACTCCCTCCACCCCTTTCAGCAAAACAACAACTTCCTGGTGGTAGCAAACAGCAAGCGAGAACTGACAGTGATGAACTTCAGCACGGGGCGAGTGGTGAGCCGCGTGGCCATGGACAGCAACGTCACCGCCCTCGTGGCCGACCGAACCACCTCCGCCCCCGCAGCAGCAACAGGCTCTGCCACCAGTGGCAGCAGCAGCAGCAGCAGCAGCGCAGGCGGTGCAGCAGGCAAGGCATCTACATCCGCAGCAGCAGTGGCAGCAGGAGGCAGTGGTTTCGGCGGGGGAGCAGGGGAGGCGGACAGTGTGGTGTTTGTGGGCGACAGCGAGGGCGCCATCCACAGCTTCACGGTGGACAAGCAATCGGGCGCTCTGCAGCGCCGCCATAAGACTGTGGCTGGCGTTGTCCACCCGGCTCCTGTCGCGTCGCTGCATTTCAGCCCGACTTCTGTGTTAGCGAATGGGCCGGTGCTGCTGGCGTGTAGCAAGGACGGCTGCGTGCGCTTCTACACGTGAGTATTGGTGGGGAGATGGGCGGCATTGGGTTTGGTGGGGTTGCAAGGGAGGCGGACAGTGAGGGACAGTGAGGTACAGTGACGGCGCCATCCACAGCTTCACGGTGGACAAGCAGTTGGGCGCTCTGCTGCGCTGCCACAAGACCACAACTGGAGTCGTGCACCCCGCTCCAGTGGCTTCTCTGCAATTCAGCCCCACCTCTGTGTTGGCCAATGGACCCGTGCTGCTGGCTTGCAGCAAGGACGGCTGCGTGCGGTTTTACACGTGAGTACGGCACTGTAACGCACTCAGTACCTGCTGCTTTGATGTGGGAGTATTGGTGATGGTGGGGAGTATTGGCCAGTCGGGCGCTCTGCAGCGCCGCCACAAGACCGTTGCTGGGGTCGTGCACCCGGCTCCAGTGGCATCGCTGCACTTCAGCCCCACCTCTGTGTTGGCCAGTGGGCCAGTGCTGCTGGCGTGCAGCAAGGACGGCTGGTGCGCTTCTACACGTGAGTACGGCACTGTGAGGCACGCGGTAATTCCTGCTTTTACATGTGAGTGAGTGTAGGTGGGGAGTCCCATCAGGGCTTGTAGTGGAGTGGACTCACTGGCAGCGCTGCTGCCTGGAGGGCCCAGGCATAAGGGCTCCAGGCAGCAGCGCCGCCACAAGACTGTTGCAGGGGTCGTGCACCCGGCACCCGTGGCATCTCTGCACTTCAGCCCCACCTCTGTGCTGGCGAATGGACCGGTGTTGCTGGCTTGTAGCAAGGACGGCTGCGTGCACTTCTACAAGTGAGTACAATTGGGGGGACTTGCGGCAGTGGGTTTTGCGAGCAGTGGGATTGAGGGAAGTGCAGCAGGGGCACGGTGGACAAGCAGTCGGGCGCTCTGCAGCGCCGCCACAAGACCGTTGCTGGAGTCGTGCACCCCGCACCGGTGGCTTCTCTGCACTTCAGCCCCACATCTGTGCTGGCGAATGGGCCCGTGCTGCTGGCGTGCAGCAAGGACGGCTGCGTGCGATTCTACACGTGAGTACTGGTGGGGAGTGTTGTTGTCAGGGCTTGGAGTGCTTCCAACTTGCTGAAACAGCACAAGACCGGCCTCTTTTTAAGATGTCTCAAAGATTGGTCGCTTTTGACATTCCATCCTTCCTTCTCTGTTGTCTCTGCTCCAACCCGCCATCTTGGTTTCCCCCCATCAGCACGGTTCTGGAGCTCAACGGCTATCTCTTCCTCAAGATCTCGCTGCAGCTCTCCTCTCGTCTCTCTCTAACCGCTCCATCCCTTTATATTATCCCCTTTAACCCACCAGCACCGCTCTGGAGCTCAACGGCTATCTCTTCCTCAAGATCTCGCTGCAGCTCTCCTCGCGAGCCACCAACATGAACGCCGCTGTTTGTCTCTTTGTCCTTGCTGTCCCTTCGTCTGCGCTCTCCCCACCACCAGCACCGCTCTGGAGCTGAATGGCTACCTCTTCCTCAAGATCTCGCTGCAGCTCTCCTCTCATCTCTTTCTAACCGCTCCATCCCTTTATATTATCCCCTTTAACCCACCAGCACCGCTCTGGAGCTGAACGGCTACCTCTTTCTTAAGATCTCGCTTCAGCTCTCCTCGCGAGCCACCAACATGAACGCCACCTTCTGCCCCCCGCTTGGGCCCTCGGGGTCGGGGGAATACATTGGTGAGTTTGCAGATTAAGAATCGCTTAAAGCCGGAAGCCCAAATTGCACAAGTTTTTAAAAGTTGACGCGAGTGGGTTTTTCTGGTCTGGGTTTTGGCGAGTGATTCCGATTTCGTGAAAGTCGTTTTTTTCGCCAAACCCAGCCAGCCCTCGTATTTCGCCCTGGGGGTTGGGTCAGTCCCCGAAAGTCCCAAATTGCAGGTGCGCTACTTTTCAAAGCTTGCACATTGCACTTCGTCAAGTTTTAAAAGCATGACCCACGCGACTCGGGCTTTAAGAGTGAGTTCGCAGTGATAGCGAATGGTGGCGAATGGTAGTTGATGGCCCCGTGCCCACTTTCGAGGCACCACAAGAGCCACTAGAATGAACGCCGCCTTCTGCCGGCTTCGGGTCTAAAGAACACGCGGGTGGGTTTGGAGTGGTAGTGAATGGTAGTGAATGGTAGCGAGTGGTAGAGAATCATGAATAATCTCTGGCATCCAAGGTGATGGCTTTTTAAGAAAGTCGACCTACGCTATGTCCGATACGACTCCCTCTAGTACGCCATGTACTCTGTTCTCTAGTTTTGTCACATCACGAGCCAACCCTCTAGGGCTTCTACGGCTTCATATTATCCTTTACTCGCCCATCCTATAGTGTTTTCCCGTCAGTTGCTTGTTGCCTGTTCACCTTCCTTCACCTCCCTCATCGTATTCCTCCAGCAACAGAGTGTTGAACCACATCCTTCTTTCCTCCCTTGCTGCTGTTCCCATGCCACTGTCCCCATGCCACTCTTTCCATGCATGCAGTGACGGGCAATGCCGACCACCACGTGTACTTTTACGACTTCATGAAGCCACGCAGTCCGCTCGTGGCCCGCGTGCCGGTGAGTTTGGCACTCGCTTTTCCAGAGTGAGTGGGCGTGGGAGTTGTTTAATGATTGTGACAATAGGTTATACACATGGCGCGACATTGGTGGCTTGCACCCGTGCCCCGTGTTTCTATCTGTGAGTAGTACCGGGTTTACTTGTCCATTGAAGACTTATACCCTGACTGCATGTCTACACCATGCTGACACAATTGGAACTGAAGTCGGGTTTCTAGAGTGATCATGCCTTTTCTAGGTGTCTAAACCATCAATTTCCCAATGTCAATGTGCTTGTGCATGGAACAATGGTTCCACCTTTCTTGTCCGTGGTGTCTCTGCATATTGCATGTAGAGAGGGTATTTTTGAGACGTCTCAAAATTGGTTCCACCTTTCTTGTCCGTGGCGTCTCTGCATATCGCATGTGCAAGCACTTTTCACAAAGCATCCCCCTTCAACCAAATTTCTAGGTCCCTCTTCCGCCCTGCAACTGGTGTTGCTCACGGTTCGCTCACCGTTCGCTCTCTACTCTCCCCGTCTCTTCCCCCTCACACCCCCACCTCCACCCCTCTCACGTTCATCCCACTCCTCTCTCGATCTCAGGGTCACAAGGCGATGGTGGTGGACGTGAGTTGGAACAACAGCAAGTTGCTGTCTGCCCCCATCTCTATCCCCACACACCCCCACCCCCACCCCTCCCCCTTCATCCCACTTCTCTCCCCCTCAGGGTCACAAGGCGATGGTGGTGGATGTGAGTTGGAACAACAGCAACACTGTGCTCGCCTCACTCTCCCCCTCTCCCCCTCCTTATCTCCCTGCTCTCCTCCCACTTTCCTCCCTCTCAGGGTCACAAGGCGATGGTGGTGGATGTGAGTTGGAACAACAGCAACATGGTGCTTGCCTCCTGTGACTGTGATGGGGTGGTGGCGCTGTGGCAACGATGTTAGCTCCTGACAGTGTGTGCATCAAGAGCATAGCCCCTGACCATGTGTGCTTCATATGCGCCTCTTGGAACAAGAGCAACACTGTACTCGCCTCCTGTGACTGCGATGGGGTGGTGGCGCTGTGGCAGCGCGTATAGCTCCTGACAGAATGCACCGCTTGGAGCGCCAGCATCCATGTGGCTTTGATTATGTGCTGGTGTTGTGGCAGCGAGCTTAGCTCCTGGTAGTGCATGTATGAGGCGCCTGAAAAAAAGACCCCGAAGCATTGATTTGGTCCGTGCGTGCATGCGAAGCACATCAAGGCAGGCAAGGCAACGCCTGTGCGTAGTGACTCATTCTCTGTGATATTGCTGGAGGTACGCAAGACTCGGCCTCTGAAGAAGCATTGCGAATGGAATGGACCGACCATTACACACATGTATTGCCCTGCATGAATTGAATGCGAGGCCAGAAGGCAGTAGACACGTAGGAGAAGGCAATCGACAATTTGTATGCACTGAATGCTGCCAGCACGCACACATGCTTCCAAAGCATGCTGCTTGTTCAATAAACACATCAGACTGCACCACATGAAAAGGCTACACTTGTATTCCACAGAGCAAGTATTGCCATGGTGTCAGTTGTAACCCCAGCACAGCAGCCAGGAAGGATCATGAACTACTATCTGAGCCTACAAAGAGAAAATTAACATTTGACAGAAATGCCTAATCACCACCAGCTCCTTTCGTTCCTTCCTCCGCCCCATCCCCTCCCTCCCCTTCGGCTGCCACTGCACCTGTAGCAGCTTCTGTTCCTTCCCCTGTTTCTCCTGCACCTCCTGTTTCCCCTGCACCCCCTGTCCCTCCTGCACCTCCTGCTGCGCCTTCACCCCCCACGCCCCCCTCACTCCCCTTCACCGTCCCCACCACATCATACTTAAACTGCAAAGACGACTCCCAGTCCCTCAGGGTATCCAACTCAGAGTAGGTCAGCCCTGTGAGGTCCCCCACAGCATCCTTAGGATCGGTTGACATCTTGGCAAACGCGCGGCTCGCCTCCTTCCCTGCAAACACCTCGTACGGCCCTCCTGGGCCGTAGAAGTGCCTGGGAGGGGGAGAGTGGGATGGGGGGGTGGGGGAGGAGAGGGAAGAATCAGATTCTGAGTCGACTCAACCATGGCTGCCTCTCTCCTCTCACTCCATTTCCTGCAAACGCATCACAGTGACCTCATAGGGTCTCCATCTCGGAGTAGGAGAGACCTGTCAGGTCCCCCACGGCATCTTTGGGATCGGTTAACATCTTGGCAAACGCGCCGCTCGCCTCCTTCCCTGCAAACACCTCATAGGGGCCTCCTGGGCCGTAGAAGTGCCTGGGAGGGAGGGCGAGGGGGGGTTGGGTGGGGTTGGAGAGGGTGGGGGGGTGAACTCTCGGCTCGCCTCTTTCCCTGCAAACACCTCGTAGGGGCCTCCTGGGCCGTAGAAGTGCCTGGGAAAGAAGGGTGGGTCGTAGAAGGGAGGGTTGTACAAGGATGGGTCGGGGAGGAAAGGGCAGAATCAACTTTTGAGTCAACTGAAACATGGCTTGCTTCGCTTCATTTTCTGCAAAGACCTCATGGTGTCTCCATTTCGGAGTAGGAGAGCCCTGTGAGGTCCCCCACCGCATCCTTAGGATCGGTTGACATCTTGGCAAACGCGCGGCTCGCCTCTTTGCCTGCAAACACCTCGTAGGGGCCTCCTGGGCCGTAGAAGTGCCTGGGAGGGGGGGAGAGGGGAGTGGGTTCGGTGAAAAAGGGGGAGGAGAGGGCAGAATGGAGTTTTGAGTCCTCTCAATAATTTCTTGCCTTGATTATTTTCCTGCAAATACCTCGTAGTGAAGTCATGACTTCACTCATTTCTTGCCTTCATTATTTTTTCAGAATAGGTCAGCTCTGTCAGACCCCCACGACATCCCTGAGTGAGAGAGTCCTATTAAAATCCAGTAGGGCATCATGAAAAGGACTCTGTGAGTTTATCAAAACTTCCAGTCGGGGAAATTGTGGGATACAGGATGAGCACTCACTGCAGAGGGTGTATGACACATTGACACCCAGTTGTTATGCAATTTGACACCCAGTTTGACATGCGGTTTGACATCCAGTTTGACATGCAATTTGACACCCAGCTTGACATGCTATTTGACACCCAGTTTGACATGCACTTCGACACAGGGTAGAAAAAACAGGCACTCACTTTCCACGAGTCACATCGTAGATTTTCCCTCGAATGGCCTGGGCAGGAGGAAGGGATGGGGGAGAAGAGGGAGAAGGGAAGGGGATGGGGAGCAGAAGGGGACGGAAAAGGGGAGGGGGAGAGTGGGAGAAGGGGAAAGAGAGTGACGTAAAAGGGAGGGGAGAGTGAGGGAGAAGCGAATATTTCTGAAAAGAGGACGAGGTAATTACAAGACACTGTGATACAAGCCACGATTGACGCCCATATCGCCATGCCAACAGAAAAGCGCATATCACTCACCAGAAGGATCGGTTTCTCCGGGTCGCTGCCGCTGTACTGGCTTAGCTTCTCGAGAGTAATTTCCCCTATTTTAATCGGCTCCGGGGGGCCCGGGACTGGCGGCGGAACAGGCGCAGCGCGGTGCTGAACGTACGAGAAGATGACGTAAATTATCGACGCGACGAGGACTAATAACGAGACTGTTGTTGACGGAGCAAGCCCTGTGGCTTCTTGTGCGTACGCCAGAAACGACTGTAATGGGGATAGAGCAGTCGACATATTGCTGGAGAAGAACGAGCGTGAGGTTTGTCAGTGACAGTGTGCAGAGGCAAGGCGAAATTGAGAACACGCGGAATTTACGGGCTTAGGTCGATTTTTTATATTTCTAAAAAATCGCTGCTGTCGAACACGTGGATTTCACGGGTTTAGGTCGCGCGAAAAAGAACGCGACGTCAAGTCAGGGCGAACGGTGCGAGGAGAAGCGAGACAAACCCTCGCAGTTTGCGAAGTCTGCGTGGAAACGAGACTACCAAAGGCTGGGAAAATGAACAAGGCCAAGGCACGGAGTATCCATCTGCCGTTGACAGGACGTGAAAAATGGCGCAAGACGGCGGTGATTGCGCGGATTTCTAGAGTCGAAGCGTGAGTTTCTCGAACCATCCAGAATCTGTTTCTTGTATCCAGGGCTCCTTCCACCGTAAAATCGATATTCAGTCTACCAACCGTACCAAAACCCAACGAACCTCTGACCATCTCGAGATCTGACCATATGAACACACTCGGAACATTCTTTTTGCTTCCAAAACCGAACCTCAAATATATTGACTCGGCTTTCTTAGTAACCAACTGGAGGAACGGCCTCTCGAGCGGACGTCTAAGCACGCCCCCAGTATTAAATCACACACCAAGGGCCGATGCATGCTCATGTGCTTGTAGGTGGTGCCAGTAAAGAGAGCAGATACTTGTGTTACGTGCGTGAAATCACTCTAGTAGATTTGCCTGACTGCTTCCGGCGGCGGCGAATCGACGATACGTCCCTCAAGCGCAGCGACGCTTCGCGAATTGCATAACTTCCTGTGGCGAATCTCGATATGTCCTGTCGTCGATCTCTATGTTCAGGCTGTTTGCTTCTGGGACTGAACTTTGGACCCTTGGCTGAACGCGTCTCCTAAAATGCTGGCAAAGTTGCGGTAACAATTACGCATCATGAATTGATTGTGACTACGAATCAGAGAGGAGACTCAGGCAAAGCTGAGACCAGGTTCAGACCGCATATCCTGTCTAGAGGGACAGAAGCAAGTAGTGGTACGCGTGTCAGTCCTACTCTAGAAAGTAGCGTGTCAGGCTTGCCTTTGGAAGCAGGAAGGCTCGTCGAACTAGAGCCGGTCAAGGCCAAAACAGTCGTCAGCGTGACGCCGCTAACCTTGTTCAGACGCCATGGTCTTAGGTAAGCCCATGGTTAAGTTACCAGTAACATGGTTACTCTGCTTCTGAAACTTCCGCTCTAGGCTCATGGATACTCTGCTCCTGTAATTGATTTAAGTCTGAGCCTATTCAACTCGAGTTATTTGTGAATCCAGTCTGAACTTACCCAGCGTCGTCTGTTTGTCTCGTACTGTGCACCCCACTGCATGGCTGGTTGCAAAACTGCCTGGCTCTTAAATGTTGCGTGTTGTTGTTGCTGTTTTTTTGTTTAGTTTCCTTTTAAGGCTTATTTTGAAGGCTGATGTTTTTTTCTAATTGATTCTTGTGTTCTAAAGTAATTGTCTTGGCCTCATGGCTCAGTCATTGTCGTCTGTCCCATACTGTGCTGTGCATCCATGGCATGGCCATGCAGATCTGCAAGGCTTTTGAGGGTTTGGTGTATGCTTTAAGGGTTATGCACAGGGTTTAAAGGAAGCATTGCTGTGTAGCCCCATGGCATGTGCGTGCAGACCTGCCAGGCTTCTATTACGACGAAGCCACCAACCGCTGCCTAGAACTGCTTCTAGAAGCTTTTAATTTGCGACTTGTCGTCTGTCTCGTCTGTGCATGTGCGTGCAGACCTGCCAGGCTTCTATTATGACGAGACCAGCAATCGCTACTTCCGCCTGCCAGGCTCTTAGCTTTTCAAACCCACCGTACTGTGTACCCCATTGCATCCCCCCGTACCGTACACGGCCCTGCAGACCTGCCAGGCTTCTATTATGACGAGACCAGCAATCGCTACTTCCGCCTGCCCCGACCTGCTGGTTCAACCCCCTCGCCCTCGCCGCTAGCAGCAGCAGCAGCAGCAGCTGGTTTAAATGCACCAGGAGGAGGAGGAGGAAGAGGAAGAGGAGGAAGAGAGGGTGGGGGAAGAGGAGGAGGCGGTTGGGAAAGGTCCGGGGGAGAGGGGCGAAAAATCCACGAAGCTCCTGAGGAAGTTCCCTCCGTTTTCCAGCTGCTGCGCGGGAGGGAGACAGGAGGTCGCTGCTGGCACCCCTCAGTAGTGTCACACTCGCTAACAGCACAGAGTTCGACCAAGCATGGAGCACATTCTCAGAGAGCAGAGTGCTCGTTAGAGTCACAGCCCACCTCAGAAAGGAGGCGGAGGAGGAAGCGAGGGAAAGAGCGTGCAGAGGGGCAGCAGGATGATGGGCCCCTTCGCCCGTGCACGGAGGAGCGTAGTTGTGATCAGCGTAATTCGCGTGGTGATGCTGGCGGTGGTGGTGATGAGAGTAACGATGGTCGTAACGATCGTGCTACTTATGGTCGTAACGATCGTGCTACTAATGGTCGGAACGATCGTGCTACTAATTCTCGTGCTGGTGCTGAACCTGATGGTGACAGTGGTCGTGGGGGCTCTCTGAAGGCGGCGGTTCCGTTGGTGTCTGGCCGGGCGTTTGAAACGGCAGCTCGCACTGCTGGCATGAGGAACCTCAAGGTGAGTGGCAAGGAGAGCACTGCTGGTGATGGTGACAGTGGTCGTGGGGGCTCTCTGAAGGTGGTTCCGTCGGTGTCTGGCCGGGCGTTTGAAACGGCAGCTCGCACTGCTGGCATGAGGAACCTCAAGGTGAGGATGAGAGAGGCGAGGCGAGGGCGTGTGATGCAGGCACGGCAGTGATGCATGTGGTAGCGCAGGGGGAGGAGGGTGCTTATATGTGGATTTTTTAGATGTCTCACAAGTCGCCTTTGCTGCTTTTGTTGTGCCTGCACCCCCCTCTGCACCCTCCTCTGCCCTCCTCTGCCCTCCTCTGCCCTCCTCTGCCCTCCTCTGCCCTCCTCTGCACCCTCCTCTGCACCCTCCTCTGCACCCACCGCTGTGCAGATGTGGCAGTACCAGGTAACGGAAAGAGCGTGTGATGCAGGAATGGCAGTGATGCATGTGGTGGCGCAGGGGGAGGAGGGCGCTCATGCGCGCACCGGCTTGCTCGTGGGCCACCGATTGGGGGATGTGAGGTAGGGGCGGAGTATTATGGTGAGTAGTCACAGGCCCCACAGGCACAGGCACTTTTGTTCAATTGCCTGCCCACACTCACCGCACCATCCAACAGCACCACACGCTCTGCCTGCCTCCCTTCCATCAACAGCACCACCTTCCTGTTCCTCATGCCTCCACTCTTCTGCTTCATCCCTCTCTTTCTCTTTCATGCTAACAGCACCACACGCTCTGTCTGCCTCCCTTCCATCAACAGCACCACCTCCCTCCCTGTGCCTCATGCCTCCACTCCACTCGCCCCTCCACTCCCCTGCACATCCCGCCCCTCCCATCAGCGCACGGAATCCCCTCTTGCCCATTCCCTCTCTCACGCCAGCACCCCTTTTTCCCTTTTTCGCCTCTCCCATGCCATGCCATGCCATGCCATGCCATGCCACGCCACGCCACGCCACGCCACGCCACGCCACGCCACGCCACGCCACGCCACGCCACGCCACGCCACGCCACGCCACGCCACGCCACGCCACGCAACGCCACGCCACGCCACGCCATGCCATGCCATGCCATGCCATGCCACGCCATGCCATCCCACCCTTGTTCCCCAAACAGCCTTTTGGAGCTCACGGATCAGGAAGAGACGCCTGACACCACTCAACCCACCACCCGTCAGCACCACTGGCCTGTGCTCCTTTCCAGGGGCAGCTCAATTTCCAGATCCGGGCAGCAGATCGCAAAATATGATCTGCCCAGGCCCCCTCCCCCTCCGGCCTTCTCAAGCTCGCACTCCCTCTTTCTGGGCTCGGACGTTACTTCCATTCGCACGCTCCCTTGGAGCAGCAGAGGCGCTGGTGATTCTGATGCTGCTGGCAGCCATGCAGTGTGAGTGGATGGGGTGGGGGGGGAAGGAGGGGGGGTGTTTGGGTTGGGGCCTTCACCAGCTCGCACTCCCTCTTTCTCGGCTCGGATGTCACCAGCATACGCACCCTCCGTTGGGGCCGCAGAGCAGTTGGTGATGCTGCTGCTGCTGGCAGCTGTGCCGTGTGAGTGGGTGGTGGGGTTGGTGGGGTGGGGGCGAAGGGGGATATTGTAAGTCACTACCATTCGCAATGATGCTCGCACTCTGTCTGTCTCGGCTCAGACGTCACTGCCATTCGTTTTGCACGCTCCCTTGGGCCACAGGAGGCGCTGCTGATTCTGCTGCTGCTGGCAGCCGTGCAGCGAGAGTGGGTGGGGTGGGAGATGGGGGGGAGAGGAAAGAAAGGGATAGGTTGTTGGGGTTGGGGCTATGAGGCTTCTAACACTCCCTCTTTCTGGGGTCAAATATCACTGCCATTCGCACGGTTCCTTGGGGTTGGGAGGGGGCGCCGGCAACTCTGCTGCTGGTGCTGTTGCTGCTGGCTGCTGTGCAGTGTGGGTGGGGTGGTAGGGGAGCGAGTGTGCATCGGGGTTGTTATGCACCTCACACTCCCTCTTTCTGGGCTCGGATATCACTCCCATTCTCACGGTTCCTTGGCATGGGAGTGACGTTGGCGATTCTGCTTCTTGCTGGCAGCTGTGCATTGTGAGGGAGTGGGGTAGAGGGAGTGAGTGGGATGGGGGAGTGAGTGAGGGTGCGTTGGTGGACCTCTTTCTGTGGTCCCACATGACTCTGTAGAACTTTCTGTTCGGTCCAGTCTAAGAGTTCCCTCTCTCCCCTACCTCCCGTCCTTCGCAGCATCACGACTTTGGGCACGGGGGGCCACCCGGCCCGAGTGGTGCTGGCTGCTCTGGACCTCGCAGGCTCTTCTGGTGGCGGCACAACTGGTGCTGCCAGGGGTGCCAACGGTGCCGCAGCTGCTACTGGTGTTTCTGGCGTGGCTGGTGCTGCTGTTGCGGCTGGTGCTGGTGTCACGAGTGGTGGTGGAAGTGGCAGGAGAGGGAGCAGCAGGCAGCGTCTTGTCTGGCAGACGGAGAGGCAGTTTGAGTTGCCTGGCAGCGTGTGGGCGTGTGAATGCTCGCCGAAGCAAGGGGAGATTGGAGTGGGTGAGTGTGTGTGATTCTTAGGTACCTCAAGGTTCAAAGTAGATCGACCCGTACAAGGGTCACTGGCTTTGAGAAAAGTGCACATCGCTACCACCTGCACTTAGCTATGAGAGAAAACATACGTTGCCTTGCCGCAACCGCAAACAGCACAGCGTGCATCTTTTTCTCTCTCACTGTGTGTGTATTGTATCTGTGCCTCACTCTCTCCAGGCACGTCGCTGGGATTGCAGCTGCTGCACGTGGAGACGGGGCAGCGGACAGCCCTCGAGGTGCAGAGCACCCTCCACCTTCTCACTGTTTCTTTCCTGTAAACCCCTCCGACTGCATCTCTGTGCCTCACTCTCTCCAGGCACGTCGCTGGGATTGCGGCTGCTGCACGTGGAGACGGGGCAGCGGACGGCTGTTGGGCATTTATAGCCCTTGGATTTTCTTCCCACTGCCTCTGTGTGTGTCTCTCCAGGCACCTCCCTGGGATTGCGACTGCTGCACGTGGAGACGGGGCAGAGGACGGCCCTGTGCCACAGCAACAGTGACGTGCTGGCATTGCAGGTCACAGGGGAGGTGAGATGCGAGGGAGGTGAGACACGGGGAGGTGGGATATGGTGGAGGTGAGTCATGGGGGAGGTGGGATCTGCAGATACTGCGAGTGGAGACGGGGCAGAGGACAACCCTGTGCCACAGCAACAGTGACGTGCTGGCTCTGCAGGTCACAGGGGAGGTGAGACATGGGGGAGGTGGGATCTGCAGATGCTGCACGTGGAGACGGGGCAGAGCAACAGCAACAGCAACAGCGACGTGCTGGCGCTGCAAGTCACAGGAGAGGTGAGGATGCGAGGGAGGTGAGCACGGGGAGGTGGGATATGGTGGAGGTGAGTCATGGCGGAGGTGGGATCTGCAGATACTGGGAGTGGAGACGGGGCAGCGGACGGCCCTGTGTCGCAGCAACAGTGACGTGCTGGCATTGCAGGTCATGTGGGAGGTGAGACACAGGGGAGGTGCGATGCGAGGGAGGTGGGATATGTATGGGAGAGGTGGGACGTGCAGATGCTACGAGTGGAGACGGGCCAGAGGACGGCCCTGTGTCGCAGCAACAGTAACGTGCTGGCACTGCAGGTCATGTGGGAGGTGAGACTAGAGAGAGGTGGGATATGAGGGAGGTGGGGTGTGGGGGTTTTGCATTACGCACCTTGAGTTACGCACCTTGAGTTTTGAGTTGGGGAGGGGAGCTCGCCACCATCGACGCGCACCCGTCCCCACCTCCAATTTTGAGTCAACTCAACCCCCCTCCCCTCCCCCCCTCGACCCCAGGGCAGCATCTACCTGGCTGGTTTTCCCGACGGAGGCATCGCCACCATAGACACGCGCGCACCCCTTTCCACTTCGAGTTTTAAGTCAACTCAACCCCCCCCCCCCCCCCCCCCACCACCTCGCGTGTCATCCCAGGGAAGCATCTACCTGTCTGGTTTTCGCAACGGCGCCATCGCCACCATCGACACGCGCGCACCCCTCCCCACCTCGTCCAAGCAGCTCCCACCACCGCCGCTCTCACCCTCGTCCTCCACGCAGCCAACGCATCGGCGTGGGGGCCAGGGCGGAGGCAGGAGGGGCAAGAAGCGTGCAGCAGGGGAGGTGAACGAGTATTACTGCAGCCACCAGCGAGTCATGCGCATGCCCTCTGCTGTGTCTGGGTAGGTACGGCTGAGATTTGCGATGTTAAGGTGTGGACACTGCACGGGTCATGCCTCGGGCTGTCACGTGCCAGAGGTTAATTTTGAGATGTTGATGTGTTGTGCAAGTCATGAAGCATGCGTTTTGTTATCACGCGGCAGGGGTGGAGTTTGAAACGTTTATGTATTGTGCAAGTCATGGGCATGTAGAATACTAAGTGGGGCATGGAGAATAGGGCATGCTTACGCTGTGTACCTCTGTGTGTGTGTGCAGCATGCATGTCGCGTTCATTGAAGATGTATGTCGTGACTTTGCGCCCATGCTCTCCTTGTTCTCCTCCTATATTGCCATGCATGAGATGATCCATGGCATATGGTGCATGAGGCATGGTGCATGGGGCATGGGGCATGATGCATAAGGCATGGTGCATGGCGTATGGTGCATGGCGTATGGTGCATGGCGTATGGTGCATGGTGGCACGGGGCATGGGGCATGACGCATGCAGCATGCAGGCAATGAAGCAGAGTGATTTCTACCTCTTTGCATCCTCCTTTGATGGATCTGTGAGTCCCACCTTTCCATCAATGCATATCTTCCACCGAATATTTTTCTTCACACTTAACTCATGCATAAAAATCAATTTCTCACTTCTGTTTATGCTTCATGCGTGAGGGGTTAGCGAGTCAAATATTGTCCCGCCATTTTTACTTTTGGGAACCGAAGCCTTGATTGGTGTATGTGTATGGTCGCGTCAGTAGGCCAGTGTCGTCCTCTGTTCCTCCCTCCCTCGCTCTCCATCCAATTCTGCCTTTCCCTAACACTCCTGTTCCACTGGTTGCTGTGCGTCACCTGTTTTTTATCACCGCCCTGATGCGTCAGCTGCAGCTGATGCATCACACCAATCACCTCTCACTGCGTTCCTCCGTGCCTTATCGTCCTCACTGTGATTGCACACGGCTCACATGGTCCCACCCACCCAATTGCAGTTGTTCCAATGGGACCAGCTGACACATCACATCAATCACCTCTCATTGCTTTCCTCCGTGGCTTGTCATTCTCACTGTGATTGCATGTGTGTCACATGGTCCCACCCACCCAATCGCAGTTGTTTCAATGGGACCTCCGCTCTACGGCGTCGCCCCTGCGCCAGTTGCAGGGCCACAGAAACTCGCACTTCCACCTGCCACTGCTGCTTGACCCTTCAGAGAACTTCTTATGCGCACGTGAGGCATAATATAAAGCCTTTGTTTCTCCTTTCGGCCTTGTTTGTGCAGCTGTTGTAACAATTTGTTGTGGTATCCCTTTTTTTTTGCAGCTGGAAATGACTATGAAGCTCGCATCTGGAGTGTTTCAACTGGTGCCTTGCTGTCAGCAGCTCACCTCCCTGGTCACGCTACTGCTGCTCTGTGGCCTTGTACATCTGGTAGGTGTTGTATTGTGGGTTTGTTATATCTCCGACCCCTTCATTCGCATCTTCATTTATATGCATAATTGGTTTCCATGTTTGCAGGTTCTGGAAATGGTTTGTCTGATCTTCCGGATGGTATATTTCTTGGTACATGCGACTCTTTGTGCTTCTTAGATTTCTCAATGTAGTACACTTGCAAATCGAATATTTTTGCGAACGCTACCTAAAGCGAAGCTCAATCCAGCTTGGCGACTCTTACTGCCGACGAACCGCCACGTGGCATCAGGAACTGTGGCATCTTCTCCAGCCACTCGTCTCCTCTCGTATGGCTCCGACCCGAAGCTTTCGCAAAACACGCCAGCCACATGTACGTGTAACAGGGCGACAAGACGACGCCGCTTTTCGTTCCGCCGCTGATCCCCTTGCCCTAGCTGATCGTTCCGCTTACCTGATCCCAGCCACATTACAGTATCTGTTGGGCATGCCCTCGCAGAGTGCCTCGCAGAATGACAGGCGGTTCAGGGGTTAGCAGAGCGGTTTTATGCGTTATGAAATGGTAGTATTTCTCTTTTGATGCTTCGAATTCGCACTTGCTGCCTCCAGTTTCTCGTTCGGCTGACTCTGATAAACCAACTGTTCTTCAACTTTCCTTTATCTTCTCCTCGCAACGATCAGGAAGTGTGGAAAGGGACGGATCGTGCTATATTTTACCTGTAGTGCCTGTTTACTGGTGAGCAATGCTCAACGCCCTCCGTTTGAGTCACTTCACGAACCGCATTTCGCCGGGCAACGTGCTGTGCTGTGTCTTGGTCTAGCGTTGTAGCTGGTGACAGAGATCATCCACAGCTGCGCGTTGTGACCTGTTTCCGCTGCACGCTTCTGAAGGAAAAAATGTTTCTGGTAACCTGAGGGACAAGCTGCGCTTGTAGACTAGGACCACTCATTGCGGTATTTAAGTCTACGCGTTTCGTGTCATTTCGTCACAGAACGTTTTGGTCGCCTAAGCAACCATGGCACTTGCGGCTTTGCACCAATCGGCCTCCTTGCGTGCAGTCAATCTCTCCACATCTTACTCTTCCCAACGCCACGACAGCGGAAGCTCTCCGTTAGAATCACAACTATCGCTTCTATCTGGAACCGCATCTCAGCATCAGTCGCTCAGCTCTCGATCTCTCGTCGCTCCTAATCTCGCATGGCAGCAACAGCAGCATCAGCGGCAACGGCGGAGATTTCTCGGTTCGTCGATCGAAACAGCGGCTGCGAGAGCAACGACGGTGACTGCGACTCTGGCGTCGGAGAGCGAGGCTGCGAAGGCGGGCGCGAGGCCGGCGAATTCGGGGGACTCGAGGCTCGCGAAGGTAACAAGTGATGTTTCTTTTCGCGAAGAAGTGGCAATAGTCGTAAGCGACGGTGATTTGTCGATACGGAACGTCAAATAGTAGCATTCGGTAAGCAATGCGTGAAATTAATAGCCAGCTTATTAAGATCGTATAGCAACTCTCGGAGTATAAACCCCGCCTTCCAAGTTCGCAACCACACTTGGTGACAATTTGACTTGATCCTACCTCCCGTCCCGCTCCCTCTTCCCTCTTCCCCTTCCTCCCTCCCACTTCCCCGTTTCCCGTTTCGTGTTCATCTTTACACTTTCTCCCTCCAGTTCCCCTAAAGCGCATCCGCAACTTCGGCATCATCGACCCCTTTTCCCCCCACCTCTCCCTTCCCCTTTTCCCCTTACCACCATCCCCTCTTCCCCTTCCCCCTCTTTTCTTCCTCAACGCAATCCAGGTGCCCATCGAGTGAATCCGCAACTTCAGCATCATCGCACACATCGACCACGGCAAGTCGACGCTGGCGGACAAGCTGTATGAGCCCAGCCCACTACTCCAGCTCTCCCAAGTACCCATTCCACATCCCCCCCAACCCTCCCTCCCCCCAGGTGCCCATTGAGCGAATCCGCAACTTCAGCATCATCGCGCACATTGACCACGGCAAGTCCACCCTGGCGGACAAGCTGCTGGAGACGACGGGCACGGTGCAAGCAAGGGAGATGAAGGAGCAGTTCCTGGATAACATGGACCTGGAGCGAGAGCGAGGAATCACCATTAAGCTGCAGGTAACATTGAATCTCCGGGCGAGGTTTTGAAATTAGCATGGGCAGTGCAGGCGCGCGAGATGAAGGAGCACTTCCTGGATAACATGGAGCTGGAACGAGAGCGAGGGATCATTAACCTGCAGGTAACAGCATTGTGTGACAGGTAGGTAGGGCTTAGAAAACAGCATGGGCACTGGTAAGTGGGAGGGAGATGAAGGAGCAGTTCCTGGATAACATGAAGCTGGAACGAGAGCGAGGGATCACCAACAAAATACAGGCAGGGTGAAGATAGCAGAGGCACACTGGCAGGGGCCACATGGAATGCCGTGCGGTCGCTATTGCTGTTGCGTTGCATGGCACCTAGTGAGGGAGCAGCCGTTATTTTCTTTGTTCACAATGCAATGCTGCTTCTGATGGAGCTCTTGCACAGCTTGTTAATCCCATCCCACCATCCCACCCCAGCCCTTGACGAAGAAGCGATGATGCCGCAATAAGGCCGAAATGACAGCTGCCAGGTGGCAGGCAGTGACTGGTCCGTTGACTTTGACTTGGTCAACGGTCCAGTACCTGCCTTGCTTTCCCTTGGCTGCCAGCATGACATGTGCGCACAGCGAGCAAAGGTTGATCCGCTTTTCTCTGAGCTTCTGAGTGAAAAAACGGGAGGGGAAGGGAATGCAGAACGGTACTGCCAGTCAGACGTAGTGGGTTGTTGTGGGCTGGTTGCAAGGTTCGAAAATACTTTGGAGTCGACTCAAAAGTCAGCACGTGGTGCGTTGCTTGCTGTGGGCTGGTTGCAAGGATCGAAAAGAGGAAGGACATGAATTGCTGCCACCTGCCCCTGCCTGCTGCACCCTCTCCCTCTCTCACTCCTCTGGGGTGGATAGGGAAGAGGGGCACTTGCGAGGGCCGGGCGAGGCGAGCAGAGAGTATGACGTCCGTTACACTTGATATGAGCAACCGAACCAACGGCATGATTCCTGTGACTTTTGTTGACTTTTGAGACGTCTCAAAAGGAGGGTGGCGCAAGCAGGGGTGGGGCGAGGCGAGCAGAGAGTATGACGACCGTTACACTTGATATGAGCAAACCAAGGCATGCTTTTTGTGATGACAAAAAGATTAGGTTTTGACACGGGACCGCTTTCGAGTCCTGGGCGTGGAATATTTGTAGCATTGGGTTGGGGTGTTTCTGTTGTTAGTAATTTACCGATTGTGGTCAATCTAAAATTCCCTGGGAGAAGCTATGATGATGACTGAAATGATTGGCGAGTTCTGGAGTCCTCTTTGCTCCTTTACTCCCTCCACCCGCCCGCCCACCACCAGTCAGCCCGCCCCTGTCCGTCCCTCTCCTCTCTCCACTCTCTCCTCCCTCCAATCACTCCTTCCCACGTCCGCACCACCTCCCTTCAATCTGCTCGTCTTATCCACCTCTGCCGGCAGCGTGACAGACAGTTAGCCAAATCCGAAGGCCTTCTTGCTCCTCTCCTCGTCTCCCTCCCTCTCCCCCCTTCTCCCTCTTTCCCCAAACCCTGAATCTCAATCTTTTGCACAAGTGTGAAAGAGGGGGGTTTAAGGGGAGGGTTGAGAAGGGGAGGGATGGGCAAGGATTGGGAGGGGTGGAGATGGTTGCAGGGAGGTCTGATGACGCGAAAATGGTTGTCCGAGAACAAAGGTGTATGGAAGCCTGGTATTTGCCGCTGGTGGATTTTGAGCAAGAGAGAGAGTGGGTGGAGCAACGTGAAAGGGGTGTATTGTGTGTGGAAGGGAAGGGTGGTGTATGGGGGGGAGGCGGTGATGGGGGGGTGCCTGCTCTTTGTGTGTTGGGAGTGGGGGGCTTGCTTTGAGGCGTGCTTGCTTGCAAGCTGCCTCAAGAGAGCTGAGGGTGCGGCTGACTGACTGCATCGTCTGCAGCAGATGAAAGAAATATAAATCCTCTGAGCTTCGTCCTTGAATGCTTCTGTGCGTGTCTGTGGCTGGCTGTCTGTGGCCGTCAGTGGCCGTCTGTTGCTTTGAGGCGTGCTTGCTTGCAAGCTGCCTCAAGGGAGCCGAGGGTGCTGCTGACTGACTGCATTGTATGCAGATGAAGCAAGCAAATATACGTCCTCTGAGCTTCTTCCTCAAATACTTCTGTGCGTGGCTGTGGTTGTCTGTGGTTGTCTGTGGTTGTCTGTGGTTGCCTGTGGTTGTCTGTGGCCGTCTGCGGCTGTCGGTGCTTGTTTCTTCCGAACCTTGTCTGGATTTCCGTGCTCTAGTGCGTTACCCACACGCCGTTTCTCCTGCTATGGATGTTTCCTTGGTTGAAACGGGCGCATTTGATTGGTGGGACCTCCTCGTTCCATTGAGGGTGGATGGCAAGGCGTACTGTCAGAACCTCATAGACACGCCCGGCCATGTGGACTTCAGCTACGAGGTGTCTCTTCACTCACCCCTTGTGCATGCAATCCCTCTTTCTACGCCCACCCCAACCCCCCAGGCAGCGCGCATGCGGCACGTGTCAAGGGTGGACGGCAATGCGTATTGCCTCAACCTCATTGACACGCCCGGCCACGTGGACTTCAGCTACGAGGTGTCGCGCTCGCTGGCTGCCTGTGAGGGCGCGCTGCTGGTGGTGGACGCTTCTCAGGGCGTGGAGGCACAGACGTTGGCAAATGTGTACCTGGCGATAGAGGGGAACCTGGAAATTATTCCAGTAAGTTTGAGCCTCTGAGGTTCAACTCTCGGGTGCTGCTGTCTGAGTCGGGTCTGGCCGCCTGGGGCGCAGTAGTTCGCTCGCTGGCTGCCTGTGAGGGCGCGCTGCTCGTGGTGGACGCGTCTCAGGGCGTGGAGGCACAGACGCTGGCAAACGTTTACTTGGCTATTAAGGGAAATTTGGAGATCATTATTCCGGTGAGTCGAAGTCAAACCCGAGGGTGTTGTTTGAGTGAGTTGGAGGGTGTTGTATGGGTGATTGAGCACAGTAACTAGCTCGCTGGTTGCCTGTGAGGGCGCGCTGCTGGTGGTGGACGCGTCTCAGGGCGTGGAGGCGTGAGGGCTACTGGATGAGGGTCTTGGGGTTCAGGGTTCACCAGGGTTTAAGCATAAAGGTGGCGTGGAGGCACATGCATTAGCGGGTTTCTGGAGAGTGCATCCGTGCTCCCCAACAGGCTATAATTGTCCTCTGTTCACCGCCCTTCTCCTCCCCCACTTGCCCTGGTGGTGCGCAACAAAATGGGTCTCCCTGGTGAGAGATCGGGAGCGGGTGAGAGCGGAGGTGGAGGAGGTGGTGGGGCTGGATGCGTCAGACGCCAGCCTGTGCTTCTCGGAGTGCATCCCTGCTACTCAACCATCTGTCACGTTCCTCTTTCCCCCATGCACACCAGGTGTTGAGCAAAATTGACCTGCCAGGAGCCGATCCGGAACGGGTGCGAGCGGAGGTGGAGGAGGTGGTGGGGCTGGACGCTGCAGACGCCATCCTGTGCTGCTTTGAGTGCATCACTGTTCCTTAACTGTCCGTCTGTCACGTCCCTCGTTCCCTCGTGCATGGCAGGTGCTGAACAAAATCGACCTGCCGGGGGCGGACCCAGAGCGTGTGCGAGCGGAGGTGGAGGAGGTGGTGGGGCTGGACGCGGCAGACGCCATCCTGTGCTCCGCCACGGAGGGTGTGGGCACTGAGGACATCCTCAAGGAGGGATAATGTGTTCTTCAACAGGCTGTTCGTCACGTTCCGCTTCCCACTGCCCTTCTCCTTCTCCTTCCCCACTTGCCCAGGTGCTCAAGAAACTCGACCTGCCAGGAGCCGATCCGGAAAGAGTACGGGCGGAGGTGGAGGAGGTGGTGGGGCTGGACGCGGCAGACGCCATTCTGTGCTCCGCCAAGGAGGGGTTACGTGGTACTTATCAGGCCGTTCATTCCCTTGTGCACCCCAGGTGCTGAACAAAATCGACCTGCCAGGGGCGGACCCAGAGCGCGTACGGGCGGAGGTGGAGGAGGTGGTGGGGCTGGATGCTTCAGACGCCATCCTGTGCTCCGCCAAGGAGGGAGTGGGCATTCAGGACATCCTGGAATCCATCATCGCCAAAGTGCCGCCCCCCGCTCCAACCAGAGACCAGCCGCTGCGCTGCCTCATCTTCGACAGGTATGAGGGGTGGGGATGCGGCAGGTTCATCACCCATCAAAGACAGGGCACCATGTGAAACCATTGTGCTCCGCCAAGGAGGGAGTGGGCATTGAGGACATCCTCGAGTCCATCATTGCCAAAGTGCCGCCCCCCGCTCCTACTAGAGACCAGCCGCTGCGCTGCCTCATTTTCGACAGGTATGAGGGGAATGGAACGGGTGAAATCAGAGGGGCGGGAGGGCGTGGGCATTCAGGACATCCTCGAGTCCATCATCGCCAAAGTGCCGCCCCCTACTCCTTTAGAGACCAGCCGCTGCGCTGCCTCATCTTCGACAGGTGTGTCGAGAATGAAAGGGGTTGGGAGGGGCGGGAAGACAAGGCACCACCACAGTGGGCTGGTGGGTAATCTCTCTGTGTGTGAGCATGACACTCTGGTGTGATAGTGTATTTCCGAGTGGTGGATGGCGAGGTGCGCAAGGGAGACAGCGTGCCCTTCATTGCAAGTGGATGCTCGCTCACTGCCTGCTCTCCACTCCTTTTCTCGTCCCCTGCCATCTTTCCCTCCCACCAGCTACTATGACCCGTACCGGGGCGTGATAGTGTATTTCCGAGTGGTGGACGGCGAGGTGCGCAAGGGAGACAGCGTGCGGTTCATGGCGAGTGAGTGGCTGCCTCGCTTACTGCTTGACCCCCTCTCGTCTTCCCCCCCCGTTCCCCCTCCCTCCTCCATTTCCCTTGCACCAGCTACTATGACCCGTACCGGGGCGTGATAGTGTATTTCCGAGTGGTGGACGGCGAGGTGCGCAAGGGAGACAGCGTGCGGTTCATTGCACGTGGATGCTCGCTCTCTGCCTGCTCTCCACTCCTTTTCTCGTTCCCTGCCACCTTTCCCGCCCTGCAGCTACTATGACCCGTACCGGGGCGTGATAGTGTATTTCCGAGTGGTGGACGGCGAGGTGCGCAAGGGAGACAGCGTGCGGTTCATGGCGAGTGGCAAGCAGTACGAGGTGGATGAGGTGGGCGTGCTCTCGCCCACGCAGATGCCTGTTGACTGCCTCTATGCCGGCGAGGTGAGCTGGGGGTGAGGGGTTGGTTGGTCGTGGTGGAGGGCACTGGGCAAGCAGTACGAGGTGGACGAGCTGGGCGTGCTGTCACCTACCCAGATGCCCGTGGATTGTCTCTTTGCAGGCGAGGTGGGTGGGCTGACTCGCAGTGTGTCTCTGCTGTGATTTGGTGAGCGTGGATAGGGGGGTGGGTGGCAAGTGGCAAGCAGTACGAGGTGGACGAGCTGGGGGTGCTGTCACCCACGCAGATGCCCGTTGACTGCCTCTATGCTGGCGAGGTGAGGCATTTTATGCTGTGTTGGTGGTACGTATGGGGGAAGGCGGGTGGCTGTTAGAGGGCAAGCAGTACGAGGTGGACGAGCTGGGGGTGCTCTCGCCCACGCAGATGCCCGTCGATTGCTTGAATGCGGGCGAGGTGAGGCACTATATGCTGTGATGGTGGTGAGCATGCGGGTGTGGGTGCCTGCTGTGAGCATGGTGAGTGAGGGGTGGGTGGTGGTGGGCAAGCAGTACGAGCTGGGGGTGCTGTCGCCCACTCAGATGCCCGTGGCTCTGCAGCAGTGTGTGGGTGCTGTGATGGTGCTGAGCATGGGGAGAGGAGTCGCTGCCGGGGTACATGGAAGCGGTGCCGATGGTGTTCTGCGATCCAAGCATTGCTCTGTGTAAACCAGCCAGCGAGCCTTGCCGCCCTCCCCTCCCCTCTCCCTCCCCCTCTCTCCTCCCCTCCCCTCTCCCTTCTCCTTTCCCCCCCTCTCCCCTCCCCTCTCGCCGCAGGTGGGCTACCTGGCAGCGTCCATCCGCCAGGTGGCGGATGCGAGGGTGGGGGACACCATAACCCATGCAGGAGGAGCGGGCAAGGGCGGCCCACCAGCTAAAGAGTCCCTACCCGGGTACAGGGAGGCGGTGCCGATGGTGTTCTGCGGACTCTTCCCCATCGATGCCGACCAGTTCACGGCTCTGAGAGAAGCACTGGAGAAGCTTCAGCTGAATGATGCGGCACTACAGGTACGAAAGGGGGGCTTGCATGTGGGGAAGGAGGGAGGCGGTGCCGATGGTGTTCTGCGGGCTCTTCCCCATTGATGCGGACCAGTTCACGGCTCTGAGAGAAGCACTGGAGAAGCTTCAGCTGAATGATGCGGCACTACAGGTACGAAAGGGGGGCTTGCATGTGGGGAAGGAGGGAGGCGGTGCCGATGGTGTTCTGCGGACTCTTCCCCATCGATGCCGACCAGTTCACGGCTCTGAGAGAAGCACTGGAGAAGTTGCAGCTGAATGATGCGGCACTACAGGTACGAAAGGGGGGCTTGCATGTGGGGAAGGAGGGAGGCGGTGCCGATGGTGTTCTGCGGACTCTTCCCCATTGATGCGGACCAGTTCCCGGCTTTAAGGGAGGCGCTGGAGAAGCTTCAGCTCAATGATGCGGCACTACAGGTCGGAAAGGGGGGCTTGCATGTGGGAGGGAGGGAGGCGGTGCCGATGGTGTTCTGTGGTGCTTGTGGGGAGGGAGTGGGAGGGAGTGGGAGGGAGTGGGAGGGAGTGGGAGGGATGAGCTGGAGAAGCTGCAGCTCAACGACTCAGCTCTGCAGGTACGAAAGGGAGTGGGTAAGGGGTGGGAGGGGGTTGGAGGGAGTGGAGAAGGGTGACACCGTTACTGCCGACCAGTTCCCTGGAGAAGCTGCGGCTCAATGATGCTGCGCTGCAGGTGAGGGGAAGGAGGGGAAAGGGAGGGGCAGCAGGTGACAGGGAGGAGAAATAGTGTGGTCAGGGCAGGCGGGAAATAAAACGAGGCATTTGCAAGTTCACTGTCCTACTTTTTAAGCATGGGACTATGCAGTGTGTTCTCCCACCAAAACACTCCCTCCTCCGCCTCCTTCCATTCCCCCTTTCATCCTCCTTTCTCTTTCACCCTCCCTTCTGCTTCCCCTCATCTTACCCCCTTCCTGTGTCCATCCCTTCCCCCGTCCCCATTCATTTATTCGCCAGTTTGAGCCCGAGAGCAGCAGCGCCATGGGCTTTGGCTTTTGATTCTGAGGCACTTGAAAAAAAACACTCTCACCCCCTGTCTCCATTCTTCCCCTCTCCTTCTCCCCACCAGTTTGAGCCGGAGAGCAGCAGCGCCATGGGCTTTGGCTTTTGAAGCGCCTCACAAGACAACACTCTCCCCCATCGTTTGTCTGCCCCGTCATTCATTTGTCCCCCATCGTTTGTCTGCCCCGTCATTCATTTGTCCCCCATCGTTTGTCTGCCCCGTCATTCATTTGTCCCCCATCGCTTGTCTGCTCCGTCATTCATTTGTCCCCCATCGCTTGTCTGCCCCGTCATTCATTTGTCCCCCATCGCTTGTCTGCCCCGTCATTCATTTGTCCCCCATCGCCTGTCTGCCCCTCTCTCTCTTCCATCCAGTTTGAGCCGGAGAGCAGCAGCGCCATGGGCTTTGGCTTCCGCTGTGGCTTCCTGGGCCTGCTGCACATGGACGTGGTGCAGGTGAGCTGCACATGGACGTGGTGCAGGTGAGCTGCACATGGACGTGGTGCAGGTGAGCTGCACATGGACGTGGTGCAGGTGAGATCGGCATTGTTCCATGCCATGCCATGCCGTGCCATACCGTGCCATGCCATGCCATGCCATGCCATGCCATGCCATGACACATGGACGTGGTGCAGGTGAGGGAACTGAGGCATGGTGGCATGGCGTGACACATGCATTGGATTTGAGAGAAATGCTGCACACGGACGTGGTGCAGGTGAGCGAGTGAAGTGCTCGCAGCTTGAAGGCATGGTAACATGGTTCGCAGCACAAACACGCCGTGCAGGGGCGGTGCGGTGCGGTGTGGTGAGGGGAGTACCAGTTGCATGAAGGCGTCCAGAAGTCCATCAATGGCAGTCTTCTTTCCCAATGGTTGGTCGGTCAGTGCCCCCCCACAGGAGCGGCTAGAGCGAGAGTTTATGGATTGGATCTGATTGTGACGGTCCCCTGCATGGTGTACCGCGTGGTGAAGCGGAACAGGTGGCTCATGAGTCAGGCTCTCACATTCTTCCTCCCCCATTTCTCCCCCACAGGAGCGGCTAGAGCGGGAGTACAGCCTCGATCTCATCACGACAGCCCCCAGCGTGGTGTACCGCGTGGTGAAGCAGGACGGGTCGATGGTGGAGTGCTCCAACCCGGCTGTGCTCACGAGTCAAGCACTCACATTCTTCCTCCCCCATTTCTCCCCTACAGGAGCGGCTAGAGCGAGAGTACAGCCTCGACCTTATCACCACGGCCCCCAGCGTGGTGTACCGTGTGGTGCAGCGGGACGGGTGGCTCATGATTAGTCAAGCACTCACATTCTCCCTCCCTCTCCCCCCTTGCATCCCCTACAGGAACGGCTAGAGCGAGAGTACAGCCTCGACCTTATCACCACGGCCCCCAGCGTGGTGTATCGTGTGGTGAAGCGGGACGGGGCGATGGTAGAGTGCTCTAACCCAGCAGACATGCCCGATGCCTCCATTCGCTCTGAGATCCAGGAGCCTTATGTGCGGGTGAGTAGAGCAATACGTGTGGGTGAGTTTGACGAAGGGGGTGAGTAGACTCCCTCTATAGGATTCACCACGCCTCTTGCAGTGGTGTGGTGAAGCGGGACGGGGCGGTGGTGGAGTGATCCAACCCCGCTGACATGCCCACGTGACAGAAGGCTGGTTTTGAGACGTCTCAGATCCGAATTCCAACCCTGCTGACATGCCCGACGCCTCCATTCGCTCTGAGATCCAGGAGCCCTACGTGCGGGTGAGTGAGTAGTCTCCCTCTCCCTCTATAAGGTTCACCACGCCTCCTCGTCCAGTGGTGTGGTGAAGCGGGACGGGGCGCTGGTGGAGTGCTCCTACCCCGCTGACATGCCCGACGCCTCCATTCGCTCTGAGATCCAGGAGCCCTACGTGCGGGTGAGTGAGTAGAGCAATACGTGCGGGTGAGTAGAGCAATACGTGCGGGTGAGTAGAGCAATACGTGCGGGTGAGTAGAGCAATACGTGCGGGTGAGTAGAGCAATACGTGCGGGTGAGTAGAGCAATACGTGCGGGTGAGTAGAGCAATACGTGCGGGTGAGTAGAGCAATACGTGCGGGTGAGTAGAGCAATACGTGCGGGTGAGTAGAGCAATACGTGCGGGTGAGTAGAGCAATGTGTGCGGGTGAGTAGAGCAATGCGTGCGGGTGAGTAGAGCAATGCGTGCGGGTGAGTAGAGCAATGCGTGCGGGTGAGTAGAGCAATACGTGCGGGTGAGTAGAGCAATGCGTGCGGGTGAGTAGAGCAATACGTGCGGGTGAGTTTGTGAAGGCTGAGTGGAACGCTTACAGGGTTCACCACGCCTCTTGCAGTGGTGTGGTGAAGCGGGACGGGTCGGTGGTGGAATGCTCCAACCCCGCTGACATGCCCGATGCCTCTGTGCGCTCTGAGATCCAGGAGCCCTACGTGCGGGTGAGTTTCATGGGGGGTGAGTGAGTCTCAAGCTAAGGGGGATGAGCGGCCTGGGTGTGGGTGAGTGTGGGGGTGAGAGGTGAAGCGGGACGGGGCGGTGGTGGAGTGCTCCAACCCCGCTGACATGCCGGACGCGTCCATTCGCTCTGAGATTCAGGAGCCCTACGTGCGGGTGAGTGAGTGGGTCTCATGGGGGTGTGAGAGGGAGGTACGTGAGAAACTGCACGCTTGACGACATGCATGCTCCCCACCATACCCGCTCCCGCCACTCGTTGCGCTTCGTTCCACAGCCCGCTGCCCATATCGGAGTCACTTTGAGGATTCTCATAAGTGGACCCATGCCCGCCCCTTTCCCCACCACCCACCAGCTGGACATCCTGACCCCCAGGGATTACATCGACACGCTCATGGACCTGGCACAGGAGAGGCGGGGGATGCTCCCTGGCATGCCTGCTCCCTCCACTCATTGTTCTTCAACCCACCACCACCCGTCATCAGCTGGACATCCTGACCCCCAGGGACTACATTGGCACACTTATGGATCTGGCGCAGGAGAGGCGGGGCGAGTGACGTGAAGACATTCTTGCTCCCCCCTTATCCCCGCTACTCTCCCCTCCCCCGCCACCGCGCCTCATCAGCTGGACATCCTGACCCCCCGGGACTACATTGGCACACTCATGGATCTGGCACAGGAGAGGCGGGGCGAGTTTGTGGAGATGAAGTATGTCAGCGAGACGCGCACCACGCTCTCCTATGATACCCCATTGGGCGAGGTGAGAGCAGGGGTGGTGGAGGAGTATGGGGGTGATAGGTTTGGATGAGGGCAGTGGAGATGAAGTATGTGAGCGAGACACGCACCACACTGTCGTATGATACCCCACTTGGCGAGGTATGAGGACGGGTGCTGGGTGTTAGGGGGACATTAGGGGGGCTAGGGAGCAGTGTGGGGGGTTAGGGAGCAGTGTGGGGGGTTAGGGAGCAGTGTGGGGAGTGGAGGAAGGAGAGGTGGGGCGAGTTTGTGGAGATGAAGTATGTGAGCGAGACACGCACCACACTGTCGTATGATACCCCATTGGGCGAGGTAAGAGCAGGCATGGACTGGGGACACTATGGGGGGGCTGGGGGGAGCTAGGGGGGCAGTAAGGGGTAGGGTGTGGAGGAAGGAGAGGCAGGACGAGTTGGTGGAGATGAAGTATGTTACTGAGTCCCGCACCACACTGTCCTCTGATACCCGTCTGCTGACTTCCGTGTCACTCATACTCCCATGCTCCCCTCCTCCTGTGCTCTTCCCATGCTGCCCCATGGCAGGTGGTGGGGGATTTCTTTGACCAGCTAAAGTCGCGCACCAAGGGCTACGCCAGCATGGAGTATAAAGTCACCGGGTATGCTTCTTGTACCGAGTCGGGAGAACACGCTCATATGGAGTACAAAGTCAGTGGGTGTGGTCCTTATTCATTCACTGTCGTCTGGGCTTGCGCTTGACACGTGTTGAAAGTGGCACCAAGGGCTACGCCAGCAAGGAGTACAAAGCCATGGGATAGGCTCCTTTCCCACAGTCCAACGCACCCCAACGCACACCACCGCACTCCACCTCACTGTCGTCTGGGCATGTCATTGAGACGTGTTGAAAGTGGCACCAAGGGCTACGCCAGCAAGGAGTACAAAGCCATGGGATAGGCTCCTTGCCCACAGTCCAACCCACTGCACCCCACCCCACACCACTCCACATCACCCCATTCTACACCCCTTAGGACCCATTCATCACCGCAAGAGCAACCTGGTAAAGATGGACATTCATGTTTCAGCTCGGGTGCCCCCTACCCTCCCCACCCCAACCCACTCCACCTCTACCCACCCCACCCCACCGCACTCCACCCTACACCCTCAGCTACCGCAAGAGCAACCTGGTGAAGATGGACATTCAGCTCAACGGGGAGGCCGTGGAGCCGCTGTCGGCCATTGTGCACCAGGAAAAGGTGGGTGAGAGGGTAAAATACACTCTGTCGGCCTTTGTGCACCAGGAAAAGGTGGGTGAGAGGGTAAAATACACTCTGTCGGCCTTTGTGCACCAGGAAAAAGGTGGGTGAGAGGGTAAATTACACTCTGTTGGCCGTTGTGCACCAAGAAAAGGTGGGTGAGAGGGTAAATTACACTCTGTTGGTCGTTGTGCACCAAGAAAAGGTGGGTGAGGGTAAATTTCACTCTGTTGCCCATTGTGCACCAGGAAATGGTGGGTGCGAGGGTAAAATACACTCTGTTGGCCTTTGTGCACCAGGAAAAGGTACGTGAGAGGGTAAATTACACTCTGTTGGTTATTGTGCACCAGGTAAAGCTGGGTGAGCAGGTAAATTACGCTCTGTTGGCAATTGTGGCCCAGGAAAAGGTGGATGAGAGGGTAAAATACACTCTGTTGGTGAGAGGCACATCAGGATGCCGTTTTTTTTTTTCCAGTTTTTTCTGCTCACTGCTGCTGGCTGCAGAGTCAAACACTCTAACCATGTCATTTTCCCCCGGACCAGGCCTACGGAGTGGGCAGAGCACTCACACAGAAGCTCAAGGAGCTCATTCCCCGACAGATGTTCAAAATCCCAATCCAGGTGCGCTCAGTGTTCAAAATCCCCATCCAGTGTTCACTGCTCGCTTTACCTAAGTTTCATGGTATATTTGCTCTGCGCGTGGTCCTGTCAAGGTCCCCCTGGTCTCTGCACTGTCCCCATAACGCTTCTCGTGCTCCATTCCTCAGGCATCTGTGCATGTCAGATTTTTCTGCTTGTGTGTTTCTTAATTGTGAAGTCTGTGAGCCCAGTGCACAACTTGCTTCCTCCTGACCTTGTGCTACCTTTAACTTTTATTGACCAGGCGTGTGTTGGAACCAAGGTCATTGCGAGTGAAACAATCGCAGCCATTCGCAAAGACGTTCTAGCAAAGTGCTATGGTGAGTACGTTAATGTTTTTTGCACGTCTCTTGGTTATCTATATTGCAAAAAATATATGTGCTTGACCGGATGGTGTGCTGGTTGCAGGTGGTGACATTTCCCGAAAGAAGAAATTGTTGAAGAAGCAAGCAGCGGGGAAGAAGAGAATGAAAGCGCTTGGACGAGTTGAGGTGCCCCAAGATGCCTTCATGGCTGTGCTTAGACTTGAGAAGGAAAGCTTGTGATAAGACATCATCCAAATATATTCGATTATTCTTATACAAGGAGCATCTTGATAGGTTTTCTGGTTTATGAGATTCGGGTTGGGGCATGTTGATCTGACAGACCCAATTGTCGTATAGAAGAGTGGCTGGAAATTTTCACGTTTGTACACTATCCCGAAGATGTCAGTTCTACCCTCCGAAAGCTCTAATATCGAAGGTTTAAATCGGCGACTCGACAAAGTTCGAATCAGTGATGGCTCGGCTGAACGTACTTCCACATCTCGACTCCCGTTGGCTCCAAGTTGGCGCACAAGCCTCGCGCGAAGTTCCGAGCCGAACCATCACTTGCTGCTGTGGCTTGGGTTCGCGTGTTGCTGTCTGATCTGATTTGGTTCGGACTGGCCCGGACGGATGTCGGTGCTGTTGTCCGCACCGAACCGAAAGAACGACGTGGCAGACACCACTTACTGCCTGTAACGCATGTAAACGTACGGAAAAACTCTAGACCCCTATACACACCGAACTACCGCCTTGAAAGCGCATGTGCTTTGAACTACAATATTCTTCTCCACACCGTCGCTGATTTCCAGTATAGACTAGCCATAGTATCAGTACAGTGTATAGAAGGCACCATGACTGTGGCTGTTGGCTGTCTCGACTCTCAACGTCGGATAATACCCCGCCGCGAGCACCGTTTTGTACCAATTCCGCTATGTTGACAGTGACGCGCTTTGATACGGCAGTGACAGTTCATGGTACGAAAAAAATCGCTGGAATCTGCGAGAGAACAGGACGGTCCGTTCGGTAGCACGTTATTCTTAATTTTAATCCCTTGTGCTGTGACAAAGCTCGCCACTGCCGTCCGCGCTGTTATTCTTAAATCTAAACTCTTTTCTGATCTAGAAACAAACCATCGTAAATCACTCTGCCTGGCTCGGAGCAGTCAAGCGCAGATGAACCGCGCTGCGACAAGTTTTTTGCTGGTGTCATGTTTAAGCCTACTCGGTCACTTGACCGCCGTCGCTCGCGAGCCTTCGCAACAGCATCTCGCCGTTGTTCGCGAGCCTTCGCAACAGCATCTCGCCGTTGCTCCAGATTGTGGCGATTTGCCGAAATGGTCACCCTCGGGGACACCGGTTCTAGCTCCCACCGCTGGTTGCGGCGCTGCGGGCAGCACAGCTGCCCTTGGGAGCATTTCATTCCAAGATGATCTGAAGAAGATCAGCTCACAGCCGTCCGATCAGCAGCCGCACCTGCCGGCGCAGCGACGTCGACCGTGCGATTGCGCGATAGGCTCTGTAGCCAGCCCTCCCTGGCGAACGCTTGGCCAGGCTGCAATTGCGAAACCGTGCAATTGTGGTTACCCTTCTGTTCGCAACCTTGTATGGCGGAAGCGAGAGCCGAGGAGTTCTATAGAAATAGTTACGGAGATGGAAACGGAAACAGCAGCGGAAACGGAAACGGAAACGGAAACGGAAACGGAAACGGAAACGGAAACGGGGACGGAGATGGAAACGGGAACCGAAACGGAATTGCAAACGGGATGGTACTTAGAGAGGTACTTGGAGAGGCACTTAGAAAACCGATACTTAAAGCAGCAGTACTTAAAGAGGCGGTACTTAAAGGACGTGTCGCCAGCGGAGCCGTTGGCAGTGAACCGCACGCGGAGAGTGGACCCGCTTCAGCACTTCCAGTTGTACGAGGGCGGCTGGGACCCCAGCAGCAAGTACTACTGGGCGGTACGTCTCGTGTGCTTGTCTTGAGACCTCATGTAGGTGAGTTCTGACGCTTGAGACTTCATGCATGCGGGTTTTGAGGCGTGTCACAGCCTTGGCACGCGGAGAGTGGACCCGCTGCAGCACTTCCAGTACTACAAGGGCGGGTGGGACCCCAGCAGCAAGTACTACTGGGCGGTACGTCATGCAGACGTGTTTTGAGGTGTGTTACAGCTCCAGCCAGTAGCACGTACGTAGTACTACTGGGCGGTACGTCATGTGTGCTTGCCCTGAGATGTGTCAGAACCTTAACCGCAAGTTCTACTACAAGGGTGGGTCGTCATTTTGGTTCTACGAGAGTGTTGACTCTTGAGGTGTGTCACAACCGTGGCACGTGGAGTGTGGACCCTCTGCCGCTGCAGCACTCCCAGTACTATGAGGGCGGGCGGGTGAGACTTCGAGACGTCTCAAACATACCATCATTTCACTCACGTGGACCCTCTGCCGCTGCAGCACTCCCAGTACTATGAGGGCGGGCGGGTGGGACCCCAGCAGCAAGTACTACTGGGCAGTACGTCTCGTGTGCTTGCTTGCCCTGAGATGTGTCAGACCCGTGGCACGCGGAGAGTGCACCCACCCTCTCCCTCTGCACGCGGAGAGTGCACCCTCTTGAGTCGACTCAAAAGCTGAACCGTGGCACGCGGAGAGTGCACCCTCTTGAGTCGACTCAAAAGCTGAACCGTGGCACGCGGAGAGTGCACCCTCTTGAGTCGACTCAAAAGTTGAACCGTGGCACGCGGAGAGTGCACCCTCTTGAGTCGACTCAAAAGTTGAACCGTGGCACGCGGAGAGTGCACCCTCTCCCTTTGCAGCACTGCCAGTACTATGATATGAGGGCGGGTGGGACTCCAGCAGCAAGTGCTACTGGGCGGTACGTTGAGTAGGCGGGTCTTGAGATCTTTCAGAACCCCAGCAGGAAATGAGTGCAGGTTCTGAGACGTCATGTAGGTGGGTGGGTGGGTGTTGACTCTTGAGACGTCTCACAATCTTGCCTAGTCTCCTCCCTCCTGCTCCTCCTGCCTAATCTCCTCCCTCCATTTCTTTACCACTCTCCTCCATTCCTTTCTTCCTCCCTCCTCCGTCGCCCTCTCGCTTCTCCCGATCCCTCTCCTCCCTTTCTCCTTCCCTCCCTTCCTCTCCCCATCCCTCTCCTCCCTCTCTCCTTCCCGTCCTTCCTCTCCCAATCCCTCTCCTCCCTTTCTCCTTCCCTTCCTTCCTCTCCCCATCCCTCCCGACCCTCGCCCATCCTTCCCCAACCCCGCCCATTCTTCCCCCAGTCTGTGGCATGGGCGGGGATCTACGGTCTCATAGTGGGGGCGGCATGGATCGTACTCGGTATAAGCATCCTCGCTTTTGCGCTCTGCGCGTTCCTGTTCTGCCGAAAGCGCTGGAAGGAGCGGCTGGACACTGACCCGCCAGGCTACACGCCCTTTCAGATCCGCGTGCCACTTGTCGCACTCATATTCGCTGCTATATTCATCCTGTGAGTGGCCCAATCTGCAAATTGCATTTCTCTCGAAAGCGCCGGAAAGAGCGGCTGGACACTGACCCGCCAGGCTACACGCCCTTTCAGATCCGCGTGCCACTTGTCGCACTCATATTCGCTGCTATATTCATCCTGTGAGTGGCCCAATCTGCAAATTGCATTTCTCTCGAAAGCGCCGGAAAGAGCGGCTGGACACTGACCCGCCAGGCTACACGCCCTTTCAGATCCGCGTGCCACTTTGCGCGCTCATATTCGCTGCTATATTCATCCTGTGAGTGCCCGAACCTGCAATGCTTTCGCGCTCTGCGCGTGCCTCCTTTTCTGCCGAAAGCGGTGGAACTCCGACTTTTGAGGCTCAAGAGGCGCTCTGCTGCGCGCGGGTGCCCCTTTTTCCGAAAGCGCTGGAAAGAGCGGCTGGACAGGACACTGACCCGCCAGGCTACACGCCCTCTCAGGTGGCTTTTGAGTCGACTCAGAAGTCACCTTGAGGCTCAAAAGGCGCTCTGCGGGTGCCTCTTCTGCCGCAAGCACTGGAATGAGCGGCTGGACACTGACCCGCCAGGCTACACGCCCTCTCAGATCTGCGTGCCACTTGGCGCGCTCGTATTGGCTGCAATCTTCATCCTGAGAGTGTGCCACTTGTCGCGCTCTTATTGGCTGCACTGCAACCACCCATCATCATGTCACGTCACCCTTGTCTTGCATCCGTGTCTTTGCTTCATGCAGTCCTGGTTCGAGCATTCCGGACTGGTCACATTCCTTTCCGTTTCTTTCCTTTCTCTTCCTTTCCCTTCCCTAATTTTCTCTCACACCTCCTCCTCCTCCTCCTCCTCCTCCTCCTCCTCCTCCTCCTCCTCCTCCTCCTCCTCCTCCTCCTCCTCCTCCTCCTCCTCCTCCTCCTCCTCCACCTTTCCTCCCCCAATCCTTTTCTCTTTTCCCATCCCATCTCCATCCCCATCCCCATCCCCATCCCCATCGACCCTATTTCGCAACCCTTTGAGTCGCCCAGGGTGGGAGTGGCGCTGCTGTTAGCAGGGGGGGTGCAGTTCCAGAGCACCTACCGCAGTGCCACGCAGTTTACACTCACCACCACGCCTTACCCACCCCGATCCCCTTCTCCTTCCCCTGCACCTTTTCCCATCTTGATAAACACCCAGGGTGGGAGTGGCACTGCTGTTAGCAGGAGGGGTGCAGTTCCAGAGCACCTACCGCAGTGCCGCGCAGTTCACCCTCGCTACCACAGAAGCCCTCGTGGGGGCCACTCACAACCTCTCAGCCGCATTGCAACACTCCGCCAACACCACCGTCTTCAATGCCGTGGTTCCCTGTAAGTCTCTGTTTCTGCCTCCGCTGCTCATTTCCTCTTCCCCCTCTGCTGGCCCGCATGCCCTGCTTGTCCCCTGTGTCACCCTAGCCGCCACGCAACTCACAACCTCTCTCATACAGCCCCTGGGTCACAACCTCTCTCATACAGCCCCTGGGTCACAACCTCTCTCATACAGCCCCTGGGTCACAACCTCTCTCATACAGCCCCTGGGTCACAACCTCTCTCATACAGCCCCTGGGTCACAACCTCTCTCATACAGCCCCTGGGTCACAACCTCTCTCATACAGCCCCTGGGTCACAACCTCTCTCATACAGCCCCTGGGTCACAACCTCTCTCATACAGCCCCTGGGTCACAACCTCTCTCATACAGCCCCTGGGTCACAACCTCTCTCATACAGCCCCTGGGTCACAACCTCTCTCATACAGCCCCTGGGTCACAACCTCTCTCATACAGCCCCTGGGTCACAACCTCTCTCATACAGCCCCTGGGTCACAACCTCTCTCATACAGCCCCTGGGTCACAACCTCTCTCATACAGCCCCTGGGTCACAACCTCTCTCATACAGCCCCTGGGTCACAACCTCTCTCATACAGCCCCTGGGTCACAACCTCTCTCATACAGCCCCTGGGTCACAACCTCTCTCATACAGCCCCTGGGTCACAACCTCTCTCATACAGCCCCTGGGTCACAACCTCTCTCATACAGCCCCTGGGTCACAACCTCTCTCATACAGCCCCTGGGTCACAACCTCTCTCATACAGCCCCTGGGTCACAACCTCTCTCATACAGCCCCTGGGTCACAACCTCTCTCATACAGCCCCTGGGTCACAACCTCTCTCATACAGCCCCTGGGTCACAACCTCTCTCATACAGCCCCTGGGTCACAACCTCTCTCATACAGCCCCTGGGTCACAACCTCTCTCATACAGCCCCTGGGTCACAACCTCTCTCATACAGCCCCTGGGTCACAACCTCTCTCATACAGCCCCTGGGTCACAACCTCTCTCATACAGCCCCTGGGTCACAACCTCTCTCATACAGCCCCTGGGTCACAACCTCTCTCATACAGCCCCTGGGTCACAACCTCTCTCATACAGCCCCTGGGTCACAACCTCTCTCATACAGCCCCTGGGTCACAACCTCTCTCATACAGCCCCTGGGTCACAACCTCTCTCATACAGCCCCTGGGTCACAACCTCTCTGCAACGCTCCGCCAACACTACCCTTTTCGGTGGCATGGTTCCCCCTGTATGCTCCCACTCTCCTTTGCTCCCACTCTCCTTTGCTCCCACTCTCCTTTGCTCCCACTCTCCTTTGCTCCCACTCTCCTTTGCTCCCACTCTCCTTTGCTCCCACTGTCCTTTGCTCGCTCCCACTCTCCTTTGCTCCCACTTTCCTTTGCTCCCACTCTCCTTTGCTCCCACTCTCCTTTGCTCCCACTCTCCTTTGCTCCCACTCTCCTTTGCTCCCACTCTCCTTTGCTCCCACTCTCCTTTGCTCCCACTCTCCTTTGCTCCCACTCTCCTTTGCTCCCACTCTCCTTTGCTCCCACTGTCCTTTGATCGCTCCCACTCTCCTTTGCTCCCACTCTCCTTTGCTCCCACTCTCCCACTCTTGTGAACAGCTGTGACAAGTGACATCCAAGCAAGGGTTGTGAACAGCTTAGGAGTCAACTAATAAGCCAACCCACCCCTCTGTTTCCCCCCTCCACCCAGCTGCCACACAGCAGGCGGTGATACAGGGAGCAGTGCAGGCGGATATTATGGCAACAGACATCCAAGCAAGGGTTGTGAACAGCATTGACCGGCTGGATGGATACGTCAAGATCGTGTGCGTTGGGGATGGGTGCTTGCATGCATGGTGGGATGGGATGGGTGCATGGTGGGAGGCAAGGGTGGTGAACGGCATTGACCGGCTGGATGACTACGTCAAGATCGTGTGCGTTGGTGGTTGCATGGTGGGATGGATGCAATGCAAGATCGACGGCTTGTGTGTTGGGAATGGCTCGTTGGGAAGGAGGGAGTGGTGAACAGCATTGACCGGCTGGACTGATGCGACAAGATTGTGTGCATCGGTGGATGAGATGTGTCCGAGGTGGCATGGGATGGTGGGATGGATGCAAGGTTGATGGCTTGTGTGTTGGGAGTGGCTAGGTGGGGCGAGGATTGTGAAGAGCGTTGACCGGCTGGACTGATGCGACAAGATTGTGTGCGTCGGTGGATGGTGGGTTGGGCTGGGTGGATGTAAAACCTTATGACTTCTGTGCCACGGGTGGGTGCATGCATGGTGGGTGGGGGGTGGGTGCATGCACCGTGGGTGGGGTGGGTGCATGCATGGTGGGTGGGGGGTGGGTGCATGCACCGTGGGTGGGGTGGGTGCATGCATGGTGGGTGGGGGGTGGGTGCATGCACCGTGGGTGGGGTGGGTGCATGCATGGTGGGATGGGTGCATGGTGGTTGGATGGGAGGGATGGGTGCATGGTGGTGGGATGGGATGGGTGCAGGATTGATGGTTTGTGGATTGGGAATGGTTCAACGAAAGCCGAGCGGGCTGTGAACAGCATTGACACCCTGACAGTCTCTCACCTTGCTCCCCCACCGCACTCGTTAGTGCCGTCACCATTCTGTGAAGTGTGCCAGACAGACAAACCCACGTCAAACCCCCCACCCACCGGTACCCACTTTGACCCACGTCAAATCCCCACCCACCGTGTGATACTGCCAGTCAGTCTTGCAGTAATCTCCCTACTTCTTTGTAGCACCATCACCATTCTGCGGTGCGCTGATTCAGTGTGTCACACGCCATTACGCACGTCAAGACTGACTGGCAGTGTGTGACAAACCCACGCCCCCCCCACCCACCCGTACCCACTTTGACACCATGTCTGCCGCGCCCTTCACTTTTGCCCCCACTTCCCTTCACAGCACCATCACCATTCTCGTCATTGGCTCAGTCACTGCCCTGTGAGCTGTGCCAGACAGACAGACCCACATCAAGGCATCCACCCACCCTGACACACTTGTCTGTCCCTCACCATGCCTCCCCACTTCCCGTCACAGCACCATCACCATTCTCGTCATCGGCTCAGTCACTGCCCTGCTTGTGCTGCTGGGATTGGGTGAGTGCTGTTCGTGAGTGGTATGGTATGGGGGACTGGGGAACTGGGTGAGCGTTTTGCTAAGTAAAACTTCGCCAGTGCTCTGTGCTAAGCACAAGTGCTAGGCGGGTGGGAGAACAGCGCGCATTGCTGAGTGATCTGTGCTAGGTGGGTGGAAGGACAGGAGGGTGTGTCGCCGAATGCCACGAGGTAGGTGGCAAACCGGGTAGACACGTATGAGACGTCGCAAAGGCCAATTGTGTGCCTGTTCAAGCCGATTGGTGCATGTCTCAGGAGACCCAGTCCCCCCAGCTGTTGCCTGAAACTAAGAGGTTGATTTTGAGAATTCTCAAAATCAACCTCAAACAGCATGTCTCAGGAGACCCAGTCCCCCCAGCTGCTGCCTGAAACTAAGACCCTCGCACAGATTTCCCCAGATGCCACACACATCACCTATGCCAAATTTCCCTTATGTCAATGGCTTGGTTTGAAAGAATCCCTCACAATCCAAATCCTCAACCCGAATCCTTACAACCCGAATCCTCGCAACCCAAAACCTCGCAACCCAAAACCTCGCAACCCAAAACCTCGCAACCCGAAACCTCTCGTTTGAAGTCTCCAAAATCCAGGTGATAACTTCTACGTCCACCCTTGCCCCTCCCCGCTCGCTCCCCTTCGTGCATTCCGCAGTGGCCGTCCTCCTCCAGACTCCAGTGGGCAGTTGCACACATGTAGACGGCTGCCACCGTTGCCCCTCCCTGTGACTTTTGAGTCGACTCAAAAGTCACCTCGTTACCATGGCACACGACACACGTGTAGACGGCTGCCACCGTTGCCCCTCCCTGTTCAAAAGTTTCCCACCCTTGCCCCTCCCTGCTCAAAAGTCCCCCACCCTTGCCCCTCCCTGTTCAAAAGTCCCCCACCCTTGCCCCTCCCTCCTCAAAAGTCCCCCACCCTTGCCCCTCCCTCCTCAAAAGTCCCCCACCCTTGCCCCTCCCTGCTCTCTTCCCCTACACGTGCTGCAGTGGCCGGCTTCCTCCAGTGGGCGGTTGCATCACACATGTAAGAATCTTGTAGCAGAGCTGTTTTTAAGACTCCCCAATAGCATCACATATGTAAGAATCTTGTAGCAGAGCTGTTTTTAAGACTCCCCAATAGCATCACATATGTAAGAATCTTGTAGCAGAGCTGTTTTTAAGACTCCCCAATAGCATCACATACGTAAGAATCTTGTAGCAGGGCTGTTTTTAAGACTCCCCAATAGCATCACATATGTAAGAATCTTGTAGCAGAGCTGTTTTTAAGACTCCCCAATAGCATCACATACGTAAGAATCTTGTAGCAGAGCTGTTTTTAAGACTCCCCAATAGCATCGCATATGTAAGAATCTTGTAGCAGAGCTGTTTTTAAGACTCCCCAATAGCATCACATATGTAAGACTCCCCAATAGCATCACATATGTAAGACTCCCCAATAGCATCACGTATGTAAGAATCTTGTAGCAGAGCTGTTTTTAAGACTCCCCAATAGCATCACATATGTAAGACTCCCCAATAGCATCACATATGTAAGACTCCCCAATAGCATCACGTATGTAAGACTCCCCAATAGCATCACGTATGTAAGGGTGCTTCCCGCCCCGCTCATGCGTGAAGGGGACAGGCAAGCATGTTAGTTTCATAATAGAGGGCAGACAAAACTTCCTTTTCAAAACATCCCCCTCAGATTGTTGCACCATGTTTGCATCCTTCTCTCTGCTCTTACCGCCTTCCAGCTAGTGGTTCTTTTATCCCTCTACTGTGGTCCTGCGTTCTGGTCCCCTTTTTTAACAGACTCGTTAGTGTCATTTGGGCCATGGGGTTCATCACATGGTGTACTGTCACCCTCTGCCTGCTCTCCACCCTGTAAGTGCTGCTGCTGGTGGTTTGCTTAAGTGCTGCTGCTGGTGGTTTGCTTGAGTGCTGCTTGTGGTGGTATGCTTAGATGCTGCAACTGGTGGCATGCTAGCATGCTTAAGTGCTGCTGCTGGTGGCATGCTTTAGTGCTGCTACTGGTGGCATGCTTTAGTGCTGCTGCTGCTGGCATGCTTTAGTGCTGCCGCTGGTGGCATGCTTTAGTGCTGCTACTTGGTATGCTTGAGTGCCGGAACTTGTATGGGTGGGGTGATAATGGCTGGTTTCTCTCTATCCCCATCCATTCCCCTCCACCCCCCTCCACCCCCTTCCACCCCTCTCCACGGCTCTCCATTCCCCTTCGCAGTTCTGCCGAGGACACGAGTGCAGCCATGTGGCAGGTGTCACAGCAAAACCCTAAGCCAACACCACCATACAGCCATGGCTGCCCGTGTGAAACAGCACCCTCTAAACAACTCCCCGCCCCCCTCCACCCCTCTCCACCCCTCTTAACCCCTCTTCACCTTGCTCCACCGGTCTCCACCCCTTCTTCGCAGCTTTGCCAAGGACACGAGTGCAGCCATGTGGCAGGTGTCACAGCAGGACCAAGTAGCCAACTCCACCATACAGCCATGCCTGCCCGCGTGAAACAGCACCCTCGAAACAACTCCCCACCCCCCTCCACCCCTCTCCACCCCTTGCTCCGCCGCTCTCCACCCCTCACATGCAGCTTTGCGAAAGACACGAGTGCGGCCATGTGGCAGGTGTCACAGCAGGACCAAGTAGCCAACTCCACCATGCAGCAGTGGCTGCCATGTGCCAGGGCAAGCGACGTGCGCCAGGCCATCAACACCACCGTTACTGCCCTCTCTGCATCCATTGCTCTGCTCAACACGTCCGTTGTGACGACCTACCCCCAGGTGAGCGAGCACCCATTCAACCATCCATGTCCATGCCATGCCATGCCATGCACCCACCCACCCACCCAGTAGCCAACTCCACCATGCAGCAGTGGCTGCCATGTGCCAGGGCAAGCGACGCACGCCAGGCCGTCAACACCACCGTTACTGCACTCTCTGCATCCATTGCTCTGCTCAACACGTCCGTTGTGACGACCTATCCTCAGGTGAGCAACTCTCCGTCCTTTCCACAATTCGGTCGACTCAAGAGTCCTTTCCTCTCCCGTTCCTCTTCTCCTCTTGTGTGATGGGCAGCTGTTGACTGCAGTCAACGCCACTGGCATCTGCAGCCCCTAATGAGTCAACTCATCTCCTCATTCCTCCTCTCCCCTCGTGTGATTGGCAGCTGTTGAATGCAGTCAACGCGACTGGCATCTGCAACCCCTATGCGGGCGGCGCTGACCTCAGCTACGACGTCTCCTCCTGCCCGCCCGGCACTCTGCCGCCAGCCGCATTCTTCCAGGTGATATTCTCAGACTTTTGAAACCAGAATTTTCTTTCAGACTTTTGCTGCCGCTGCATTCTTTCTTCCAGGTGATATTATGAGACGTCTCAAACCGGCACTTTGCAGCCCGCCCGCCCGCTGCACTCTTCCGAGTGCTGTTTTTTTGAGTTGTCTCAAAAGACTTTTGATCGAACGTGCCGTTTAACAATGTAACAAAAGTCTGCAACAATAACGGTCATGCTGCTACAAGTGCCCCAAGCAGCATTCGCTTGCTGACCTGCTCCACTGGCACATGCTGCTTGCTTCTAAGTCGCCTCGAAACTCATCCTTTCACAGCATGCCTCCCCCCTATTGCCTCCTCCCTCTTGCCTCCCCGCTCCTGCCTCCTCCCTCCTGCCTCCCACCTCCCACCTCCTCCGTTCCCCTCCTCCCCCTCCCAGGCCCTCACCGCGTTTGCCTGCACCAACGGCACATGCCAGGTGCATCATCCCAACGGCACAGTCACGCTGCTGCAAGTGCCGCAAGAAGCTCTCACCCATCCCCCCCACACCCCCTCCCCCACCTTCCCCCCTTCAGGCTCTCACCGCACTGCCATGCACCAACAGCACGTGCCAGGTGCATCATCCCAACCGCACAGTCACGCTGCTGCAAGTGCCGCAAGAAGCACTCTCTAGCCTTGAGAGCGCCTCCGCTGCCCTCACACACCTCGTGGCCTTCCCCCCTGCCTCCTCCCTCGCTCCCCTCCCCCACCTCCCCCCTCTCATCTCAGGCACTCACCGCACTGCCCTGCACCAATGGCACGTGCGAGGTGCACCTTCTTAAAGGAACAGTCACGCTGCTGCAAGTGCCTGGAGGCTGGAGCTGCTCTCGCTCACCTAATGTGTGCCCCCGTCCCCCCCCCCCACCCTCGTCCCTGCCCTTCCCGTTCCTCCAGGCACTGCCCTGCACCAACGGCACATGCGAGGTGCATTTCCCCAACGGAACAGTGATGCTGCTGCAAGTGCCCCAAGCTGCTCTCGCTGACCTTCAGACCGCCTCCGCTGCCCTCATGCACCTCTAGGCTTCCGTGCCCCTCCCCACTCTCTTCTCACCCCTCCCCCCCCTCAGGCACTCTGACCTTCAGAGCACCTCCGCTGCCCTCATGCACCACCACCTAATGTCTGCCTCCGTGCCCCCCCCCCCCCCCCCTCGTCCCTGCCCTTCCCGTTCCTCCAGGCACTGCCCTGCACCAATGGCACGTGCGAGGTAAATTTCCCCAACGGAACAGTGATGCTGCTGCAAGTGCCTGAAGCTGCTCTCGCTGACCTTCAGACCGCCTCTGCTACCCTCACTCGCCTCGAGGCTTCCGTGCCGGTGCTGATTCAGATCGCCAACTGCACCTACGTTAAGGAGATCTGCGAGGTACATGGGTTGTTTGGCTTGACTTGGGTTGACTTGGGTTGACTTGGGTTGACTTGGGCTGACTTGAGTTGACTTGGTTCGATTGTTGGGAAGACCGCCTTCGCTGCCCTCACACGCCTCGAGGCTTCCGTGCCGGTGCTGCTGCAGATCGCCAACTGCACCTACGTGAAGGAGATCTGTGAGGTACGTGGGTTGACTTTGGTTGACTTGGGTTGACTTGGCTTGACTTGGCTTGACTTGGGTTCAATTCGGTTGACTTGGTTTCAGTTTGGTTCACTTGGATTGACTTGGGTTGAGGCGACTCAGAAGTCTGTTCTCGTGGCCTCCGTGCCTTGGCTTCTGCAGATTCCCAAATGCATTAATGTGAGGCAGATCTGCGAGGTATGTTGGTTGACCTGGTTTGACTTCGGTTGACTTGGGTTGACTTGGATTGACTAGGGTTGACATAGGTGACCTGGGTTACCTCTTCCCTTTTCCTCTCTGTCCCCCAGTGTGTATAAATAGTCCCTTCCCACCCCTTCGCTTCTCCCCCTCCCCCCTTTGAGAGGCCCCTACTGATTCTCACCAGTCAACTTAGCCCCATCCTCCCCCATTCGTCCCCATTTCCTTTCCATCCTCCCTTGTTCCCCTTAGCACCCTCCCAGCACGTATCACGGCTGGTGAGAGGCATGTAGAGGTGTGTCAACGTGCTGTGGTGGGGTGGGGCTCTTGCAGAGTAAGGAAGGATTCGAACCGCAGCAAGCCGTGTGGTCGCATCACGGCTGGTGAGAGACATGTAGAGGTGTGTCAACGTGCTGTGGTGGGGTGGGGCTTCATCCCCCCTGTATCTCCCGCCTCTGTATCCTTCCTCTATGTCTCTTCTCCTCCCCCATTCGCCCTGCACCCTCCCAGCACGCATCATCGCTAGCAAATGACATGGAGAGGGATTTCAGCATGCTGTGGTGGGGCTTCATCTCTCCTCTCTCCCTCCTCTCTCTCCTTTCTCTACGTCTCTTCTTTTTTTTCGCAGCACGCATCAGGGCTAGCAAATGACATGGAGAGGGATTTCAACATGCTGTGGTGGGGCTTCATCGTCATCTCAGTCGCATCCATGCTCCTCGCCCTCGCCCTCCCCGTCTACATCTTCCGCTCCACCCACCCACAAACCGACCCACAAGCCCACCTGCTAGCCCTACTTCCCGGAGACTCCGGTGGCTCGGGTGACTTTTGAGTCGACTCAACAGCCCAACTAGCCCCATCTTCCCCCATCCCATCCCCCCTCCCCCTTCCCAGCACGCATCAGGGCTAGCAAACGACATGGAGAGGGATTTCAACATGCTGTGGTGGGGCTTCATCGTCATCTCAGTCGCATCCATGCTCCTCGCCCTCGCCCTCCCCGTCTACATCTTCCGCTCCACCCACCCACAAACCGACCCATTAGCACACCCACTAACCCACCTGCAAGTCCAGCAGCTAGCTCTACCTCCCAGCGGCTCGGGCCTCTCTTCTCCTCCCGCACTCCTCCCCATGATTGCCGCTCTCCGCCTTGTGATGGCCCGGCTTCTGCTGCCAGTGGGATGTCTCAAATGGAATATCTGCAGCCTGGAGAGGAACGAAAGGACTAATCAACACTCGCCAGGTATGCGGGCACTTCCTGTTTCTCGGCCTTTTGCTGCCAGTGGCTCGGCTGGTGCTGCTGATGGGATGCCTCAAATGGAAGATTTGCAGCTTGAAGAGGAACGAAAGGACCAATCATCACTCGCCAGGTGTGCGGGCACTTCCTGTGTTTCCGTGCTCTTTCTCTCGTTTCTATGCTCGTTCCCTTGTTTCTGTGTTTGTTTGTTCTCTTGTTTCTATGCTCTTTCCCTTGTCTCTCTCCCTTGTTGCTCTTCTTTTCCTTATTCCTGTGCTTTCTCTTCGTTCTGTGCTCTTCTTTCTCTTCTTCCTGTGCTCTTTCTCGCCATCGGCAATTCTCTTCTTTGTTCTGTGTTCTTTCTTTTCATCCCCTGTTCGTTTCTCGTTTTTCGTATTTCGACTCCTGCCTTTGCACGTCCTGCTGTCCCCTTGGTCAACCACCCACCATCTCATTTCCCCTTCCAGGGACAATGCACCTGGTCTTTCTCCCTTAACATTCACATCCGTATCTTCTTCAGGGAGTGACTCTCTTCAGTACACATCATTGTCCTCCTTCACAAGGCTCAGCTAGATGCGCTTGCTTGCTTAATATGTTTGTGGAAGGAATTTTAATTCACGCAAGTGTGGGTCATTACTCCAAAGAAAGAAAGAAAAGGAAACGTGATAACATCTCCAGTTTACTGAAGATGGGCTATCCAGTCCACACTAGTTGCCTTATGTTCTTGATGCTTCGAAATTGTACATTGATATTTAGTGAAGGTTGAGATTGAGTTGTTAGTGCCTAACAACTCTCTTAACGGGGCATGTGAAACCGAAACTTACAGCTCATGTCTCCTTCGTTGAACCTCACCAGCTGACGCATGCAATCAATACCACCGCCGTGGATTGCGGCTGGACTGACACAACCGCTCTTTCGTTTCTGGAGCCGCGAAGAGCTATTGTCTTTTTTTCAATACGATCTTGTCTTGACAGCAGGAATTCAGCATAGTCGTCGTGAAGCTTTGCGAAGCTAGGTGACTCCATTCTTTCGAGCTTTTCCGTCCAGTGCTGCCGCCATCTCGACAACTCTGCTAGTTTCTCTGAACATCATAGATTGAATTCATCATCCCTTCCAATCTTTCGGGGTTGATCATCCTCATTTGCGTCCTCAGCAATGTCGTCAGCAACAGAGACTCCCGCAGATGTCCAGCCTCCTCGCAACCTGTCCGCAAATCCAGATTTGGGACCCTTATCGTCCAAAATATTGCCTCACCTATTCAAACTGTGAGGAGGGACAGGTGCTTTTCCTTTTTTCTGTTTTTTTCTGAAAGGGAGCATTAACCTCGTGCTCTCGTGCCCGTTGGCAGGTATGGTTGCACCGCAAGAGATGGGGATTTTGAAATTTACTCTCCAGACGCGAAGTTCGACGATCCCCTAATGTCAGCTCATGGGTACGTCGTCGTTTTTCGCACTGCTGGCTCAAGACCGTCGTTGTGAGAGATTTGCTGAAACCTGCAGCTGTATGTCTCATGCCTGTCTGTATCCTACACTTTTAGGTTGAATCAGATCAAGTCGGCCTTTTACTCCATGCAAGTGGTGGGTTGACTGCCTCTTCTTGAGTCGACTAAAAAAAATTGGCTCATTCCTGTTTTGTCATTCGGGCATAATATGAGTGCTGAGTCTATTGTTTGTGATTCTCTCAGCTTTTCCAAGAGGGGAGGATTGTAGAGTACACTCTAGAAGAGACATTAACAGGAGAAGGCTCAGGACTGGTAAGTTGATACAGGGTGCCATGTTGTGAACTCAAACTTGCAACAAACTGTTGAGTTTAGCTTGTTGGGGTTGTTTTGTGAATGGCAGGTGGTCATGGACAATAAGCAGAGTTACAAGGTCTGGGGCAGGCCTTTTGATGTTGACTCGAGAATCCAACTCAAGGTATAAAAAACAAGCACGTCTTTATTTGGGTTATAGTATCAGGGGTCTCATTCGGTTGGCATTTTAGGCTCAATAAGTGCCTTCATTCTCCCTGTCTGCAGGTCGAAGGAGGGAAGGTGGTTCACCACGAAGATCTGTGAGTTTTTTTACATCACATACCATTTCTAACATCTTCTCAATGGGTCGATAAGATATCGGCCGTGGTAGTGTGTACGTATCTTGTTCTATTCTTAGCACTATGTTTTACATGTGTTCACATGTGCAGGTGGAACAAGAAGCCTTTATGGTCGGATCCCACCAGGGGCGTTATTGGATGGCTGGGCTACACTTGGAGACGAAGTGCGATGATTACAACAGATGTGCTTATGGGCAGAGGAAAGGATCCAAAAGGGAGGGCATAATGGATGGATACGTAATTGCAGTTTGTGGTGAAAGAGTCTGCTGCTGCATATACCTGGACTAGTCTCAGCGTTTTGTCCTTGTACAGTACCAACACTGGTTTTTTAGCATGCATGCATCTCTGTACTAAGGCTGATAATGAATCAGCCACCACCTAAAGCAATCTGATGGTCTGCCTGGAACAGGAAGAGAAGGTAAATCCTGCAAAAGGTCATTACTATCTCCTAACCACCCTGTTGGGTATGCACAAACTGCACAATTGCCATCTACCGTAATTGTGAATCCGCAAAGGGACCTACCTGTCACACCGTCAACTGCCGGTAACATTATAACATAGAGTGATGCGTACAAGCTCTTCCCTGAAGATCTACGCCCTCCTTTTCTTACATATAAGGGTCGAATCAATTAACGAACACTGGCAGGCAGTGCCATCACTACAAGCTATACAGGCGGAGCGGAGGACGATGGAGGGGCGCATGCACCCCCTGCTGGTTGCTGTGGATAACCACCTGGCGGAGGAGGGGGATAACCCCCTGGGGGCAGAGGCGGGTAACCCCCTGGCGGGGGAGGGGGGTAGCCCCCTGGTGGGGGAGGAGGGTAACCACCTGGAGGGGGAGGAGGGTAACCACCAGGAGGGGGAGGAGGGTACGGGTAACCACCAGGCGGCGCTCCTGTAACAGGGTAACCAGGCACTGGTTCTGGTCCACCTCCTGATTGCTGGTATTGCTGCCCCTGCTGCGATGCCCAGGCGGCCATTTCCTGCTCTTGTTGCATGCGGCGCTTTCTCTTGGCGTTGTACACGCATGCACCGATGCCGCAAGAAAACACGAGGATGACAAGGGTGACTATAAGGGAACCCCACCATGTCCACCGCCACCCACAGCCATAGTAGCAGCCGCTGTAAGCTGCAGAAGAGAGGAAGAGGGATACGAAGGGAACGGAAGAAAAGGGACGGGATGGGATCACGGGAACAGTTGAGCAAAACGATGGCGAGTATCGGTAGAAGGAGTAAACCACACTAAACTATGGTGTAGAAGAAAGGAGATGGAAAAAAAAAAAGGATTCCTGTCTGGCGAGCGTAATATGCCGTATAAAGACGTCTAAGTGAGAAAAAATGGAGAGGCAGCAGCAACTGGGAAATGCTATGCCGTCTCACGCTTGCGGGATATCAGACCGAACAGATGCAATGTAACCCGAAATGACATGATTATGATCTGCAAGGGAAAGGGCCTGTGCGCATATCCTGAAATTCGAAGTGAGGGGACTTTGAGTCGACTCAAAAGGGCCTGTGCGGATATCCTGAAATTTGAGGTGAGGGATCACCTGAATAGTAGGTTGTGCAGCCTGAAGGAGTCGTAACGATGCAATCCTGAAAAAAAAAAAACAAAAACAAAAAAACAAAACAGAAGAAATAAAAGAAGCACAAGGACAACGAGACAAAGACGGTTACAAGAGGCAGGTGAAGGGCAAAGTGAGCTCGAAACGGCGAAACGGCAAGACCTAGACGTAAAAGTTGAAATTCTGAACTATAATAGTTCGAATGGGCTGGTCATCATAGCATGTGCCAGTTCGCAGGGTAAAGCTAGCGACCCCAGAGATTTCACACGTCTGATTGCTGGTTGTATATTAAGCTTTTTCGTCAAGGAGTATAACATACAGTGCTCTTTTTCGACGGTTCATCCCATACCTGGCAAGCGTTGTAGCAAGCGGAGCCATAGCCGGCGCACTCGTATTGACAGTTGCTGCTGCCGCCAGCTACCAACGGAATGAAAGCCGCTAAGCACAAGATGGACAGCTGTGTGAACGAAACTTGGATCACCGGCAATAACATTCTGTCAAAATTAAGACTGACTGGGAAAAGGTCACTAGTCCACTCCCTACGTGCACGCCCTAACCGTTTATCCTGTTCGCCCTTCCGACTTCTCAAGAGTGGATGCTGCTTCTCAATGCCAAAACGCTGTATTAATCTCTTAGTCGACACTCTCTAGCTCAGTTAGGTGTCAGACGCTAATCAAATCGCTAAGAATAATTGCTTTCCTCTCGCAGAAATACTGGGGATCATCAATGCCAACACTCCCTGCTCTTGTGTGTCATGTTTCTAGCTGTATTGAACACTCCACCATTAACAACCTTATGGGAGGACAGATGTGTGGGAAAAAAACTGGGCATTTGCTCAGAAGTGATTACAGTATTCGAAACTACCCTGAACAAACTGATCAGGCAGCATTTGGTCCAACAAGGGAAACTGAGTAGCCAGGTTTGGGTGATGTTCGGACAGATACTTTCAAGAATAACACCGATTACTTCTGGACTCTCTAGAGGTCAAAATTGCCGACCGACACAACCTCCAAAAACCGAGGGTTTCGAAATGTGTCAGCCTTTTAGCCTGCCCGTTTGGCGAGGTTCGGTTGGCGTTTCGGGTTCGTTGGCGGGGGGCACCTCACGGCAGAGACGTGCCTACGTCGAGAGTGCGCGGAATCAACACAGAGTAATACATTAGTACAGTAAGTGACTGCAAAGGCTTCTCATACAAACGAGGTCTCCTCCTTAGGTTAGACCTGCTCGTTCAAGAAGTCTAGGTGTACACGCATGCTTACATTGGTAGCCAGGATATCATTGCTTTTTCTTCACTTATGCCAACTATGATGGCTCATCATTGTATAATGCATGTAAGCAGTTCCTCAGTTAGGCACTCTGCACTTTATGTGGAAATGCAGCACTACGTGGAAATGCAGCACTTTGAATGATCGAACAAGCCCACTCAGACATCTACAACACAACAAATGCATACAAAACATTGGCAACTGAGACACTTCCAGCCCACACCGTGTAATCCATGGCCTGCCAAGCCATGCTAGCTAGGTCTGAGCGGTGCAAATAGTGGTGGAGGTGGGAAATGGGGAGAGAAGGATGGGAGTGGAGATGTCACAAACTAAATAATTTTCTTGTACCTGTACCACACCAATGGCACTTGCAGTTTCCGCATTGCCCAGCCACTCCTCCAGCTGGTGTTGGGTGCCTTCAGGCGTGCGCTGGCAATAGAGGTTAAAGGACTTGGTGGGAAGGCTGCTTCTACTTACAGGGATCCGTGACCTTACCATTTGCGTTCCCACTGCTCTCTGCCTCTAACGCTTGGCATGGCTGACGCAGATTCTTGCTCTGCTGCACCCGTTATTCGTAGGAACCTAAAAAAAATCCAACATGGCTCCTTAGACGTTTGATTGACGCTGCTGTTGACGCGAAAGCAGTGCAATCGCGTCCCAAGCAACCTGCCTGGTCGCGTACCCCCTCGCGAGCGCAATCACGGGATCTTTCTCCGCCAGGACCTCCGCCTCTGCGCCCACAGTGCGCGGAAAGGCATTGCGCTTAGGGGAGCGGAGACGGCGGAGAGTTCTCGCGGAAGGCTGCGCCTGGTACGGCCGGGGGAGCGCCAAGAACGACGCGAGTTCCTCCACATCCGCACGTGCACCGGTTTGCGCGGGCGCAGCGTCTACTAGCAAGGCTTCGCCGAGGGCGTCAATCGTCAGCGAAAGGTCGTCGCTCAGCACCTCGTCGTCGCTCTGCGCCCCGTCGTCGCCACACGCGGACTCGACTCCGTGACTTTCTGTTGATTCGTCGGCGGCGGATGTATCTTCAGTGATCGGCGGGAGGAGATTGGGGGGTCCGGAGTGGAGCAGCGAGAGGAGCAACCGAAGCCGTAGTTTTTCCTCTGCGAGTGCCGCGTTGACGGCTGCCGTCTCGTCTCCCTGCTGACGCTGATGCTGCTGCTGCTGCTGCTGCTGCTGCTGCTGCTGCTGCTGCTGCTGCTGCTGCTGCTGCTGCTGCTGCTGCTGCTGCTGCTGCTGCTGCTGCTGCTGCTGCTGCTGCTGTTGCTGCTGGGTAGCAGTGCCGAGTCCCTGTCGGCTCACGCACTGTTTCAGCTCCGCTATAAGCTGCTCCGGCGTAAACAATGCCTTTCCTTGCACCCTCTCGTCGTCCACGATGTACGGGTTGCGTTTCAACCGTTGATGCACGGCTCGAGCCCATCGTAGCCGTCGGGCGTCTCGGCCTTCCTTTTCCGGAAATTGCCACCCAACCACCTTCTGCCGCTGCTCTGGCTGCTTAACCGTCGATGTTTTCTGACCTTCTGCATCCTCGTTACAGGATATATCAAGAAAGGCTTGAAGAAGCGAGAGCGATGATGTGCTACTCTTTTTAAGATTCTTCGAATGTAGTTGCATCTGTCGCTCGTTTCGTCGAGCGGGCAACTGCGACCCGCTCTGCGACTCTTGCGGCGGTCGCACGAAAAGAAGAAAGACAAGCGCGAGCATGGCGACGGGGCAAATGGCGACAAAAAGCGCCGCCCATGGTGAGAAATCAGCGTCAGTAAGAGTCATCATCCTCAAACTCAATGATGGCGACGGGCAAAGTCAAGCTTGGTCGAAATCTTGAAAGTGTCAGGCGTCTGTGAAAACTGCTACTCCCTGCTGCGATTTGGAGAAAGCGTTACGATTTGGGATCAAAAGGTCCTCTGTTTCTGCCGTTCGACGGCAAATGGTGACGAAAACCTACAGCCGGCGTCGAGACTTCTATTCGCGCAATCTAGGTCGCGAGTTGCACTGACCACTTAGGAAGAAGGGGTGCCTTATTCATGCGCGTGTCAGCATTAGGCGAAAGTGGGCGCGGGGCCAAAGCGTTACGTAGGCCATAGAGCCTCGGTTCTCATATTCTAGCATGCTAGCAGACTATTCACTAAAGACGCAGAAGCTCTGGATGCGTAGGTGGGATACATATATCGCGCCCGAAGAACTCGCAGAAAAAGAAACGAAAGCATCGCCTTCTGATGGTTCGTCCAAATGTGGTGCAGAGCAATAATGGTCCAAGGCGGGTGACAGGTGAGGGGGAAGCGGAAAGGGCCACAGCATTTTTCCAGGGAGCTTGTGGTGTTTCGGTCGCTCACCAATCGGCAGGCTCGGTGGCGGGGCTGGCTGGGGCGAGGTGGAGGAAGCCAGCTGTCTCAGTCAGTGGCAAGTCACTCACTCCATGCCGTCCCCCTCAGCCACTGACAGACCACACCACACCACCTGGCTTTCAAATCACATGGCTCGGCGGTGCAGGGCTAGTCTGGGGTAGGCTGGGTAGGCCTGCTTGAGGGATGAAACAAACTGCTTCGCGCATCGTGTTCGGCGTCGCCTAGGTTACCAGGACGGAACCTCTTTCGCTCCATCAGCTGTTGCTAGCCCCCAACCGCCGCCTAGTGTTGCCGGACCGAAAGACTAGGCCACCTGAACTAGCCAGACCTCACTTGCTTGCTTACCCTGCCCTGGCCTGGCCCCCCTGGCCAGCCCCGGGCGCTTGACTAGCTCCGCCCTAAACGGTAGTCAATGCGGACCCGCAACATCACGCACGAAAGTAGCAACCAATCGAAGGGCAGCTTCCCCGCCACAGGTGGAGGACCTCCCCATTTCGGCGTGGAGATTGGGTTTCGTGCGCCAGTTCGGCAACGCTTGCGACGGTGCTTGATGGCAATAATCGCGCGCGAAAGACCAGGGTGGTGTCGTTCCGGGTCAACCTGAAAAGTGCTTGACAGCGCCGTGGGTTGCGGCAGTACGACACCAGCTGAATTATTGATTCCGAACCTACTTCCACACCACAAGAACAGCCTTACCGAACCTCAACTTAACATGCGGTTCGTGGACTCCATCAACAGACTCACTCACCTCATCCATGGATCATGGTTCGTTTAGATCGTCCACGCGACGCGCCTGTTGTTCCTCTGGCCGCTACATGCGGGAAGAATGGCTGATCCTCCCTGAATAATTACGTCGCGACAAACCAATGCACCCTGAATCTTATCCTGAAGGCTAAGTTTGACCTGGTCCGAATTTGCTGAAGGTGTAACGAAATTTAAGTTATCAAGTTATCAATGGCATAACAAGAGATACAGGTATATTTATGGGGTTTCTTCATATCAATCTCACCAAGATTCAGCACAGGGCTAGCATAGGAAGCTTTGCAAACTACTGAGTCTGGGTAAACTGGTGCAGTACTTATACTGTTGATAGCATAAAGATGCAATGCTTACACCAATTTCTAGGACAAAGAAAGCAGGCCTGGATTCTCACAACTCGGACATGGTTATTTCCATCGAATGTTACGATATTCCAGCAGGAAATCACAGTTCCTAAACCATAGCACTTCACAATCTCCACACCAAGGTCGACCGTCGAACACAAGTTTCAAAAACTCAATACAATCCCACCCCTAGTGTTTCACTTGTAACCAGCACCGCTTTCGCCTGCATACGAGTTGTCTGAGCCTTCTGCAAAGCTAGGCTCGTTCACCTGCGTCAGCCCCCCGCCCTCCCCTCCTGCGGGGTATGCGACGGGAACAGCTGAAGCCTTGTAGAGCCTGGCATGGAAAGACAATAAAGGGGATAGGAATGAGTGGGCTGACGGCTCGGAAGACGTAGATAGGCGTGGAGAGGGCTTGCATCATGCAGGCGATGGTGATGACCAGGAAGCCAATCCAGAGCATCTTGAAGTTGGTCACCATTGCCTGTCCCTCGGATATTGCAAACTGGGGGGTCAGAAGGGTGGAAGGCGGGGTTGGGGCATGGGGAACCCAATAGAATTCTGAGTTCTCCTGAAGGGACCAGGAAGCCATCCCCGAGCATCTGGAAATTGGTAACCATTGCCTGTGCCTCGGGTAAAGCAAACTGGAAGAACATTGACACGGAGATGAGGAGACAAGGGAGAGGATAGAGTGAGGAGGAAACCAGGAAGCCGATCCAGAGCATCTGGAAGTAGGTCACCATCGCCTGTCCCTCGGATATTGCAAACTGTGGGGGGAGGCAAGGGAGATGAGGTGATTTGACAGTAAGGCTGCATGTGGTAGAAGGGCGCCTGCATCATGCAGGCGATGGTGATGATGACCAGAAATCCAACCCAGAGCATCTGAAAGTTGGTCACCATCGCCTGTCCCTCGGATATTGCAAACTGTAATGGGGAAGCATGGGGGAGGGGGGTTGGGGGACGGGAATGGTGATGGTGATGACCAGGAAGCCAACCCCAGAGCATCTGGAAGTTGGTCACCATTGCCTGCGCCTCGGACAATGCAAACTGTGGGAACATTTACAGGAGATGAGGAGACAAGGGAGAGGAGGGAGAGGGGACAGTGAGGAGTCAAGGGAGAGGAGGGAGAGGAGAGAGTGAGGAGGGAGAGGAGAGAGTGAGGAGGGAGAGGAGAGAGTGAGGAGGGAGAGGAGAGAGTGAGGAGGGAGAGGAGAGAGTGAGGAGGGAGAGGAGAGAGTGAGGAGGGAGAGGAGAGAGTGAGGAGGAAGCCAGGAAGCCGATCCAGAGAATCTGAAGGCTGGTAACCATTGCCTTCGCCTCGGCATATGAAAACTGTGGGACCATATTGAAAGGGGGGGATGGGGGAGGGGAGGGGGCGTGGAGAGAAAAAACAGCAAGCACGTATGTGTGGCGATGCATGTGTGCGCGATCACATCATTCATGTGTGCATGTGTGTTAGCAGTCACAAAACGTCCTGCCCCTCACCGCAGCAATGTTTGCAACGTAGGAGCAGTCGACGAGGGTAAGCACGTTGGGGATGGTGCATTCATTTCCATAGGCGGTTAAAGAGTCAAAACGCACGCTGGTGCAGGTGCACTGCACCGCACTGCACCGCACCGCACCGCACTGCGTATCTTCTCACCTTGGCAATGTTGGCCACGTAGGAGCAGTTGACGAGGGTGAGCGCACGTTGGGGATGGTGGATTCCTTCCATAGAATCCCCAAGAGTCAAAACTGCTCTGCGCTGCACTGCACCGCACAGCACCGCACCGCACTGCGTATCTTCTCACCTTGGCAATGTTGGCGACATAGGAGCAGTCGACGAGGGTGAGCACGTTGGGGATGGTGGATTCGAGCAGCGCGAGCGTCTTTGCCGTCGCTGTGCGAGGGGCACGTTGGTGCACTGCACTGCACCGCACAGCACCGCACTGCATACGGCATCCTCACTCACCGCAGCAATGTTGGCGACATAGGAGCAGTCGATGAGAGTGAGCACGTTGGGGATGGTGGATTCGAGCAGCTCGAGCGTCTGAGCCGTGGCTGTGAGGTCGTTCCTCACCACCTCCGGCACCAACGGAGTGTTGCCGGCTGTCGTCATAAGCATCTGCAGGGCGGGAGGGGGGAGGAAGGGGGAAAGGGGGAGGGGACAGCGGGAGAGGGGGGGAGTTGTGCCCGACTCACAAGGCTGTGAGATCATTCCGTACCACCTCCGGCACCAAAGCGGTGTTGCCGGCGGTCGTCATAAGCACCTGCAGGGAGGGGGGAGGGAGACAGTGGGAAGGGGGGCAGGGGTAAGGGGACAGGGGGAGGGGGACAGGGGGAGGGGGACAGGGGGAGGGGTACAGGGGGAGGGGGACAGGGGGAAAGGGGACAGGGGGAAAGGGGACAGGGGGAAGGGGTGTTACAAACAATGTGGTGTTTGTGCTGTGTGTGGCCGACTCAAAAGGCTGTGAGACCGTTTGCCAACACGCGCCACATCAGCACAGCACACATACTAAATCAGCACACCAGCCGCTCACATTCACAAACTGCGGGAAGGTGATGGTGCCGAGACCACATTAGGTAGCTTATGTTGCGTGTGAAATCAGCACATATGCCACATCAGCACACATGCCACATCAGCACACGTGCCACATCAGCACACCAGCCACTCACATTCACAAACTGCGGGGAGGTGATGGTGCCTTGAACACAGAGGCTCATGCCGCGCGTGAAATCGGCTCAGATGCCATATCAGCACAGATGCCACATCAGCACACATGCCACATCAGCATACACACCACATCAGCACACGCGCCACTCACATTCACAAACTGCAGGAAGAGGATGGTGCCTTGAACACAGAGGCTCGTGTCGCGCGTGCATTCGGCACACATGCCACATCAGCACACATGCCACATCAGCACACATGCCACATCAGCACACTTGCCACATCAGCACACTTGCCACACCACATCAGCACACTTGCCACATCAGCACACTTGCCACACCACATCAGCACACGTGCCACTCACATTCACAAACTGCGGGAAGAGGATGGTGCCTTTCACACAGAGGTCCGTGTCGCGCGTGAAATTGGGCGCCGGGCCGTACGGCACACAGATGCCACCCGGAACACCAAGAAAGGCAAAGATCTGAAGTGTGGGGGGTGGAGTGGGCGAAGAGGGGAGTTGGGAGCAGGGGGGCCATTGAGCCGGGCCGTACGGCACACAGATGCCACCCGGAACGCCAAGAAATATAAATATCTGGAGTGCGGAAGGCAGGGGCAGGGGGGGTGGGAAGAGGGGGAGCAGGGGGAGCACGGCTAAAGCATCGGGCCGTACGGCACACAGATGCCACCCGGAACACCAAGAAACATAAATATCTGGAGTGGGAGGGGGCAAGGGGAGGGGGGGAAGAGGGCGAGCAAGGGGAGCATTGAGAAGGTTGAACAGCTGTGGTGGTGAGAGACAGGAGAGTAGGGAGAGAGAGGCGGGCCATATGGCATTGACAAATTTGAACAACTGTGGTAGGAGGCAGGGTAATAGAGAGAGGCGAGCCGTAGGGCACAGCACACAGATGCTGCAATGAGTGAACTCACCCTAGGCGCGTTGCTGACCACGGAGCTGTTGGCCTTGGTGAGCACGGTGACTTTTGAGTCGACTCAAAAGTCACCTCCTAACCACGGAGCTGTTGGCCTTGGTGAGCACGGTGACTTTTGAGTCGACTCAAAAGTCACCTCCTAACCACGGAGCTGTTGGCCTTGGTGAGCACGGTGACTTTTGAGTCGACTCAAAAGTCACCTCCTAACCACGGAGCTGTTGGCCTTGGTGAGCACGGTGACTTTTGAGTCGACTCAAAAGTCACCTCCTAACCACGGAGCTGTTGGCCTTGGTGAGCACGGTGACTTTTGAGTCGACTCAAAAGTCACCTCCTAACCACGGAGCTGTTGGCCTTGGTGAGCACGGTGACTTTTGAGTCGACTCAAAAGTCACCTCCTAACCACGGAGCTGTTGGCCTTGGTGAGCACGGTGACTTTTGAGTCGACTCAAAAGTCACCTCCTAACCACGGAGCTGTTGGCCTTGGTGAGCACGGTGACTTTTGAGTCGACTCAAAAGTCACCTCCTAACCACGGAGCTGTTGGCCTTGGTGAGCACGGTGACTTTTGAGTCGACTCAAAAGTCACCTCCTAACCACGGAGCTGTTGGCCTTGGTGAGCACGGTGACTTTTGAGTCGACTCAAAAGTCACCTCCTAACCACGGAGCTGTTGGCCTTGGTGAGCACGGTGACTTTTGAGTCGACTCAAAAGTCACCTCCTAACCACGGAGCTGTTGGCCTTGGTGAGCACGGTGGTGGCAGTGTAGTGTAGCGCACACAGCGTGTGACCGGCCCCAAAATCACCCCAGTCATCGGCAGACGGCGGTAATCACTGATGCACTGCACTCACCCTGAAAGCGTTGCTGACCACGGAGCTGTTGGCCGTGGTCAGCACGGTGGCAGCGGCGTAACATGTGTGCGTGCAGCCTCTGACCTCACCTCAAGAATCACCCGTTCATCAGCAGGCAGAGGCACTCACTCACCCTCCATGCCACGTGCACTGCACTGCACTCACCCTCCGTGCCGCGTGCACTACACTGCACTCACCATAGGAGCGTTGCTGACCACGGAGCTATTGGCCGTGGTGAGCACGGTGGCAGCGGTGTAGCGAGCGTAGCGCGTCGCGTTCAAGAGCTTCTCGCTGGGGATGCAGTGGAGGTATTTGTCCATGGCGCTGCTCATGGTGGGGGACTGCTGCACCTGCTCCAAGGTGACGTTTGTGTCACCATTCACACTGGTTGGGGAGCGATTGGGGTGTTGGAGATTGGTGGATATTGATGGGGGGAGATAGGGTAGAGAAGGGAGTGAGCAACAGCTTCTCGCTGGGGATGCAGTGAAGGTACTTAACCATGGCGCTGCTCATGGTGGGGGACTGCTGCACCTGCTCCAAGGCGACGTTGGTATCGCCATTCACCCTGTTGTGAAGGGGTTGGGAGTTAAAGGGAGGGCGCGGAGATGAGGGGATAGCAGCCATGACCCCCCTGGGGATGCAATGCAGTGAAGGTACTTAACCATGGCGCTGCTCATGGTGGGCGACTGCTGCAACTTTTTAGGCACCTAAAATATGTTGACGGTGGGGGACTGCCACACCTGCTCCAATGCCCCACTTGTATCGCCGCTCACGCAGGGGTTGGGAATTCAAGGGAGCATGACTGGCGGCACAAGGGGTCAATACAGGCAAACTTTTAGTAAGGCTAGCGTGAATGTAATGGAAAATACATACTACAGAATTTCCTTACTGATAACGGAGAATAGAGCTTCTAATATTGGGGTTTATGGATGTAATGTAAGGGGAGATGCTAAAGGGTGCCGCGTTGTGAAGGGTATTCAATATGCATATAATAAAAACATACGGATGCACAGTAACAAGGCTTACAGGCTCCGCAATAAATAGACCAGCTGTCATGCACCAAGTGAAGTCTGGAATTCGGAGGGAGAGAAGATTTACAGCTAGGAAGTGTGAGTGTAGCTTGCTTAAGGCTTACAGGTATGCAATGAGTAGACCAGCCGTCATGCACCAACTGAAGAACACGACCACCCAGATTATAGTGATGATGCTGTTAAGGGGGATAGGCAAAGAACAAGGACACGAACATAGCAAATGTTGATGAATCGTACTCTGAGTAGAATGATGAATCAGAGGGGCGTTACAATATGATGTGTAGTAACTTAGAAGCTAAGCAAAATAGTTCAGCATCAAAGCCAGAACATGTTCATCAACACAACACAGTACCAGTCTCTCAAACAGCAATGTAAACTTGGAATGTAATGAAATGAAATGAAATGGAATGCAATGAAGTTTTTTCGAATGCATGCAAGAGCACTCACACGTTGGATGCCACGACCCATTTATGAAGCGAAAACACTGCGAGGAGAATCAGACATAGGAGGGTGTAAGACAAGAAAAGGAAAAACTTGACGAATCAAATCACAAATGGCGTGCGTTACATTACATGCACAGCAGATGGATGAATCACAAAGAGCGCAAAGAGATTGGCAAGAGTCGCGATGGCTTTCAAGGAAATGCTTGGCGCAGGTCTCGTCTCGTTTCTTATAAAAAAAACTTTCCGCCTCGCATTCATACTCTCGCACTTGCACTGGGATAATTTCTCAAAAACTTCTTCCAAGAAAAGGGGCACGGGCCGGGGCGGGGCGGGACATTGTGAGTGAGAGCCGAGGGGGAAAGGCAACCGCAATGAATGAATGAAACGAGCGCTAAATCATTTGCCGACCAAATGTAACGACTGATACATCAATCGTTTGCATTAAAATGCTAGACAGAAAGGTGAGTAGTGGCAGGGGATTGTAGACGTTGAGCAGAGAAACATCTTCAACGTGATTTTCGAGGAGAGGAGAGGAGAGGAGAGGAGAGGAGAGGGGGGCAGAGTAGCAGGAATAGAGATGTCTGGAAGGAGAGGGAGGGAGGTAAGGAGCAGAGATCCCTGGAGATGTTTTGCTTTTGCTTCTTTTTTTCCCTCCTGGAGATGCGCGGATGGATGCATGCATGCATGCATGGATTCTGTCTGGAGATGGTGGTAGCAGGCGCACCAGGCCTTCAACCTTTGAGACGTCTCAAAAGGTAGCAGGCGCACCAGGCCTTCAATTCAAATGGCCTTCAAACCCGAAACGAAACGAGGAGGTTGCTATTGCGATTGGAGGGGTGACGCGGGAAGAACAGAGCGAGGGGAGGGAGGGGAGGGAAGAGTAGAGGAGGCAGAAAGGAACGCACATAAGGCGAGGATGCAAAGGGCGGTGATGACGCATCCAATCACATAGAAGGTAATGGATCTGTGGGGTGGGGGGAGAGAAGGTGGGGAAAGAGATGGGGGTAGGGGGGAGAGGCAGGCATATGTCAAGTCAACCCGAAATGCACACATCAGGAGTCCTTTTCAAAAGGGAAGTGATAACGCATCCAATGGGAGGAGGCAATGGGTAGCAACGACACATTGAATGTCGTGGAAGGTAGTGGAAATGGGGAGGGGGGGCAAGAAGAGGAGGGAAGGGGGGGTGATAGTGTGTTGATTGAATTTGATATGAAATGCTCCTGGAATGCAAGACTTTCTCATGGACGGAAGTTCCTCACAAAACAAAGCAGGTGGTGGGATTGTAAATCACCGCACAGCAACGCACAGCACAGCACAGCACCGCACAGCACAGCACAGCACAGCACAGCAACGCGCACACCGCACCGCACCGCACCACATTGCACGCACACAGCACAGAAGTTACATCGCACCACACCATACTCCATCCCACAGCACTGCACTACACCTCACTGCACTCACAGCGCTCGCAGGCCGTTGTTGACGAGGCTGATGTGATGCCGTCCGCCGTCTTGGCCTGCAGCTCGTACTCATAGCACAGCAGCTACACCACACCGCACCGCACCACACAGCACTGCATGGAACCGCACCGCACCACACAGCAGCTACACCCCACCGCACCCGCACCACACCACCCCACAGCACTGCACGGCACCGCACTACACCGCACTGCACTCACAGAGCTCGCAGGCCGTTGTTGACGAGGTTAATGCCGCCCGCCGTCCTGGCTTGCAGCTCGTATGTACTGCTCCGTTCTCAGAGCACAGCACCCACACTGCACCGCACCAAACCCCACAGCACCCGTATCGCACCACGCCGCACAGCACCGCACCGCAATCACAGGACGCGCAGGCGGTTGTTGAAGATGGTGGTACTATCTGCCGTCTTGGCCTGCAGCTCGTTCTCAGTGCTCACAGCACAGCGGCGACACCGAACCACACCATACCCCACAGCATTGCACAGCACCGCACCACACCGCACTGCACTCACAGGACTCGCAGGCCGTTGTTGACAAGGTTGATGCCATCCGCCGTCTTGGCCTGCAGCTCCGTGGCTGTCTGGTTGGCCTGCAACACCTTGTTGTGAATGTCTGCCTTCTTAGCAGCTGCAGGTGGTTGCGCGGAAAGGGGGAGAAAAGGGGGAGAGGGAGCAACGGTGAGTGCCTGTCTGGCTCGCCTGCCTCACCTTGTTTTGAATGTCTGCTTTTTTATCAGCTGATGCAACGCAAGCAAGGGGAAGCAAGGAGAGGGAAGAAGCGGGGAAGCGAGCTGATAACGAGGCGAGTATTGAGGAGGAAGCGAGTGCGGCTTAGGTTTACGAGGCGATTTTTGGACCGACTTTCAGAGGCTAGACCCAGAGGACGTGATGAAGGTAAAGAAAAAGTGCTGAATGTGGTATGACGAAGTTCACCCGAAATGACGGCTTTTGAGTCGACTAAAAAAAGACTCACAGAAAAAAAGATACTACCGTAAATTGGATGCCCCCGAAACCCCCAAAACCTCCCCCCAAAACCCGTAACTAGGGCAGGAAGGTCAACAGTCGCAAAAGTCAACTGTCGCGACTGTTGACCATCTGGATCGAATGAATCCCCAAGCGACGAATGGCAACAGGCGTAACCGTCTGTACGGTTACACGCAGCGACTCGGTAACAAGAAGAAGATCAATGGTTAGAGTCACTGTGGAAACTTCATGTAAAACAGTTAGAATAAGGGAATGTACCCCTCAGAGTACATGGCTAGTTAGATCAATTTATTGTGTGTAATTCTATGTTTTAATCAATCTTGTCATTTACATCCACTATGGACAAGGTTCCTACCACAAAGACTTCCGCTACCAAATCTCTCTAAGGCAATCATATTCTATTCAAGATCCTTACTCTAACATGGTATGAGAGCTAGTTTGGATTATAGGAACTGCTAAGTCTTCATTCAAGACAACCTTTATTATAACTTATCCTTACATCAAGGGCAAGCATCATGCCAGGCGCATACTGCGGCGAGACTGGAGACAATCCAGAGCTTCCCTCTGTCAAAGTACATTCTTACTTGTAGGCTATAGTGGGGCACTCCTTATGGGGTACAGCATTTCTAGGGTTAGTACTTGTACCCCAACTCTTGCTAATCCAACCATTCCTGCACAGTTATTCCGACATGGTATTCAGAGCAGGAAACCTGTTAGGTTTTTAGGGCCCACCGATAGTTCCGCTCTCCTGCCCGAAGCGCCCTTGCGCTGTCCGGCCCTGCTCGCTCAGTGTCGCGCTGCCCTGCAGCTACTCGCACTGCCTGCCCTAGCGCGCTGCCCAGCTGTCACGCGCGCCCCTCCTGCCCGCGAGCGGCTACTGCCCCGCGCGCCCCTACTGCCCGCGAGCGGCCCTTGCCTCGCGCGCCCTACTGCCCACGAGCAGCCCCTGCCCCGCGCGCCCCTGCTGCCCGCGAGCAGCCCCTGCCCCGCGCGCCACTGCTGCCTGCGAGCAGCCCTTGCCCCGCGCGCCCTTGCTGCCCGCGAGCAGCCCCTGCCCTGCGCGCCCCTTCTGCATGCGAGCAGCCTCTGCCCTAGCGCGCCCCGCAGCCCAGCGCGCCCTGCAGCCCTAAGCGTGCCAGCGCGCCCCGCAGGCCAGCGCGCCCCGCAACCTAGCGCGCCAGTGCGCCCCGCAGCCCAGCGCGCCAGCACGCCCCGCTGCTAAGCGCGCCAGCGCGCCCTGCAGCCCTACGCGCGCCAGCGCGCCCCACTGCGAAGCGCGCCAGCGCGCCCTGCGGCACAGCGCGCCAGCGCGCCCCGCAACCATAAAAGCGCCAGCGCGCCCTGCTGCCCAACGCGCCGCTGCTGCATGAGCTACTGCTACTGCTACGGCTGCTACTACTACTACTGCTGCTGCTGCTCGTACTGCCACTGCTGGCACTATTGCTGTTACTGCGCTAGCCTGTGCCCTGCTGTCCACCTACTCTACTGGCCTCCACAGTAACTACAGCAGTCGCTACTACTGCCCTTGCGCCGCTGCTACTGACTGCCACTGCCTGTCATGGCCACTATCACGGTAGTCGCAGCGGCTAGGGGTGGACAGCAGCAGCCACTGCCTCACCCGGACACACTATCCCCTCAGCAGCTTCGCGAGTGGGTTCTTCAGCGAGCCCGTCCAGGTGGTGGAGGCTTT